ATATTATTTGCCTGGTATGGTTTTATAAATAGTAACTTTTTTAAAAAGTTTTTTTTAAATTATATTATTATTATTATAACCCCTTTAATAGTCTTTTTTAAAATTATAAGGTTATTAAAGTTTATTTAGCGGGGAACTATTAGTTACTTAATAAATTAAATAAATATATTATATATTTATTAATTAGCTTTAGCCCTTATAATTTATTAGCATGCCTTTTTAATTTAGGCATAAATTTATTAATATTTTTTTTTTTTTTATAGCGTTCTTGCTCCTGTAATTCCTTTTTTTTATTAAAATTACTTTTAATATTGCCTGTAACTTTTTAATAATTTTTTTACTACTTTTATTTTCTTGCCCCTGGGCGGGCCCTTTATATTTTAATATTTTTTATATAATTTAAAATTTAATAATAAGGGCGCCCTTAGGATTTTTTAGTTAAAAATTTATAAATTTTTTTTAGGCATATTAATTAGTTATTAAATTAGGGTTTATAACTACTTTTTTAAAGTATTATTTACTAGTCCCTGGGATTAAGTTTATTACCTAGTTATTATATAAAATAAGTTTTTTTTTAAAAAAAAAAGTAATTAAAATTATAAGTTGCGTTTATATACTATAATAAGCTTAAAAAAATATAAATTACTATAATAGGAAAGGTATTATATATTTATAGTAAAAACTAATTACTAATTTTTTTAAGTTAAAGTTTAAAGTTAAACTTAATATTTTATATATTATATAACTAACCACCGCCTTGGCACGTGGCTAGTTTGGCGCTGAAGTTCCTCCGCCCGGCGGCCTCAGGCCGCCGGATTGTGTTATTGCAACACTGCGCAGTTGCAACACCATAACAGTGATAACATAATTTTAGCTTTTAGTTAAGCTAGATTTTAAGGTATTTAGCTTATTTTATGCCTTAAAAACTAGTTACTAATTACTTAAAAAGTATTATTATTAAAGGCTTATTATTTATAAAAATATTATTATAGTTATTTATATATTTAATAAGTAAATTAAGCTTTTAGCCTTGCTAAACTTTTTTAAAGTTAATATATTTTATAAGTATATTAAGGGTGCTTTTAATAAAATTATTTTTACTATATTCCTACTAAAGCATAGTAAAAATAAGTTAAAAAGTATTTTTTAAGTACTTTACTTACTTATATCCTGCCTTTTTTTTAAATCTAGTTATTAATTACTTTTAGTTCTTATATTACTACATGTTTTTATTAATATTAAAACTATAAATAAATATTTTTTACTTTTTAAAAAAAATTTTAGTTTTATTATTTTTATACAGGGGTTTTTTAGCTAGTTTTTTTATTTTTATAATATTAATATTAAGAATATTATAGCAAATATATATATAAAGTAAATAATTAATAAGTTTTATATAAAACTACTTTTACCTTAGGCTAAACTAGTTTTAAAATTAGGCTAGTATTTTTAAAAAAAAGATTTTTATAGTTATATTTAAATATAGTAGTTAAAAAATATTTTTATTATATATTATATTTATTTTTTTTAAATTATTTAAAAGCTTTGCCCTTGGGAGAAGTATTATATATTTATTAGTTATTATATAAAAAGCTTGCTTACTACTAAAACTTTAAAAAATTATTTTAATTTTTATAAACTACTTTAAAGTATATTTTTTTATTTTTTAAAGTACTTTAAAACTAGTTTTAACTTTAATTAGCATATAAAAATACCTTTATTTATAATTAAGCTAAATATAAAGCTTATTTAATTATTACTACTAGTTTTAACTAAGCCTGTTTTTAAATTCTGCCTAATTATTATAAGTAAATCTAGGAAAATATTAATATTATTAAGTAAAATTATTATAAGTCCTATTTTTTAAGTACTTAAAAGTTATTACTTAGTATAGTTATAAGGTTAAAACTACTTTATTTATTATAAAAATTATTTTTAATTACTAATTTTAAGGCAGCTCCTGGCAGCTTAATTAATATAATATAAATTAATATTATATAAAAGTTTTTTATAAAACTTAGCATAAATATTATATAAATAATATATATAAATAATACCTTAAGTATATATAAAAAAATTATATATATATTAAAATTACTTTAAAATTACTTTAAAACTATTTTTAACTTTTTTAATATACTAAAAATATAAGGCTTTTAATATAGTAAAGTAAAAAAAGCTATAAAAGGTAAAAAATAATTTTAATAAAATTTTATTTAAGTTAAGTTTTTTTAAATTTATATATACCAGGGGCTTTTAATTTTAATTATATTATATAAAAAGGTAAAGTACTTTATTTTATATAAAAACTAGTTTTATATTAATAATACTTTAATATAACTTTAGCTATACCCTATAAATAGCATGCTTTATATATTTTAATATACCCTAAAAACTACTTTACTTATAAAAAGAACTACTTTAGTATTAATAATTTTTTAAGGTTAATTTTATTATACTTACTTATTAATATATTATATAAGTTAATAAAGCCTGCTTTACCCTAGGGCTAGATTTTTTTAGTATTAATATTATTTTAATGCTTTTATTATTATACTTATTTAAAAATATATATTAATATTATAAGTTTACTAGAAAACTAGTTTTTAAGTACTTACTAATTATTTTAAATTTTTTAATATTTTTTAAGATTTTTTTATTACCACCCATGTAAAGGGCTAAAAATTAAAAGTTAGGGGTAAAATTAAAATTAATTTTAAAAAGCTAGCCTAGTTAAAATAATATTTTTATAATAAAATAGCTAGGGGGCCTGCTATATTTATTAAAGTTATTAAATATATTAAAAAAAAGGTTAATAATTTTAGTAATTAAAACTAGTTTTAAATTAATTTAAATATTTTTAAAAGTACTTTAATTACTTATTTAAAAATAAAATTTTATTATTTACTTAGCTTTAATAATATATTAATATAGTTTTATATTATAATAATTAAGTTTTAATATACTAGCTAGTTAAAATATAAATATTATAAAAATATATATATTTATTAACCAAGACCTTTAACATAGCATGTATATAAAAAATAAATTACTTTAAGTTATTAATAAATTATTTTTATTAAATAAAATATATAAAATAAGTAAAAAATAAGTAAGCTTAAAATATATTTTTTAGCCTAGTAAGTATAATATAATAATAAAAATTTAAAAATAAGTTTTTAATTAAAAATAAGTAAAGAAATTTTTTAAAAATTTTTAGTTACTTAATAATATTAAAAGTACTTTTAAAATAATTAAGCCTAATAATCCAGGGGTATTTTATATAATAAGTTATATATTTAATTTAAATCTTATTTTTATTAATTTTTTTTATAATCTTAAACTAAACTAGTTTAGCCTTAATTAAAAGTACTTTAAATTTAAAAAAATAATAATTATTTTTTTATTTTTTTTAAAAATAACTAGTTTTTAACAAGCCTATACCTAAAAATAAAACTAGTTTAAAAATTATTAAAGCTAGTTTAAACTTAATTATAAAAAAATAAAGTTTATTATAGTTTAGGGTATTTAATTATAGCTTATTATATATAAAAAAAAATTAAAAACTAAAAAACTACTTTTAAAGTAATTAATACTATATATACCTTATTAAAAAAAATAAAAAATATAAAATATACCTGTAGGCGCCCTGCTAAATTAAAAAAAAATAAAAAAAATATAAAAAAAACTACTTAAAAAATAATTTTTATAATAATAGTATTAATAGTTTTTTTATTTTTTTATTTTTTTTTATTTTTATTATTTTAGCTGGTAGTATTAAGCTTTTTAAAAAATTTAAAATAATTATAATTTTTAATTTACTTTTACAAGTAGTATTTTAAAACTAGTTAAAAAATATTTTTTAAAATTAATAAAGTAAAAAAACTTACTAGCTAGTACCTTTTTTAACTTACAGGTATTATAAAAAATTTTATAACCCTTTTTTTTTTATTATTTTTTTTATAATAATAGGGTTATATTAAAATTAATTAAAAAGTATTTTTAATAAAAAAATATAACTTACTTATATTTTTATTTTACTTAAATAAAAGCTAAAATAAAATAACTAGCTTTATAACCTAGCATGCCTTTTAATTATTAATAATAAATTAATAAAAATTTATAAAACTAATTAAAAAGTACTTTTTATAAGTAATAATTAAACTTATTTTTAACTTTTTTAATTTTACTAACCTTTAGGCAGCCCTTAATATTCTTTTTATTTTTAAAAACCTGGGTAAAAAAATAAATAATAAAATATTTATTAATATAATAGCTATAAAAGCTATTAATAATACTAAATTTTATTTAAACTAGTTAAAAAGTATTTTTTATAAGTATTTAAAAAAATTTATTTTATTAAAATAGCCTTTAACCTAGCAATAAAGCTTTTTTAAAAAAAATAGGTTATTTTATTATTTTATAAATAATTAATTTTAAAGTACTTCCTAGAAATGCATGTAAGGTTAAAAAAGTTAAAAAATAAAAATTAAAAAGTAATTTAAAAATACTTTTAGCTTTTATTTTTTAATAATAATAGCCTTATTTATTTTTAGCTTTAGCTTTAAAAAAACCACTTTATTATTTAAAATTTATATATATTTTTTAAAAATAGCCTAGGCTTAAATTAGCTATAAAAATAAGTTATAAAGTAATTTTTAAATAATTTTTATTATTAATTTAATAGTTAGTATAATAGGCAAAAGTATTATTAATAAAAAAGATAAAAAAAAATAAAAAAAAGTTAAAAAAAAGTTTAATATAAAGTTTTAATAAAATTATTAATATTTATATTACTTAAAAAGTAATATAAGGCTTTATTATGTTAATAGCTATTATATTTAAATTATAATTAAAGTTATAAATAAAGTTTAAAAATAAGCTTAAGTAAGCTATAAAGCTAGGTCACGTGACTAAACTAGCTAGGGTGACTGGCAAATAAGTTAGGCCAAGCTGTTCTTTGCCCGGAACACAACCCGCCAAACACAGGAGACCTTGCCCTAAGCACAACAGAGCTTCACCACAGCATCCTGCGAACCACGTTCCCAATTGACATCCCCAATGTAAAACAGATGACCCCTTCCAAGCCGCGCCCCAACAACAGCCGCCTGGCTCAAATCAACACTCTCCTCCGCCTCAATAATCGACTGGCTCCGCGCCCCAGCAATAGGGAGATAAACCTTCTCATGGACCCTCGCCCCCCGAACACCCAACGCCTTCATGCTATAACGCACGGGGAGGTCGGCGGTCGCTAATCCCAGCCCATACAGCAGTTCGCGATTACACGACGGATTCACGTCAAAGTCCATGCGGTGACAGTCCCCCTTTTTCCACGGAACGCCCAGTCTGCCGAAGAAGCCGTCGAAGCCGTCCTGCGTCACGAAGTTGGGGAAGTGCAGCGCCGCGATGACGAGGCCCGCGCCGTCGCGCATGTACTCTTGCACCTGGGCGAGGACTTGGTCGTGGTTCGGCTCGTGCTCGGTAAGGCCTTCGTCGGTGAGGATGATTGCCTTGAAGGTGTTTTGGGAGAGGAGGCGGAGCGCGGTCGGGGGGGTTTTCGCGTGCTTGAGGGTTGCGGTTTGGGACAGGCGCGAGAAGAGCGTGGTGTAGGTGTCGTCGAGATAGAAGCGGTGGGAGAGGGAGAGGAGGAGGATTTGGGGGCGGACGGACATGGTTGCGGTTTGCGATTTGGAATGAGATGGCAGTGGTCGGGTTGGAGATAGGAGATTGAAGATGGATGGACTAGTGTGGTGAGGGAAATAGAAAGGAAATAGGGAGATGTGTTATAAGGAAGGAAACAGGAGATCCAGTGGTCTGTTCTATGTCGCACTCTTCACACAATATCAACGCCTTCAGATGTATTTACTTGTTCCATCCTTAACAGACTTAACACTAAATTCACCCCAGTATACCTAGTAGATCGAATTCACATCTAGCAGTCGAAACAGCTCAGCATCTCCGTGGATCTGGTCAACTATCTCACAAGGCGATTCCAACGTTTCAAGGCAACGAGGTGACCATTTTATTACAATCCATGGAGCCGACGAGTGGACGAAATATGCCGGTACTCTAGCAAGTATATCCCCAATTACAACAGAGCCATGACACACGTCGTCCTTGCCCAACTGGGCCGCTTCATGAAAACATCAACAAAGCCCATAATCCTGACAGGGAGCAAATCTCTTCGGCGCCCTATTGGACATCAAGGATTGAGTGCAGGGTTTCAACCGCAGTGGATGCTATTTTTTCATCGGGCTTGTTTAGCGGCTGCGCCTACCATCGTGATGGCAAGCCTTTGCGATTGTGGGTCATGGTTAGGGCCGTGCAATTGGGCTTGCTGCAATCTCGAAGCGGTTGTCCGAGTTCGACGTGGATGGGCTTCGTGGGTTAAGTCGAAGACTCAGTGAAGTGATGAATGTCCACGAACAGAGAGATAGATGCAGATGGCCCCTGCTGAGCAAGTCTGAGCAAACAGGATCAGGCTGAAGAGGATGCGGTAGAATATAAGTGTCCTCAATGCTAACGTCAACGCCTGGACGTGAGTGCCTGCAAGTCTGAGCGCACGAACGAGGTCAAAAACGGTTTTCAGAATTGGATGAAACTGTTCTAAGATGCCGCACTGTGTAAGCGAATGCCGATGTATATATAGTCTTAAAAGAACACCTATATCCGTGTATGTTATATTTCCGTAAAACCATTCAGCTCCATTCAATCAAAGATGGGGAACGCTTCCGCTGGCTAAAAGAAGGTTCACGATACTCATGATGCCCTCGCCCAGAATCAAACCGGAAGCCAGGACGACAACACTGGACGAAGCAGCATCCGCATCGTCATCGCTGTCACCAGTTGCCGGCGAAGAAGGTTTGCCACGTGAAGTGGTGGTAAGGGGCCGGTCTTCGTTTCCGGCTGCTTGGTCCGACTGGTCCGTTTGTCCGGGTTCGCTCTCCGGTTTGGTATCATCTTTCCTGACCGCGTGGGCGCGAGACCACCACCACGCGATGAGGCCGCCAATGGCGCGTGCGAGTGTAAATGATGGTACGTTGAATATGCCTACGGCGACGGCGATGCCACCTGGGACCCAGGACCGCCACGGGGCTGGCGTGCCAGCGGGTCGGCCTCCATTGGCGATAGGGGACGCAGCGACGATTCGGAGTATGGTAATGGCTATAAAAACAACGCCGGCAATAGAGGAAGCTTCCCAAGCCATAGGGGGCAGGCCTTGGCCGGTGACGAGGCGGGCAGTAAAAATCCAGACGTATGCAGTGGGCGTTTGGAACTGGGGGCCTGGAACTGGGTAAACATTGACATACATTTTGTAGACGGCTGTGGAGAGGACCGCGCCAACAAGGCTGCCAATCATTTGACCGTAAAATTGAGCTTTGGGGCTAGCGCCGAGGAGGTGTCCTGTTTTCAGGTCTTGCATCATATCGCCGGCTTGAAGAGCGCCTGACTCAGATACGGCGCCCGCAAGGAGATTAGTTACCAAGGCAGTGCGTCTAGAGAAATGAGACGACGGCGTTGCGAGGGAGAAGAGTAACTGGGTCAGCTTGCTGATGCCGGAGACTGGGTTGAGATCCGTCTCGCCTAGCGCACGCACACCCATGATTGACAAAAGGACAGCGAGAAGTGTGGCGAGGCTTGAAAGCAGGGGCGATATGACATCGCCAAAAACAATGTGCATACAAACGACGTTTAGTATCAGAGTCAACGGCAGTAGGATTAGCACCGTTCGCATGGAAATCAGTTGAGATGCAGGTGCATCCTCATCCTCATCCGGCTGCGGGTCCGTTCCAGTTTGAAAAAGACTGCTCGGGCTTGATGATACTTCTGTTATAGGACTTAAGGCGGAGTAGTGGTAAGAGCGGCTGGGGATTTTGGGGCTTTTCGAGGCAATCCAACTTCCGATACGGGTGTCCGAAATCCTCTTTATGAGCTTCGGCGCACTTCGCACGGCAGGTTTCAAAACCAGCCAGCCTAAGCTGACAATCGAGTCTGCAAGCATGATCGCCAGAGACACCCATACAATCCATGCTTTGCTCCCATCCTCCCAGCTGTCTACAGGCCCCGGTGCCCACCCGCGAGCTTTTGCAAGCGGAGACAGAACGCCCCAGCCTAACACAGCCCCAAAAAGCATATGCGCACAGGTCGACGGCCCCATGATGATTCCTTGTCCAACGTATGCCGGTGAAGGGTTGAGCGTCCATAGCCAGTTGTTGGCAAGCGTGAGGCCCAGAATTGGGATATCGCGGACTTGGGGTACAAAGTATGAGAATAGTGTCTATTATTGTCAGCTTAATGCTTAAGAGAAGATGGACCACGGCCTTACATATATGCCAGAAAGCCCAAATGCGCCGACCAAAAGACGCATTTTCGACCTCCAGTCTTTTCTGAGGTTGTCGGCGTCCTTAGTATCCTGCTGGAACACATTTCCCCTTTCTGCAGAATCCCGCGAAAGCAGAGGCTGTATGTCCTCCTCGTCCTGTTGGTGTTCTGTAGAGCGAACACTCGCTTTTGCACCTTTTTCGCTCTGCCCACTCCCATGCAGAACCCTTAGCATCAGCGCAGACGCCGTTCCACTGGGAAACCTCAATTTTTCGCGAATAATGACTTCCTTCCGCAGTGGCACGGCGAAAACAACGCCAAACAAACACACTCCCAAGCTCCATAGAACCAGCTTTCCAAAGTTTAATTTCAGAGGACCGCCTTCTCCGGTACCACCGTCACCTGACGGGCCATCTTCTCCATCTCTTATGAGGAACTCCAAGGCGGGGATGACACCGACGAACCCACATCCAAGAGGCATCGTCCCCACAGCTCCGGCTACCGTTTGAATCAACACATTCTCAATAGGCGTAAAGGGATAAGAGAGGTATTTCGAAAACACTTTAAAGACCGAAAATCCGATTAGTGCTGACGGCATAGCCATCGTACTAATCCAGCCCGTTTGCAAGCCGAAGTAGGTATTCGAAAAAGTGATTAAAGCACCGATAGCAAGACCGACCAGCAGGGACCTTAAAGTAAAGCTCCGGGGAGCCATTGTGTCGGACCTGGGACCTGGTGATTCCATACTGGAGTGGTTGGTATCGCCTGGCGCGGCGCCGGCCGGAATGGACTGGTAGTTCATCAATTTAGCAGTCGCATTAGTTTATCTTCAAATTCAAGCATGCAATATAAAATATACAAGTCTAACGCCGAGAGATTATGTTCATCAAGTCATAGGTCACGAAGGTCAAATGTGCAGAAGGAGTTGAAGTTGGAGAGCGGAGAGGAGGTGAGGAGAAACGGCGGAGAAGCGAGGAGATAGCGTCACCAACTATCCTGACTAAGCTTCCGATAAGCGATAAGCCGATCTCTCTGTTCTCCAACTTCGGCTGAGATCCGAAGCTCACCACCACACGACATATCGAATCGCAGGCCTACTTCTATCTTCCTATAATGGCATTTGCTAATCGTTATTCAATAGTTCTTGCCCTCCTTGCTCTGGGCTTGAGTATATTGCGTGTCTCTTGGCAGGAGCAGCTTCCACCATAGATTTACACCATGGTTCTGCCATCCTGTCACCCACAGGGCGTCTGCCCCACCAAGGTTTTCCAAACCGCATTATATAAGACCAAGCGCCATTCAAAAAACATCATAGAGTTTCGCAGCCGTAGCCCGAGATCCACAAATAGTCACTATGCCTCTTCCAACAGCTGAACACCACCACATCGTCTTCCTTCAGGGGTCGGTACTCCAGATTCCCCAATTCGATCTCCCCGCGCCGTTCACCTATTCGCAGACCGTCTACCCGTGGACATCTTCGGCCGAAATCCCCGATCGCGTTCGTGACGCCTCCATAATAATCCTATCCGCAGCCCGAGTTGACGCCGCCGTACTGTCTCCCGATGTGACCCCGCATCTCAAGCTTATTGTCATGGTGGCTTCCGGTTTCGACTGTATCGACCTTGAGGCCTGCAGGAAAAGAGGAATTGTTGTCTGCAACTGCCCTAATTCCAATATCGAGGCTGTATCCGAGCACGCAATTGGGATGTACTTTGCTGCGCGACGAAAACTTCTAGACATGCATTTGTCAACAAGGGCAGGAAAGTGGAAAGAAAAGGGATCGTTGATGTTTGAGTATCTGGACAAAGATGGAACGCCTCCTTTGACTTGCCAGGATGAAGTCGCCGGTATCATTGGAAACGGCAGCGTTGGTAAGGCACATTGGCTCAAAGTATGGAACTAAGTCTAACCAGTATTAGGGAAAAGGATCGCCGCACTTGCGCGTAATTTGGGCATGAAGGTCTTGATATCAGACCGCAAGGCGTCTACAACAGCAGATTCGTTTAGGGTCCCATTTGACACGGTCATCAGGCAGAGTACGGTGCTTTTCGTAGCCGTTCCCCTTATGGATTCTACCCGGAACTTCATATCAACGCCAGAGTTTGAGGCCATGTCCTCCCATGCTGTGATAGTGAACGTTTCTCGGGGTGGTACTGTGGACGAAGAAGCTTTGGTCCACGCACTGCGCGAACGCAGAATCTCTGGGGCAGCAACCGATGTATTCAATGGCGAGCCTGCGGGTCCTGATACTTCGCCATTGCTAGCGGAGGATGCTAAAGACCTTAATATCATCGCCACCCCTCATTTGGCTTGGCTATCCCAGAGAACCTCAGTCAACTATGGCTCAAAGCTGAAAATAGCAGTTGAGGCTTGGGCTGCAGGACAGCCTGTCAATGTCGTGTCATAACCGCCATTTATGCCGTTTGGCTTGCATGTATAAAATATAAACATGGTTGGGGGCCCTCCGACTTTTCCGCGTTGAACTTGTTCATGAGGAGTTATTTATACTGTACAGCGAGGTAAAGTCGCTTGAATCCTCAACAAAAAACTAACTTCGGGGCATGACGCCTTTCAGAAGATCAGCAGGTAATCATACTTAATGTTGACTTAAGCTCAACCATCAGACCATCGTACAACTTGCTCCCCTTCGTCCTAGAGCATCACATAATGCGCAGACATCACATTCCCGTACCGTCCCAAGAATGAACAAAAGTAAACACATCCAACTGACCCATCAGTTCGAACCTGTACGTGACGATGCCGCCGTGTGGAATGTTCAGCGCTGCGGATCTGCATACCTCTCGGAGGCAACTCGAGTTTTCGAGGCTCAACCGCCGCACCTCAACTCGCACCAGCCAAGGACATAACCGCGCTTCAGCGCGTTTAGTCACGACTTCGTGTCGCGATGTTGGGTTTCAGCGTTCCTCCCAGCCATGCATACACGTTTGTGCGAGACGAATGGTGGCGAAGTGCTCTTCATCTACGACGAAGAGGGGTATAATAAAGCGCAGTTAGTTGCGGGATAGCTAGATAAATTATCAAGCAATTTAATCTTTCTTGAAGTTCTTCTGGAGATAGTGCCTTGACCTGGCCATTTCTACCAACCACTATACCCTATCTATACTCTATACCTCACTCCCTACCTATACCCTACTCTACTCTACTATCACTCCATCCTATACTCACGCATTGCCCAACCAGCAAAATGCACTGGACAACCGTACGTCCTCTTTCCCCCTCTCCATAGCATAGGATACCAACACTAACTCAACCCCAGGCCCTCCTCCTCACCCTCCTCTCAATCTCACCCCCCACGCTCGCCCGCACAACCCGCATCCTCACAAAATTCACACCCTCATGCCACACTCCCTCCGAAGCCCCAGACACAGACGACCTCGACTTCAACCTAGACGAGGAATTCACAGTCGGCCTGAACATCCGTTCAGGGATATGCCAGGGTGTCCCAGTCCCCCTACCACTAGGCTTCTACGACGAAGTCGACTATGTCTCGCTCGAGCTCGTCGTCCCCGAACCACACGTGCTACACACACCCCGCGCCAGCAACAACAGCCCCGCGCCGAACCTGGAAGTCTGCACGGTCCGGCTGTTTGAGAGACCAGGGTGCGATGATCTTGACACACCGCTTATCCAGCGGGAGTTTGGGGTCGGTGCGGGCGTGGGCGGGAGTAGTCAATGTGTCCAGCGGAGTGTGGAGTACATGGGGCTGGGCGAGGTCTTTGTTAGGATTGATTGTGTGGATGGGAGTTTGCCGCGTCCGGGTCCTGGGGTGGATGGGGGGTTGCAAGACGCGGGGAATAATGGGACGGTGGTGTCGTTTGCGAATGGTACCGCTTCGGCGACGATGATGGCTAGATCAAAGAGTGGGATTGGTGCTGTGCTTGGGAGGTGGCAGCGGAGGAGGGTGGCGCTTTTGGGGAGGTAGATTGGTTGACCTTGATTTCTGGTTCGGTTATTCTAGGGATTCAAGTTGGCGTTTGGATAGAAGCTAGAGCCATTTTGTCTTTCTCGGATTTAATTGTATAGAAAGGCTTGTTTATGTTTGCTTCCTCCTCTGTACTAAAGCCTAGGGCAGTGTATAACCCCGGCTGACTCCGATTCCGACTCCGACCCCGACCCCGATTTGTCTCCGTTTCTTCTGTCTCACTCTCTTTCTCTTTCTCATTTCTCAGTACCGAAGAGGAAAATGGTATACCGACGTCAACCGCCCAAGCGATACGCATGCACCCGCTGCGTCAGACACAAAGTCAAATGCGTTCCTGTAGCGGGTGGCTCGGCATGTCAGCGCTGTATTCGCCTTGGCCATCCGGCTTGTGTCTTCCCTGCTGAGATGCGCGGAAACCCTAGTACTGCTGCCTCTACTCCGGCCTCCAACGATACAAACGAACATGACAAAAATGAGGAAAACGGAAAGGAACATGGTCGGGACCTCACTGGCCAGATCCAGGAAATCATCAGCCCAGATCAAACAACAACTCTTTTTAGAAAATACATTGAACAGAAACAACCACACTTCCCCTTCGTCATCATTTCACTAGAACACGAAGCAGACATTCAAGTCTTACGAGAACAGTACCCGTTTCTTATACTGTGCGTGTTGACTGCATCTATGGAGCATAACCCGGCAGCGCAAGAGAGATTAGAAGGCCTTGTCCGGAAGGAAATCGCAACCCGTCTTGTCGTGAAGCTTGAACGGAATATGGACCTCCTGATGGGCTTACTCGTACACGCCGCTTGGTATCATTATCATTGGAGAAGCTACCATACGCAGATGTACATGCTGCTCCAGATGGCGGTTATGGTCGTGGGGGACCTAGGGCTTGATAGGCAGCATGGATTTAGGATGCAGACTATTCCGGTCAATGGGAAGGAATTAGACCATGACCATACCGCTCTAGATGCTTGCCGAAAGGAAACGAGACATCAGCCTGCTCAAAGTGCTGCTGGTAAGCGCGCTTTGCTGGGTTGTTATTACCTTTGTTCAACGTACGAGAGTCCATCTCTCATGTCGAACCGTTGGCTAATTGTTTCAGATCGTCGCTTTTCCGGCGGCAGCTATATATGCGACATACGCCGTGGGTCAATCAATGCGCGGCAGCTTTGGCTGAGAGGGCCGAGTATCCGACAGACGCAAGGCTCAAGACTTATATTGATGTCCACGTCCTAGTGCGCCAGAGCCAGCTTCTCTTCGACGAAGAGCGTCAGTATCTGGATTCGGTTTCTGATGGACCTTATATCAGGGAACAGATCACTGAACTTAGAACACAGCAACGAGCGCTAACGGAGACCTCGTTAGGGTCGCTTGGCAGTGATACATGCAAAGCCTGTAAGCTGCCCGGTCGAAACTCGAATCCGTCAGGAGCTCACAAATAATAGGGCAGTTACGCATCGAGATTGGAGGTGCAACGGCATTGATACTAGGTCAAGCACTGAGCGGGCAGCAACATGTCTTCAAGCTCCAGGAAATGAACCAACTTGAGGCCCTCACAGAGTCTGCGCATCATGTCGTGGACACGTTCCTGGCTGCTCCTGTGTCAGTTGCAGCTCACCTTTCTGCCCCGGCATATGCCACCATCTGGTATTGTTTACTCGTTCTGTCAAAACTGAGTATACTGTTTCATCCTAATGAGCACCGAGCCATTGGGGTGGATAAGAAGAGGATCCATGATATAGGCGTCGCTATAATGGCAAAGTTCAAAGAGCTCGCGCCTGAGAATGGAAAAGAGAATTTCTGGGCTAGGTCGAGCAACGTGATCGCAAATATGCTGGCTTGGTTGCAGAGGTCAAATGGCAACGCCAGCGGGAACTCTCAGCCGATATCTGTGGGACATGATACCCTTGGCAAGCCTGGGTCAGATGCCTCACAGGATCACGAACCGAAATCAAGTCTGGCTCAGCAGGCTGTTTGGCAATCAGCGGGCTCCCCGGGGAATATCGCACCCATGGACATGTGGCTTCAGCCGGTAGACGCTTTTGATCCCAGCCTTTGGCAGCAGATGCTCGACAATTTTACCTGGTTTGGCCCAGTTGCGGGGGATAGCCTCGGGTTTGATCACCACGGCATCTGACTGAAAGAACCTTAGGTGGGACAAGCTTCGACGCGGGCCAGAAAGCTTTGTTTCCCGACCGCAGCTCGCATCGTACGCATCTGTCGCAGTCTGCATCAGTCGTGAAACCAGACCTTGCAGTCTGCTGTACAAGACCTCAATGCTCAACGCTCTTGCAGGCTAGCTTTGATAAACGTGGTCAATATTCGTCCAAGCTTGACCGGTGATAGGCTCAGAAACAGTTCGACTGCGATATGTTTCAGGCTCAAGCAGCTCGAACTCCGCGAACCTCGGGCGGAGTAGTGGCTGAGGGTTAGGCCGTTGTAGCCGAAAGAAATGGGCCAAGTGGTGACGGTTTGTTTCAAGTCGGCCCTAAGCGGATGGGGTGACATCTTTAATCTTCTGTTATAAGAGCGTTGGCAAGGCCGAGTGCATAATCTGCGACCAAAGGGCCCATCGCACCCCGTGACAATCAAAAGACGAATTGTCGCAAATTGCCCTCGAGTGAAGGAAATGAGTGTGTCCGCAGTCGGTCAGCTCGCAGCGCTTGCTGTTCGGGATAGCCGGGAAGCGATCAGCAGTGAGCGCTAGAAACCACCTTATGTAGCTGTATTATTGTTGGCATAATTCTTGGTTTTCGTTTTCAGGTCGAATCAGAGTAAACTGGACTTCTTGGATGTCTGAGCCACGGGTCGCCATTCACCATAACTTGGACCATGGTGATTACCCCTGATCCAACACTAGGAACCATTATTCATGGTTCTTCAGGGCGAGTGGGACGAACGGGAGATTTGATGCTGGAGCCTGGACGATGCCGTGCCTTTGTTGCTCAGGGAGTATTTATTTCCAGAAATAGCGCAAATTGTCTGATGAAAACTCTGCGAATTGAGAGTTGTGGGCTTGATGATTGATCACGGTGGGTGAGGCCGGGGAATAAGCAAAGAGAGACAGACCCTCGTGGAGGTGTGTTTACTTTACAACGGCAGGTACCAGGAACCGTAATTTACCCCCGTCAATCCCTCAAACGGCAGCTTATTATTGGCCACTGGGTTAGAACTCATTAAACTTTGGTAAATACCAGTCACGGTCCCTCAATCACAATCGTCTCCCACTCTGTCATCACAGCCTCTCCTCTCTTCATCTCACTCAGCCCAGTCTTTGAGGTCTCTCCTTCCTTTCTCACGGGGCCACTGCGTCTCTTTCGTTCTTTCTTTCGAATCTTCGCGGCCTGGAAGCTCGTTGTCATTCTTTTATCCTCCTCGGTCGACCCAGCCGTCGCCGAGTATACGAATACTTCCGTTCCTTTCCTGCACCTTCCCACATTCCTTAACGCGCTTGCGCCCTTTTCGCTCCTAACGCGCCTCACGCCTGTACTTTACGACCCAGAGGGCGTCCACGATATCTACCAGCCTCGCTCGCTCTCGATTCGTCCCCAATCGCATCTCGAACGTACCCGCACAAAGCCGAAATAAGGACTCGACCTACTTGAATTCGCCGAGCATATGTCTCCTTCCTGAAGGCCTTCTCGGACAGTGTATTAGCGGAGGACGTGGCATCTTCCAAAAACTGCACATCATGGTCCACGCACACCATCACGAACACAAGGTCCGCCTTGAGCAGCGTGACCCCAATCCAGATGGAGTCACTGTGTATGTTACGGCAGAGCCGACCTTCACTGGCGCGATAGGCGGATACTCTACTCAAGGACAGGACGACACTACTGAGGCTACCGAGACCGAGGCCGCTACCAAGACTGCCAATAACGTCGGTGTCGGTGCGCCTGTCCACCAAACCCGATCAACCACAGAAGAGGAATCGTCGGCGACTGCGACAGCCACAGCAACCGAGACCGAAGATGATGAAACGACCACAACGGATGCGTCTACTCGCACCACCGCGACTTCGACCGTAGAGCCTACCGAAGCGACGACTAGTACGGCTGACTCCACGGCCGACACCGAAGCAACATCATCCGTCCAAACTACTTTGTCGACAATCACGACCAGTGCCACGGAGTCTGATGGCAGCGCGACTTCCACCTACATCGCTGACCAGTCGACCGCCACAGGCTCTAGCGCTGCTGCTGTTGACTCTGGTATCTCTTCGGGCGCTAAGGCTGGAATTGCGATTGGAGTGATTCTTGGTGTTGGATTGATTGCTGGGTTGATCTTCTTTTTCATCTGGAAGAAGAAGAAGCAGCAGCAGCAGCAAGGCCAAGGCCTGGAAGAGAACAATACGACGGATTTCAACGAGAAATCTCCGGTTTACACCGCACCTTCTCTCCAAGAGCGTTCGCCAGCTCCAGCTCACGCTCCACAGCCCATGGCCCAACCCAACGTGCCTCAGCTCGATGTTCGCCCTGTAACTCAGTTCGCCCCCGACTTGACTCCCATTCAAGGTGGTATCACTCCTGTGTCCACAGTTAGTGCCGCAGGTGCTCTTGGATCAGCCGCCGCCGTTTCGCGCAACCTCACTGGAAATTCTCCGCCCCAGACCCCGCAGTCAGGTATTAGTGGCCGTGATCCATTCGGCGATCCAGTCAACCCATTCGGCAGCCAGGCGGAAGTTCATTCTCGTCCTTCTACTGCCGGTCATCAGGTAGATGGCCCGTCTCCTGTTTCACCGGTTGCTCCAGTATCTCCAGTGCCTACGCCAGCAGCTTGGCCTTCCGCTACAGCTTTTGCCGCCGCCGTTCCTCTGCCTGACTCCCCTGCAGTTCCCAATTCCCCGGAACCTGTGTCGCCTACTGCTCCGTCGACAGCAGGCAATGAGTCCACCAACGCTGCTGTCGCGACGGCCGGGATTGCTGCGGGTACTGCCGCTGCCGCTGCTGCTGCTGCTCAGAGCGCTGATACCGACGCGGCTAGCCGCCCTGGAACCTCCGATTCGGAAGCCTCGTCTATCCCTGCTCCCACAGCTCCCAACTCCAATGTGGTAGACCCAGCTGTGGGCGCCGCTGTCGCTCCTCCTGGCCCCGGCCCTGCCGCGCCGATCAATGTTCATCGCGTTCAAATGGATTTTACTCCATCAATGGAGGATGAATTGGAACTTCGCGGCGGTCAACTTGTAAGGCTCCTGCACGAATATGACGATGGATGGGCTCTCTGCGTGAGGCTCGATCGTTCCCAGCAAGGAGTCGTCCCTCGCTCTTGTCTGTCAGCTCGTCCAGTCAAGCCCCGTGCAAGGCCGCCACCTGGAGCTGGGCCGGGTCCTGGTCCCCGTGGACCTCCTCCTGGCCCGCCTGGCCCTCCAGGACCTCCCGGTGCTCCGGGCTCCCCTAGGATGGGCCCGCCTGGCCGCATGCCGCAATCACCGCGCTTCTACCCCGGAGATGGCGGCAGGCCCGGCTCACCCTCTTCGCGTCCTAGATCTCCCGCTCAAGCAATGTCTCCTGCACAAGGTCCCTACGGACCTCCTCCCCCGCATGGTCGACCTCAGCGTCCAATGTCTCCTGCTCAGTTCCCTGCAGTTCCAAGGTCACAATCTCCGGGCCCTCGACAGGCGCCGCCCCGTTCGATGAGCCCCGGCCCCTACGGACTTCCCGGCTTGCAAAGGCCGGAGATGCCGGCGGCCAACCAACGTCAGCGTAGCAACAGCACCGGAGGCGCTCTGCAACATCCTCGAGGCCCCCCTGCTCCCAGCCCGAGTCCTCTGGCCGCCCCATCTGCGCCGCCACCCACTAGTGCACTCCCAGCGATCCCTACAAACCCTGCACCCGCTCCATCCAGTGATGCATGATTCTGTGATCATATCGCACACCCGCCAAAATCATCAATCGGTACCGGATAGCTCAATAATAGCGCGCACTCCACTATCCTAGTACTCGACTAATGTGGAACCCAGAACCTCCACAGCTTTTTCATTCTACTTCTTTTCATCAACCCATCATTACCCGAACTTTCCACTTTGGCTTCCATCATTTACGTTGTTGACGTTTTACCACGCTTCTCTGTCCAACGAAAAGCAAGCTCCAGAGATATGAGTTCATCATTTCCCTGGCTTCCTCTGCCTCGCTGAAGAAGACCTGTGAGCCTATGTCTATTTAACGTTAACGGGCTATACCCTATTTCAATGTCTGTAAGACTTACTGTACGCCATTACAGTTACACAGCATGTTTCTATCTACTTTAGCCAATTTATCTTCCTTTTCTTTTGATTAACTTTTCACCTGGCTACTTTGAGGTTGCCTGTGCAAGTCCAACTCTCAAGTTGCTTCGTCTAGTGCGTCTCATCTCGAAGCCTCATGTCGTTTCTCACGGCCAATTGTATTTGCGCTGATTACTAGCCCGCGGCCTAATTGATCTAGGTATGTCAGGAGCTTCCTTTTACCACAAGATTGGTAAGCATGTCGGCCTCGGGTTTAGATGCTCGCCGTTAAGTGTTAACTCCGTCGCTACTTGCTAAGAGATACAAACCAAAACACTATAAGGAACGATGCACTGGCAGTTTGCAACTCGATGGCCAGAGTAATCCGCAATTTTCTCCGGTACAATGGCTTCCTCCAAGACTCTCGTTCTTATCACCGGTGGTACGTATTCCAGCCCCTCTCACCGGCTTTCTCTCAATGATCAACATACTGAGTGGCTGCTACCCCAGCAACAAGCGGCATCGGCCTCGAGCTCGCAACCCAACTTCTAGCAAAAGGCACATACCATGTCCTCCTCGGCGCCCGATCCCCCGAGAAGGGCCACGCCGCAATCGAGGCCATTCGCACCAAGGACCTTCCCGGCTCTATCGATCTGCTTCATCTCGACGTAACCAACGACAGTACCATCGAAGCCGCCGCTGAGCACGTCCAAGCCGTCCACGGCCACCTAGACATCCTCGTTAACAATGCTGGCGTCTCGGGTATTCTAACACCACCGAACCTCCGCGAGCAAATGCGCACATCCTTCGACACAAACGCCACAGGCCCAGCAGTCGTCACGAGTATATTTGCGCCGCTACTACAGCGCTCTACCTCAGGAGCCCGGCGGATCATCAACATCACCAGCGGTGCGGGATCCATTACGCAAAGGCTGGACCCGTCCTCGGCCATCTATAAGGTCCAGCAGGTGCAGTACCGGGCTAGCAAGGCCGCGTTGAATATGGTTACTGCGTGCCAGGTGGTTGATTTTGAGCCGTACGGGGTGAAGGTCTTTTTGTATGACCCGGGGTTCACGCAGAGTAGTCTTGGCCCGCATAACAAAGCGGAGAATGGTGCGAGGAACGTACGGGACTCGGTTAGGCCTTTGATGGATGTGTTGGAGGGGAAGAGGGACGGGGAGACCGGGAGGATACTGCATAATACGGGGATTTACTCGTGGTAGATTGGTTCGGCTTGAATTAGCTACAGGAGATGTAATATGATAAATACCTCTTTCTTGCTATACAATTTATGATCCGGGCTAACAGCCATAAGTAGCCTGCGTGTCGTGCGAGATATGCCGATTTCCAATGCCGGCAGCTGGGAGGTAGACATCTACCCTCAGTGACCATGATCAAAGCCGGGTATCCCAGTTGGTCTCGGTCATGCTCGTGCCCTCGGAGACTGGCAGGCAAGTCTTCAAGTCGAATTCCGGGTCAACCGTTACGTAGATGGCTGGTTCTAGATGAACTTCGTGGGCAGAAAGGTCACATCGATTGGTGCAGAGCCTCATAAGGGGCAGTTATCTGCTTACTGCCTTTGCGTCATATAGATCCATTGAAGAGGCTGTACCGCTCTATCGCAGTCAAGCCGATGCCGAAGCTTCCGCCAGAAACCACCAAGGTTACTCCGAACAGGATGATGGGATGCCTGACCGGCCCACTTGGCAAAGCTTATGGGGGCCAAACTACAGTGACGACAACCTTGGAAGCCTCAAGTTTAGAGAATCTGGGGGCCAAAACATGGAGATGCTTGCGACTACAGGGTAACCCCTTGCAGCCATCACTCGTCTGCTCGCGTTAGATATCACATTGATCTGCAGTCCTTCAGGGGCCAGAGTCCAGACAAAGGAATGCTGGTCCACTCGAAGGATTCACAGCCCATACACTGTGCTGTAGTTGGCCGTTGTGTCCTTCATATACAGGCATGTATGTTCTATGACTTCGACCTCAAAGGAAAGAGTCTCACGATACTTGCTTGCTCCACCACGTCACTTTCTCAGGACATGGCAGCTCAGGCGCAGGCAGTTGGGACATAAATACCCTTCCAGTCCCGAGACTTTCTGGGCATCAACAACATCAATCAGATCACAATCAATTCTACTCAATATCTCCTATCCTCTTTTCGCAAGACCAAACCGGCCAAAATGTTCACCAAGTCTCTCATCGCCCTCTGCGCCATGGCCTCCACTGCCATGGCCGTCTCCAACACCATCAACTTCGTCTACTCGGCCTCCTCCTTCTCCGGCATCCAAGGCTCCGGCAACTCCTACTCCGAGGGTTTCAACCTCATCGACGGCGATGGCAACGTGCTTTACAACAGCGACTACCCCGATGGGTACGCTCCCTGCATGGATGGCAGCAACAACATCAAGATCACCTCGGACTGCTGGTCGGGCACTTACACCTTCCGGTGCACGTCTGCCTTTGACGGCAGCCCTGAGTCGTGCAGCGTTGTTGACGCCGACGGAAACGAGACTGCTGGCGAGGCGGACGAGAGCTTGTCTTTCACGGGCATCAGTGCCGGCATTGATGGGACTTGTGGTGGCGTTATTACCACTGATAGTGATGCTGCTTGCTCGGCTGATAGTACGTTTACTATTGAGGGACGCTACCGTGGGGACTATGATGCTTCTGCGTAAGCTGGAGAGGGAGCAACACCGCAAGCATGTACTTATTGAGTCCTTTGGGTCAGATCTTCTATATTGATTATAAACGTTTCAATTTTGCCCCGACATCAAGATAGTCAGATTTCCTACACAGAAGCCATTTCTTACTTGTCAGAGTACTCTCACGGACATTCATGGTACTTGCTAATGATATGCACCCGGTAGGACTCGCTGGGAGCTCCCAGCCTCATTTCCTCGAACGATCATATAGTAGTGCGTGCCACTTGTGTCTTTAATACTCATAGTCGAATGTCAAAAATGGATTAGCCATTCGACCTGATAGTTCGGCGTCGACGTCGTTGAAGAACAGGAGGTATGAAGAAGACTGAAGCACTCAGAGAATGAGGAATAGGTCTCTTCATTGCTCACTTCATCTTAGAGGTAAAAAGGCCTGCAGCAGCCTGCCGATCCGCCGGCCGAGATGTCGCCTGAAGATGCATCCAGGGGACCATACGAGAGGTTGTCTAATGAAGGAAGGAGGAGAGCTTTTCCAAAGAATGTTGGAATGGGCAGCAAAAGAAGGCTACGTCCAAGTGTTGGAGCTGCTATTAGCAAGACCCGATGTGCACCCCGATGGGAAGCGCGGGACCACACCTGGGCACCCTTAGATGTGGCTGAACAGGGAAGTCATGATGCCGTCGCTGAGATGTTGCTCAAGCATGGCGGGGGCAATTGGAACAAGGGAGATCAAACCCTCAGCCATCATCCGGCTGTTTTCGCGAATGTGTTGCCTGGTTTCTGGTTTTCAACTTGAGGACAAAGTGGTTTTGCTCTTGATGCCCACTGGGTTTCTATATAGCGAATCTTGGCGATTATTGGGTATATGCAATGTCTATTTATTTGGTTCTTTCCATTCGTTCGTAGTCGAATCTTTTGAGACTCAAGACTGATAAGAGGGCTGGCAAAGGAGACGAAGTTGAAGAGCAGGTCGAGAGTCGAGACCCGAGTCCGAGGCTGAGCTTGATCGGCCGGGCGCGGGAGGCGGTGTGCTTAGCCTATTTGGGACTAGCCAGTAACGACCCTGTGGCTGAGTCATCTCCCCCGTACTGACTCGGATTCCGGAATCTCCGTCGTCATCACCGTCCGCTTCCGTAGACCTGGAAACAGTCCCTCCTCGGCGCGCTGCCTGTACTCTGTTTGTCTCAATTATCCTAGCTCGCTTGCTCTACTCGAATCCTATTATGCGCCTCTCCGGCGGTCGTTTTTCCCGCTGTGTACTGTGAGAAGCAATGGATCTCTCCCGCCAGGAGTATCCAGCCTTGCTGGTACGGTGTACCCGATCCGATCTCATGCCCTCTCCGCTTACCCCAACCCATCATGCGACCCTGTATTGCAGTGTTCTTACTCTTCACATAGGCATCTTTACAACCAAACCAAGCCGCGTCTGTATTAGCCGATCGAATCCGTGTCATCAACAAGATCAATGCGGACATCGCGGATTGGCTGCAAGTAAGTACTTTTGGTCTTCTCCATCAATTGCGATTGCGACGGCCTAACTTGCAATGCCTCTACTACAGGAACGTCGCCGCATCGAAGAAGCCTATGCGCAGGGGCTACGAAAACTCTCCCATCGGCCCCAATTGGACAATGCAGCTGCCTTAGGGTAAGGCTGACTACTTTTGCTTGCTTCTCCCTCTACCGGGCATACCGGTGTAACACCACGCAATGCAGCGAGGCTAACTGATTCGTTGAATTTCATTTTAGAATCTTCCAAATACCATGGCAGCGCATTGTCAGCTCGGTCGAATCGGTTGCTGCCTCGCATGAGACGTTTGCGCAGAAAATCGATGAAGACGTTGAGCGGCCATTGAGGGAATTCAATACCAAGAATAAGGAGCTTGCTTCGATGCCCGGAGTTCAAAATGACCTTACAGCTCTAGCTAAGAACGTGGAAAACTCGCAGAAGAAGGTAGAAAAGGCCAAAGAGAAGGGCCCGAAGGGCGCGGACAAATTAGCGACTGCTGTGAGTGCTGCGCACGAGGTGAGCCAGCAGTGGGAGTCGAGAGCGCCGTTTGTCTTCGAACAGCTTCAGGCGGCGGATGAAAGCCGACTCAACCACCTGCGAGATGTTCTGACCCAACTGGAAACCCACGAGTCCGATCAGATTGAGCGCTGTCGGCAGGCGGCGGAAAGCTGCTTGAATGTCCTTCTGAATGTGGAAACTGCAGATGAGATCAAGACTTTCGCTGCGAAGATTAACGGAGGACGACCAGTTGCGCCACTGCGACAGCAAACATTTTCACCTACGCCGGTAGCATCACCTCCGACGTCTTCAGGACCGGAACCGCCCCTTCCACCTCCGCCGCGTGTTCAGGATGATGCTGCTAGCCATCGATCTACGAGTTCCGGGCGAGCGAAACCACCACCACCTCCAGGTGAGTTTCAGAAAACTTGTTCTTTGGCTCGGACAAGGCAAATGCTAACATCTATCCCAGTCCCGGAGCCTCGGCATGGAACGCCATTTGGTGGTCTCAGACGGCTAGGTACGGTCATGAACAGAAGAAAGAGTATTGCTCTGCCTTCTGGCCCGTCGTCGGACAAGAAGTACCGTAGCCCGTTCTCCTCCTTCAAGCGGGGAGACGCGCACAACATGCAGATCCCAGAAGACGCTCCTGAGCGCCCGGACACCGCCGTGACCTCACAAGGCAGCTACAGCGAAGCCACTCGCCTTCCAAGCGAATCTAATGATCGAGAAGACAGAGGCCACTTCTCGCCTAGCCCCCCGCCACACCCGGCGATTCCTGACACGAACGGGTTCATATCACAAGGAAACGCGGCCCCAATAGGCCTCACGGGTGTCACAACTGAGGTACGTCACGCTAAGACGGTCTTGGACGCGGAAACTAATCCTTTGCCCTAGCCTCGAGTGGATGCGGAGGGTTACTCTGAACGACCGCAGACTATTGACGAGATTACTTTGGCGCAGCGCGAGGCAGCCGGGTAAGTCTATCTGAACCATATATCCAAATAAAAGCCAGCTAATAGCTCAGTAGACATGAGGAATCAGGGCTGAACTTGACGATTAGAGATCAGCCGATTCCTGAAGACGAAAATCAAGCTCAACAAGCGATGAATGACATGGCTAGCCAGTTACGACTTCAAGCGCAGCAAAGCGGAATAAGGCGAAATGCGAGCACGATACGTGGACGACGCGACGTCCGTAACACCGTCTTTGTCCCTACCACACCGCCACCGGTACACGCTGTTCCGAATCTAGCCACAGCTCACGACGTCTCTGAGCCCACATCTCCAACTTCGCCAGGAAGACATGTAGCTTCGCTCAGCAATGCTACAGATGACCATGCGCTGTCCGACACAACTTCAGTACGCTCATCGCACACTTTGCACAGCATCTCAGGCCCTGTTGCGCACTCCGAACTACATGAGCCTGGGTTGAATGCGTCCATTATTGAGACAGTCAATGCCTGGTTCTCCGAGGGCGTGGTGACCAAATCGTTCGTTGTCGGCGAGCTTGCCCTGGCGTTCAATGCCGCTCAAGATACCCCGTCGGACAAAATCCGAGTCCGTCTGAATAACTTCCCGGTCCTCGAGAAGGTAGCCGCAAACCCGAATTTTATCCGTGAAGTGCAGGATCAGTCGGACGACAAAAGGGGCGAGTACGATGTTTCACTTCCCAGTATCACACGTCCTGCTCCCACTGTCGGTTTCAAGTACCAGGTCCATATCAAACCTGAAGACACATCGGCCTTTTGTCCAGTCATCTTCAAACCAGTGTGGAACCTCGAGGAATTCCAGGCCAGCGTGATCATCTTCTACTCGCTAAACCCGTCCTTCGCATCCTCCATGTCTAAGGACTCAATCACACTGACGAACCTGGTGCTCACTGTCAACCTGGACACGTCTCCCCAGGAAGATCGAGAAGTCGCCCACGCCACCAACGCCGTTATGTACCCCAACACCGGTGCCGTCTTCCGCCGCAAGCAGTCAGCGGTGATCTGGAAGATACCTGAGTTCGAAGTGAGCAGTGGATCGGACGGGAAACTCCTCGTTCGCTTCTCAACGGCAAACAGCTGGCCGCAGAAGGGCAAGGTCGAGGCGAAGTTCGAGGTCCGCACGCCTGATGCTGGATCGCGCCTTGGGATTAGTGCTGCTTCAAGACCGGCAGGGTCGGATCCTTTCGCGGATGAGGATAATGCTCAACCCCAATGGAATGATGTCCCGACGACGCGGAAGCTCGCTGTTGGGAAGTACGTTTCTTCCTAGGTTATAATAATAGTTGTCAATACCTGCGCCTGGGTTCCTTGGTGGGTACATTTGTACCGATGGCGAGTGAGGACCTGCAACTCACAGTACATACAATACCAATTCTTGTACGAACATTCCATGCCCCTAGCCGTCTCCCTTTTGCTTTTTCGCTGTATCGCTTTCCTTACATACTTATCATTATCCTGGTGCAGTCCTAGTGTTGTTGTATTTTCTTTTGTTTTGTCCCTTAGCATCTCTGTTTGTTTCAGTTATCAATCTGTTTTGGTTTGATATTTATAATCTTTAGTTTTATCTTTCCTTGCTACGTGCTCTGCCTTTGTATACAGTAAGCATTGTGAATAGTTGTCTGTAAATAGCCTGGCTTGGTGCATTTTTTTTTGGCTTTGTACCACTGCAATAATTTATCCCTATGCAGCAAGCTTTATATATTTAAGTGAGAAGTCGGTAAGGCATCTTAGACATGAGTACCAAGAATTACTCACATTTAGAAACTATCTGCCTTCGTGCATCCCAGGAAAAGCTATCATGTCGTGAATCTTAGTTCCGGTCAGCTTACGTATGGTTAGGGCTCGAGGATGTTTGAGGAGGGCTGTTGCGCCCGGATATCATTTCATCTCAGTAACCAAGATAGATCAACCATCAAGCAGAGTAGCGTACAGACAGCGAATATACAGAAGAGAGAAGGGAATAGCGCACGGTAGATCGAATAGCTGCACAGAAACGGCAGATCGAGAGGGGAGAAACGGAACAGGAAAAAAAGGAAATCACATCCTCGCCGCCCTTGTCGTCTTATCATAGAAATCCAACGTCATGGCCGCCAGAAAGCAAGGGATATCCTTCCTCTCCTCGACCCAAAACTTAATGAGGTGCTTGATCTCCATCGCAAAGAGACTGTTTGGTCCGCCGGAAATCTTCATCGTGCCGTTCTCCCCGTCAAAGATGATCGAATTTTCCTCGCCGTTGCCCATGCTTCCTGGTCCCGTTGCATCAGACCCAGCGCCGTCCTCGCCGTGTCGATACGCAGAGGAGAGATGGAACATGGATGTTACGCGGACGCGGCCGTTGGGGAGGAAATCGAGCTTGAAGCCTAGCAGGGAGGCGACGGCTTCCCGGAACTCGGAGGACTTGGCGGTCCAGATTTCTTTCAGGCGGCGCATGCGCTTCTCCTTGTCTGCGACTGCGCGCTCCATGTCTTGGACTTCGAGCTTCATCGCTTCGAGGGTGGAGATGGGGACTGTTTTGACGGAGTTGTGGTGGCCGCGGAGTTGAGCGAGAAGGTCGGCGTTCTCGTTCTTGAGGGTGGTGATTGTGGAGAGTTTGAGGTTTTCCGCTTGGGCCGTTGGGTTGTCGCGGAGTTCGAGGATGCGCGTGCGGGATTTCGCTTTGTAGTGTTTGAGTTGAGTCTTTGTGGCATCGAATTCCTTGCGGAGGAGGGTCATGGCTTGTTCGGATTTGGAGAGAGATTCTTGAAGTTTGCGGTTTTTGCGAGTGAGAACGGAGAGGCGTTCGGCTTCTGCATCGCTTTCGGCGGGTGAGAGAGGCCGTTTCGTGCCTCTGGGTTCGGTGGTGTCCTCTTGCTGAGGGGCCTCCCGCTTGGTGAGTTCCTCATGGGCTTTTGCGAGTTCTTGCCGAAGCTCGTCAATCATCTTCTCGAGATTGGCGATTTGCTCGGCTTTTTGCGCATCAAAGTGACCTTGCTCTGCATTCATGGTTTCCTCTTCGGTGTCGAAAGTCTTCAACTGGGCGCGAAGATATTCGACTTCCTTTTGAGCAAGTGCCCGTTGGCGCTCCAATCGAGCTCTGGCACGACTCTCTGCCATTGGGCCGTTTGCTGCCGTTCCGGCTGCACGAAGCTTCTCTATCTCTTGCTTCAAGTTGGAACGTTCGCTTTCCAGGGCCTTTATTTGTTCGTCCTTCTCCAAAAATTGTGCTTCGATACTTCCGAGCCGGTCAATGGCATCGGCTTTCTCAATCTGCTCTTTTAGCAAAGCCTTGACGACAGCTTCTGGTGAATTGTATTCTGAGGATTGGTCGCTGTCCTGTAATAGGCTGGACCATGATTTCCGCTCGTCTTCGAGTACTTGCTTCTGGATCTGGACAGTCTCCAGTTCGGCCTCAACTCCCTTTATGAGCTGTAGCTGGTTTTCCAATGATTTCTTTTGCTCTTCGACTACCTCGACATTCCGCTGTACCTTGCGTAGATGCTGTAACTCTGCGCTTTGTGCCCTGTTGGTGGTTTCCAGGGTCCTGATATGGTTGACTTGCTCGGAAAGTTCCCTCTTGAGAACAATCAGACTTTCCGCGTCATTTCCCTCGGCCTTTAGTCGGATATTTTCAGCTTCCAGATCAGCGATATTCGACTCGCGCTCGCGAAGCTTATCTTGTGCTGTCTGAGCCTCGTTCTTCGCGTTTTCGAGATCTCGATGCAGCTCATCGAGCGTTTTCTGGAGCGATAACCGAATGGTCTCTAGCTCATTAATCTGGTACTTCGCCTGTCTCTCCTGATCGAGCAACTGTTGTTGATTATCTTCTATATCCTCCTTTAGGGACTGATTCTGATCTTGAAGGTTGCGGACTTTTCGCTCTAGCTCAACTTTCTCGTTGAGTCCGTTTTCTTGGGCTTCTCTCAGCTCCTTCGCTAGGGCTTCGGTCTTGTGATTGGCACGATTGCTGGACGACTCGGCGGCCTGTGGAGCATGTTAAATCGGCAGTAAGATGATCGCAGGATAGTTAGCTGACACACCTGCGCTTTCCGAAAGTCCGCGTCCGCTCTTGATTGAAGTTCCCGGAGCTCCTTCTCATGGCGTAGGACCATCAACTCACGTTCTTGCTTGGAGTTGTCCAGCTCATATTTCAAAGTATTAACCTGCACTCGCAGTTCTTCCTTCTCAGGGTCTGTAAAGCCAATTAATTCCGCACAAACACGCCGCTCCCAATTATCAACGTACCAGGTTTCGGAGGACCAGCGGAACGGGCTAAGGATTGTCGCAAAACGCTCGGAGCCGGTGGAAGGACCAACGGTGAGGTATCTCTGATCGGGGATCCCATTGAAGGGATTGAGCTTCTCCTAAAACTCATCTAGAGCAAGTCAGCGTTACGTTCCTCGTGAACCGGCCTGCTATGCGGTCGCAACATACATCTGCAAGTGAGAGCTAACGAGTCGCACAGCAATCCAGCTAGGCCTGTAACCACATAGATTCGCGTAGCATGTAGAATCCCGAGTATATCTAGAGCAATCGCGAGATATTAATGAGAAGGAAGCGAGCACAAAATGTATGGGACAAAAGAGCTTATTGTTTGGGGAGACTCCGGTTTCTAGATGATTGCTGAGTCATCAGTTACAACCGCCTGGGCGCAAGAGCTTGCATTCCATAATCGGTTTAGCGCCAAAATTTATTCTTCCGAGATAATTTTGAATTTTGCTACTGTCGTTTCCTAACAGCACCACTCTTTTGCGCCGACCCCATTCACTTCCCAGATTCACCGCTCGAATCACCGCGCGCTACAAATAACGACAATGGCCAAGGACAAGTCTGAGAGAAAGGAGAAGCACGAGAAGAAGGAGAAGCGATCAGAGAAGGACGGTGTTCACAAGAGCAAGAAGGACAAGAAGGAGAAGAAGGACAAGACTGCCCTTGCCGATGCAGTACTGAAGGGAATTGAAGCCGAGGCTCCTTCGACAGCCCCCGTTAACGGCGTTGAGGCGACCACCGAAGTTGAGGCCCGCCCCATCGGTGCCCTCGTGCCGTTTGCCAGACCTCTACTCGAAGACAAGGCGGCCAAGAAGGCCCTGAAGAGTGTGAAGAAGGGTAAGCTCCCTATTGCATGACTGCGCTTTTTGCTTTATTTGGTACCCTTTTATGCTCATTCAATGCAAACTTCCACTCGCTCAATCTCTTGGAACTTCGATCCGTGCTAACTCGCATCTTTACAGCTGCCGTCAACAAGTGTCTCAAGCGTGGTGTGAAGGAGGTTGTTAAGGCCCTCAGGAAGTCGCCCATTCCCGCCCCTAACGAAACCGTCGCCATTCCCAACGGAGTCGTCATCCTTGCTGCCGATATCTCACCAATGGACGTCATCTCTCACATTCCTGTCCTCTGCGAGGACCACGGTATCCCATACGTCTTCGTAACATCCCGAGCGGAGCTCGGTAACGCTGCTGCCACGAAGCGTCCCACAAGTGTCACGATGGTTGTTCCCAAGTCTGCAGCCAAGGGCAAGAAGAAGGGCGCCGATGACGACGATGAGGATTTCAGCAAGGTCTTCGAGGAGCTCGCCAAGCTTGCCCAGAAGGAGCTCACGCAGGTGAACCTATAAGTGCCAGCTGGACGTCTAGCACCTTTCCTATTTTTCTTTTATTTTTAATCATACGGCTATTTATGCGTCTTGCCATATTCCACGACTGTACAGTTCCGCTTTGTTTGAAAAGACAGCGCATGTCTTTGGGGTCTGGCCTTCGGTCGTGTTCATCTGGGTTGATCTTTATGATTATCTGTTGCAATATTCGGCGTTCTCAATTGGTGTATGAAAAGGCAGGAAGTATCAAAATAACACGGCATGATGTCGATCGAGTTCCTCACGTAACTGACCGTCGTTTTGTAGCTGTCCATGAGCTCAATCTCTGGGCATCTCTAGGCCATGCAGGTCCTACCGATATTGCAGCTGATATTGCAGCTCAAGGCACAACCTCATGTCAGGGTTACTCGCATTAGACCTAAGACGTGACTATTCATTCAAACTACGCTTGGCTTGAAGACTGGAGAGGTCATTAAACCCAAATTCGTTTTGGTTCATATTATTTCATCTAATATACATGGCATGGTTCATCAAGAACAGGAATAGGGAATAGGTTGGTCATCATTAAAATGTTTAAGCACGCTGGTCACTGCTCAAAGGCTGGTACCAAGTCTGGTCACCGGTACCCTTCTGAGCCGGTGCCGCAGCAGCAGCAACAGTCTCAGCCTCTCGTCGCTGGAACTTCTGCTCAGCCAAGCGACCGGGGTCATCCTTAGAGCCGATCTCGGAGTTGAAGCTAGCGTTGTACTTGGGGTCACTGGGGAACTCGCCGCCCTGGCCAGCAGCGGCAGACGAGTAGTCCTGCTTCTTCTGCGCAGCAGTCGCGCTTCGGGTCTGGTATCCGCTTCCGCTAGCGGGAGCTTGAGACTTGCCCTGAGTCAGCTTCTCAGAAGCAGGGTACTCGTGCTTGTTGATGCCTAGGTCCTTCTTCGCTGCGCTTGGGCCGCCGACGTATCCGGTCTCTGGGACGTGGGCGCCTGGGAACTCTGGCTGGCCGCCGAGGGAGTCGGGGTACTGGTGTGAGCCGTAGGGCTCTTGACGCTCACGGGCGTTGGCGGCTGAGGGGAGCTTTGTTGCGGCGGATGTGTCGGTTGTGTTGGTGGTTGTGTTCTGGGAGGTGGCACCGATGGGCTCGGCGTTGCGGTTGGCGTTGTATGAGCCGCCGTGGCTGACGGATTCAGCGGCGAGGGAGTCCTTCAGGACGGGACCGGAGGGCTCGTTGACTGGGCGGTTGGCCATGGGGTCGGTGGTGTTCTTCATGCCACGCTGGCCAGAGGGGATGGGAGTGCCTTGGAGATCCATTGTGATGTGGTTGTGGTGTGATTGATTCGGTTGTGTAAGATGAAGAGATGTGGTAGAGTATTCAGTGCTCGTTTCCCTTGAATTAAGTTGAATGCTAATGTCTGGAACTCCTAGCCTACGATGGGAGAGGTTCTATATAGCATTGCTCTGCTTGTGGTGATGTCACGCTGACGGGCAAACTAGGGCTACTCATGGGTTAATCGAGCCACAGGTACGTCAATGAGAGACCCTGGTAGACCTTTCCAGATATTCAACCTGCAGTGTTGGTGACGCATTCTGGCCGGAACGGTGTCGAGCGAACCTGTGGGTATCGAGTCGAGCCGAATGGTGGGCTTTGATGCAATAATGCTGGGGTGTTTGACATACTTGACGTCACATTGGAACCCTCAAAACCGCAGCCAACTGTCTAGGCTCGAGAAGCTCGTCGGTCTGTATTATAGAATAAGTGGTCTATTCTGAGAATAACATAGACTTCAAGTGACTCGTAGTAATGAGCTGGGGTTGAGCCTGTTTATCCACTCGTCTCTTGGTTTCAGAATAGAGTATCACTAAGGGATATCGTCGATAGAGCAAGAGAACACAGAACAACTTTAACTCATCATAGTATATTCATTAATTTCAATGAGAATTAGTTCCTATTGATAATTGTTGAACCGAGTACTGGCAATGTAAAAATGAGCCTTGTGCTCACGTACTATGCACAGGCTATACTTAGGTAGCTATACGGGTAGGCAAGCATTGTTCTTTCCAAACATACGATAGGAAGAACAGCATGGTAGAGCCTCATTTTCAAGTACACAATCTATATACAGATAATCGTCTATGTAAAAGACATTCGGTTCAAATGATCATTATGCTTTCAATTTGATCGTATCACATCGCTATATTACATGCATCATATCAAATATCATGATTTACCGAGCCTGGGCATCGGCGGGGAGGTTACCCCGGCCAACATTGCTTGTTGGCTGTGTGTTCCTGTGCGTTTCCGATCCGTCCTCGCGGACACTGCTTGATGCGGTGGCGGGGCCGCGCAGGGCAGAGTTGTTGTCGCCGGAGATGGGAGCCTCAAATCGGCCGGAACCGACATTGACAGTGCGCTGATCGGCAGAGTTCCAGTCACTGGCGACAGGGGGCTGGTCTGGCAGAGGCAGGTTGGCCTTGGTGCTCTCAATGTCGGCCTTCTTGTCTGTGTTCTGGTCGATGATGGACTGCATTATGATTAGTTCCAGTTCAAGACTACTGCCAGTGCGATTTTGTGAAATAGGCTCACCTTCATGGCAGAAACATTAGAGTCCTTGGGAGTGTTGCCCTTGGCAGCGTGGGAAGCGTGAGACTCCGGCTTGCGGATGTCCTGAGTGGTGGTGTGGAAGGTGCTGTCAGACATTGTGGTGGTAGTGTTTCGTTGATGAGAAAGAGAGATAGAGTGTGGTAGTAACGGGCTTTTTGTAGAAGAATGTGGTTCTTTGACTGATTGATTGGTTCGATGATTCTGAGGACAAGAAGATGAAGTTCTCAACTCGAACTTATATGTTGGATACTTCTGGCATCCAATGCCATGAATCACGATGACGTTATGGCGGCCTTGGGAACCATGTCGCCGGTCAAGGCGACGGTGGGCCCGGCATCCAACATACGTAGCTCATTCGAAGAAAGAGGAACATTCTCTATCAAATTCCCTTGGACACAGTACTCCGTAGTGACTGGGACCCAGCCCCCTCCTGGACCATCATGTCTGAGTTAGGTAGGTAGCTGGTGGCAATACGTCATATGGCATATCTGAGCCTGGACATTCTGCCCTGACTATCACGATCTGACAGTGGATGACATTACCTAGCTGGATAGATCATAGGTCACCTCAGGGTCTCTAGTCGCGTGCGCTATTGCCAAGTTAACTTTGTCCCGCGACTGCTGCTCGCCGGTGTATCATTGATATCGGCATCTTTTGCTTGTCCGTAATCGGGCCGAGTATTACAGCCGGCGGACAACGACCGGATCTTGAACTAGGAAGAAATCAAGTAGAGTACTTGAAGTCAATAAGCTTCGGAGCAGCAATCATTTTTCTGACCAATGGAAGGATTCGCAAGCCGCAGTTTGTACTCCGTAGTTGTCGCGGAAACCTTTTGGCACGTGAGTAAATACTAGATTGTACTACACCGCCTGCGAATCTAATGCGGCAGAATTGGAATGCTCCCCGCTACACAATTTCTTGGTATACCTGACTTCGTCTGTTTCTGCTTTTATTTTGGTAAATCAGCTGCTTGATTATCACAGAAGTGCCTTACGTCTGTCGATATGCCAAGAGATCCGCTAGTTGGCTTGGTTGGGAAGGTCTGTTTGTCCGCGGCCTTATCTTCAACACCCCGCTAATTTGAAGTGAACTCTACAGCCGTCCAGTGGAAAATCTACGACATTGAATAGCTTGACAGATGCCTCTTCCAAAGTCGGTATGTACTTTTGCGCAAAAATGTTATTGAGGATATGTACTGATTGGGATCTTCCTTGATAGGAAACTTTCCGTGAGTCTTGCCTACCAAGGATCCGCCTATCTCCGCTCCGCCGCGCATTCGATCGCGACAACAGACATTACAAGCCTCTCCTACGCACGATCCTAATACTTAGCTATTCAGATTCACTACTATCGACCCCCAGCGAGCAATTGGCTACCTCCAAATAGATTGCGCCTGTCAGCGGTTCGGCGTGAGTGATAAATGCAAGCCAAACTACGGTGGATGTACGGATGGGAAGCGCTCGGTTCCCATTGAGCTTCTGGATGTTGCAGGTCTGGTTCCGGGGGCGCATCAAGGACGAGGCTTAGGGAATAAGTTCCTAGATGATTTGCGTCAAGCGGACGCCCTAATCCACGTTGTTGATGTCAGTGGGACTACAGATGCAGAAGGTCGGTTCCACAAATGCTAGCGGCCGCGCCGGCTCCATGTCAAATTGGGAGTTATTAATGCATTGGAGTACAGGAAAGGCTACACGAGGTTATGATCCGTCACAAGATATTGAGTGGTTGAGGTCAGAAATTGTGCGGTGGGTGCTAGGAAACTTGATGCAGAAATGGTACGGTGCCGACCTTCTCGTACAGGCATGTCAAACTAATATATCTAGGGGATCAATTAAACGAAGACACATGGCAATAAGTGAGTGGACGACATTGTGATCCTATCTAGTTGCTTTCTAATCTGGAGTTAGAGGCAACCGCCATGGATACACTACAAAATCAATTCTCCGGGTACGGAAGTACGCCGCAAACTGTCGCAAGATGCCTGGACAAATTAGGGCTCAAAGAACCACTCGAAGAATGGTCAGATGAGACCGTGGAAAAAGTCGTACAAGCATTCATTGACGAGAAATTTCCCACGGTTTTTGCTCTTAACAAAATCGACCATCCTGACGCAGATAAGGTTGGTGTTCTTTTCTTCTGCTCTACCAGTGCTAACTCAACTATCATAGAATATCAGTAAGATTGCAAAGATGCAAGATCCGCAGAGCATCGTCCTCTGCTCCGCCATTTCCGAGGTATTCCTTCGAAGACTTGCCAAGCAAAATTACGTCAAATATACAGAAGGCAGTGAATTCGTAGATACGAGGGAAGACCTTATCGCGGACGGGGATCCGGATGGGGGAGGCCTCAGGGAAATGGACGAGAAGCTGAAAACGTAAGTAGTGCGATTATACTCAACAAGGATTATGCTCACATCAATCAGCCGTGTGGAAAACTTGAAAGATATGGTTCTCTATCGTTTTGGGTCAACTGGTGTCGTGCAATGTCTTTCGCGGGCTGCCGAGGTTTTAGGGCTTGTGCCCGTCTTCCCTGTACGAAACCTACACACGTTCTCGTCAGGAGCCGGAACTGCAGCATTCCGAGATTGTGTGTTGGTCAAAAAGTGAGTCCCTTGAAGTTCTTATCATAACATTTATCATAACATTACTGAAATCCATATCAGGAATAGCACTGTGGGTGATGTTGCGCGGAAGGTCATGGGCGATGTACCCATATCTTATATCGAAGGTGTGGGTGGCGTCCGTGTGGCGGAGGATGAGGTTGTGGCAGTAGGGAAACACGATGTGAGTGCCTTTGACCATTCACCTAATGCTTTAGCAACTAACATCCCATGCCTGGAACTTTAGGTACTCTCATTCAAACCTGGACGATAGATATTCATGGATCAACTATAGACGATAAATTCTATATTGACTCCGCTGATACCTTGACTTGACTCGAAAGCGGCCATGTGTCGAGTAGACTTTTAACCAGAATAACTGCTCGAGAGGACACACGAGAACAGAAAATGTACATTGAACTGAATCACGACACGACCTGAAAACATCACAATCAAACGCAAGAGTGGCCATACCCAGCCCCATCAAACTCCCTTCTATAGCAAGGCCTTCAGTACCATGAAACCAGGTCCAGGAGGACGGCCGACTCACCTGTGCTCTTTCGTCATTAATACCTAGAACAGGCGTGGGCGCCTTTGGATGGTCCTTCTTGACCTTCTCCTGGTTCTTCAGGCCTCCCCTCTCAGTTGCGGCATCAGACTCGCCCCTGTTGCCCACGCCAAAATTCTCTTCTCTATCCTTCATCGTCCGGCTAGCCGCTATCGTCTCGGGGTCTGTGGTGTCCTTCTCCTTCTGCACGCGGTGGGTTGTGGATTTCTCTCCAGATGAGCCCTTCCAGTCCTGTGTTACGCCACTGTTGTGACGAGCTTGCGAGCCAGATGTGCGGAGGATACTCGATCGGCTTATCAATGAGAACAGAGGCCGTGAGCTATAAGTCGAGGTTCTCGAAGCTAAGGATAGCATACGGGCGCTGTGAGATGTAGACGGGGACATGGTTGTATGTAGGTAATCAAGATTATGAAACTTGCTTCTGGTTCAATTGGGGAAATCATTAACAAACCCCGGGCCTTAGGACGGTTATATTTGACTCTTTGCCCCGTGCCATACCCCGGTTTCCAACGCCGTTGGTCGCATTGGCTGTGACGTCGACATGATGGATGCTCCTGTCATTGATCCAGAACGGGCGAATCAGGGTAGGGCTTAGGGCTGCCAGGCTCTTATCGATAAGAGCTCCGTAGGTTAGTTCTTGGCTGACATGTGAGGGTCCAGCATCAACCACTATTTGCAGTTCAACCTTGGGCGATCCATAGCCTCACGATAATAAGGCGGCTCAATAGCTTGGAGCTATACTGTATACAAGACCATGAAGCGAGAATCATTATCCATAGATTCGCTCATACCCTTTGCGCGTCTCTACAACGTTCTCCTCCACGGGGTCACTTTCCGGAGGCTAAGAGCAGAAGATGGGACAGACAAGGGCGGCGCGATCGTTGCAACAGAGGCTAAGCAGTCAGGAATTAATGAGTCAACAGAAAATGATGTTATTCTCAGAGTGCCCTCTGATATGATTCTCTCCCTGGAAATGGTTCAGGAACGATCCAAATATGATCATCATCTCCGTGAGGTACTGGAAGCTGTTGGGGATTTTGGGCAGGTATGGCTGCTTTCAACCCGTGCCTATCTTGTATGGCGTGCGGTTTAAGTCTAGTTACTGATAAATGCAGACAGCTAGAGGTGCCATACTAATCTTTCTGCTCATCCAAATTTCGCATTCATCTCCAGACCTTGCCGGCCAGAAACATAGAATCGGCGCGTCAAATGCTTGGTCGGAATATGTCAAGTTCCTGCCCTCGTCTGTTCCATTACCAACATCGTGGACAATGGAAGAGCTAGAGCTACTACGCGGGACGTCCTTGAGATTGGCCTACGAAGCGAAGATAATATCGCTAGAGAAAGAATTCGATCATCTTCGCGAAGCCACTGAGGATATTGAATGGTGCCGGAACCTCTGGTGGGATGCGGAAATTGTTACTGTTGATGATTGGAAGTACCTCGACGCAGTATACCGCTCGCGTATGGTGGACCTTCCCGGGTATGGGCACGCAATGGTCCCTTGCATTGACATGGCCAATCATGCGTCTGACTCTACCGTAAATGCGCTGTACGAGAAGGACAAGGACGGGAATGCTGTACTCCAGCTACGTTCAGAGAAACACCTGCGTTCGGATGAAGAAGTCACTATCTCGTAAGTCTTTGCCGTCGACTGAGTGAGGTCAGTGTTGACATTATTGTGGTAAAGGTACGGCCAGGACAAAGCGGCTTCCGAAATGGTCTTCTCATATGGCTTCCTTGATTCAAACGAAAGCGACGCGAAACAGATATTCCTAGACTTGGACATACCGGAGGATGATCCGCTGAGAATGGCCAAAATGACATTCTGCAGGGAAGCCCCGGGGCTCCGCGTCTTCTCAAGACCTACAGATTCCGAGGGAGCTGGAACTTACTGGGAGAGTCCAATTGTGTGGTGGGCCTGCGTCAACGAAGAAGATGGTCTTGATTTTGCCGTATTGCAGAACGTGGATGGTTCGAGAGAGCTGACGATGACATGGAAAGCGCAGGAGGTGAAAACTCCTGATCACCTCGAAGATCTCCTAGCTGCAGAACCGCTATGGGATATATTTCGACTTCGAGCGGTCGTCCTTGTCCTGGAACGACTAGAGACTCAATTCTTCATGCTGCAGACGACCGAGGGGATGGTTTCAGACATCCAACAAAGCGAGGATATGCTTGCTCTTTTCCGGCCTGATGTATTTACAACCGTCACCAAGCTGCGAGAATTGGAGGGGCGGCTGCTGGAGAGTGCTATCAGAGACCTGGAGAAGGAGGTGTGTACTTTATTGGACTACCATCAGGTCAGCACATGTTCGAAGTACTGACTTTTGTTCTTCTTAGAGAGATGATCTGATGACGAGCGAGTCAGTCCAAACCTATTTGGCTCAACAACAGTCTGCGGACGTGGAAGACGACTTTTCATGATCCGCTCATTTTGTCATACTGGGAGGTCGACCATTATCCAAAGACTCCAGCGGAGCCTGCGGCGTAATGCAAAGCGTGGTTATGAGTTTATGCAAGCATGACGATATTCAACGTCCGCGGAGGGACCCGCTTAACTATCTTTTGAGTTCGAATAAGAAAATCCCCACGGATCAACGTATGACGTGGTGATCTCCGCGTTCTTGTCATTATCTTTGACTCCATAATATCATAGGTCGGAACATATTCACGGTCACAGACACTGTGAGCCCAGGGTTCGAGGTCCAGACTTCATAGCTGGGTCATCTGGCGGGCCAGGGGCTCAGCGAGTCAGCATACGTAGTAGCTCCGCGGAGGAGTCTGGGGAACCAGACTCAGTTAGACGGAAGTCAGGGGCGACGAAGAAGTCATAGACTCTCCGGAATCGGGGGCGTGTTCTGGGGTCTGGAGTGCGCTGGCACGGGGAACACTCGGGGTTCCCTCTGAGTTTAAGTGGCAGTGGGGAAGTCGATTAGCAGTTAGCAGTTAGCACCCGGCCACAATTTAAGAGGTTCCAAGGTTCGAAAGTTGCATTTTTGATGCGATCAACAAAATGCTCGATCACTTTGATGTGGTTGGTCGAGCCGATATACAGCGGCTCCGATTCCACCGTCGGATCCGCAAGGCCAGGGCTCCACAGCTGCGATTTCTCGGTCAAGACTCGGGTTTTTCCTGGAGAATGAGTATCCCTGTGTCACAGGTACCGTGGGGAAAGCGTAGCTGTAACGCCAATACACAAGTACTCCCAAGGTCCAGCACCCAATTGACAATATGATGACAACTAATATGGCATGATTCTAATTTCTTGTGGCGCTTAGAATGTATACGGAGTATTCCTGATTCCCACGCATCTGGATCCGGCCCACATTCTAGTTCGAAGACTCGATTCCCCGCGCCATGCTCCAGCTGTACTCCAGATTCTAGGCACGAACAGCCGGGGGAGACCAGTGGCAACTGGCAACTTGGCAAGTTCAACACCACCATGAAATGGTCAAGATGCAGCGAGCAGCACAGCAACAACATTATAACTTGAGACAGCCTTGATTAGTGTCGACTCCGGGGGAAAGGAAACTAACCATAACGGGAGCTTTGATGGAATGCTCTCAAGAGTCAAGACTCACTCCAGGTGAGCACTATTCTTAACAAGTGGCTTGGTATATCTGGTGACCTGCGGCTATAGTAGGATCGAGCTATTAAATTCCGAACTCGATTCGCGATGCCGAGGGACAACCCCATACATTGTAATGGCTTCATAGCTATCGCCCTGTAGCTGTGGTTTTCTATTGTTATGCAATTTGGAGTCAGGGTCAAGGGGCAGAATGGAGGCCAGTCCGCTAAATTTGGTTCCTCGCTGCCCAGCATTCGAATCAGCACTAGGGCAGCATCGGACAAGTAAGATAGAGGCCCAACACTCCATTTTCCCAACGCGGTTTGAGACTGTACCTAACGGCTAGAAGGAAAGGACCGTTGGTGGAAAGGCAAGGCTGCTGAAACACGCACTCGCTCCTCAGGATTTCCGGGGTATATGGGGGCATATGAAGTACAATGCCATGCTATACTCTACGATCGGGAAAATAGGGAACACTCCGTTGTCGGCACTTGCAGCCTGAATATCAGCCGCGATCCAGGATCTGGAGGAACCTTGGATGGCAACCGTGGTTCTGGGGTTCCGATATCCAGGAGTACCTTGCCACTGTTGAACGTTCCCAGCGGCGGCATGCGACCAGTGCCTCATGCTCGACTCCCTACGTTAGCTGAGTTCATTCAGATTAATCCCCAACCTGATTTCGATGATCCCATGGCAGCTAATATAGAATTGGGCTAGTATCAACCAGCGCAGCTGGATGAGGCGCTAGTAATTAATAATGCGATGATAGACAGAGAGTCGCCTGAGCACACGAATGCCCTGTAAAACAAGTACTGTCATTGGCGGTGCAAGCTGATCGTGGCCCACATGGCAATTCCCCCGCCGTCACCCGCACCCGCACTGTCCGTATTACTTATTACACGATACGGGGCCGATCATTCTTCAAAGTTGCGATCCTGCCTGTGACCCTCACTTGGCTTTCGTCCTCAATCCTCGTCCTTTTCTGCATCGTCCTTCCTGCATCTCTCCACTCTCCCCCGCGATCAAAGACCACTCTCCCCTCCACCGTCGCTATCTCGACATTCATATATGCGTCTGCTATTCCATCACCCCTGAAGCTACTACGTGCCTCGGTTCTCCCTCGGTACTTTCGATCAAGGACTCATACAACGAATTCGTGCTATAACCAGCCTGGGCTGGCGCTAGGCGCGCCCTACACACGTTCAAAATGCCAGGAATACTTCCTATGAAAGTGATCAAGGTCGGCAATAACACGCAGAGCCGTATTGCCCAAGCCTGTGACCGTTGTCGAAGCAAAAAGATCCGCTGCGACGGCATTCGCCCGTGCTGCACGCAATGCGCCAATGTCGGCTTCGAGTGCAAGACCAGTGATAAACTAAGTCGACGAGCTTTTCCCCGTGGATATACAGAGTCATTAGAAGAACGAGTACGGAGTTTAGAAGCTGAGGTTCGGGATCTCAAGAACTTGTTGGATGAAAAGGACGAGAAGATTGATGTGCTCTCTCGGATACACTCTTTCACGTCTCCATCGCAACAGAAGGTTGCTCCTGTTGTTCGCTCGCCGTCTCAAGCTGCTCAGCCCGCTCCGACGAGTGTGCCTGCCTCTAGTGAAGGTGCCGTTCATGTCCCAGAACCCGTTGCATCGAGCGACGCAGATGAAGCTGAGAGTTCTGGCGTTTCGAGCACTCGTGGCTTTGCTGGTATGCCACCCACTGTGTCAAATTTGGCGGATAAACGCTCTTCTACCGATACTTCGGATCAGTGCTAACAGTCGAATCAGATGTCTTCACCAACAAACTCGCAGATCAAGGCCGGCTAGCACCGGAGACCTCGACGAAGGCTCTGACTGCTTCTCCCACTCCTATCTCTCTTTCCCGTCTCGATCAGGCTCTGAAAACAGCGCCTAGGCTTGTGTCAGATCAGCTCATCAATATTTTCTTCCAAGAATGGGCACCACTCTACCCTGTCGTTCACCGACCCACCATTCTCAAGGCGTACGAGCAATACCTTTCCAACTCGGAATCGTTCCAGGGCAACAAACATGAGATGGCCCAGCTGAATCTGATCTTCGCTGTTGCTGCGCTCGGCGCTCTTGTAAGCTTGACCTCTCATTGCTCAGAATCCAAGGCTAATTTCCATAATAGTCGAGAACAAACCAGGACCCTACCCTGTTTGAGGAAAACTGGTCTCCCATCCTTGAGTCATTATCTGCCGACACCTCAATCCCTACAATGCAGTGCTACGTGCTCGCTCAAATGTATTGCTTGACTAAGGGTGACTACTCGAGTGTTCTGCGCTACCGCGGTCTCGCCGTTGGCATCTGCCACCAATTAAGACTCCAAAAAAGCCAGAATGGATTCTCCTCCAACGCTCTTATAGCTGAAACGAGAAAGAAGGTGTTCTGGTGCCAATATGTTTTGGATCGGTACGGGATTACTTTCGAAAGTTGCTCGAACACATCTCGCTAACTGGTTTTAGTCTTTGCGCCACATTAACTGGTCTCCCGGTTCTTCTCCGCGAGGAGCACATTCACACCGAGTACCCCGAAGACATCGACGATGAGAATGTGACGGAAACCGGGTTCTTGCCCACTTTGCCCGGCGAGTCGACGCGTATCTCTAGCGCACTAGCCCTGTTTTCTGCATCTAGGGTTCTAAATAGCACATTGGAGGTCATTTACCCGTCTGATGGCGGATACGAGATCCCATTGTCGAAAATGCGTTCTGTTACGGAACAGCTTGATAAGTGGGTTAAAGGCTTGCCCGCCCACCTTCGCTTGGAGTTCTCTCAGGATAAGCCTAGCACCAATGTCATCAGCAGCCGATCACCGCTTTTGGTAAGTGCATCTTTGCTCCAGCTTTCACAGCCTGAATCTTACTAACATGTCTGAAAGTCTGTGATGTATTATTTTATCCGGTCTCTCATCCATCGTCCAGCTGTCTGCTTCGGTGAGGAGCACATTCGCTCTCCGTCCGTTCTTGCGACTGCCGATTCTGGAAAGCATATCATCCAGATTCTTCAGCTCCTCGACGAGAGGCGCCTCTGTCTTTCCGTCAGTATCAACCGGAGAGAGCTCATCAGCTCCGCGGGGCTCGGGCTTCTCTGGCAGAACATTGGCTTGAAGCGTGACAGCAAGCTTGTCAAAGAAAGCCAAAAGGTGCTTACCGGTGTCATCGAGCAGCTCGAGTCGGAATCGTCTGTGGCTGCCGCCGAATTCAGCACTTTGGCCGGTGTCCTGGTATCGTTGGATGCCAAGCGCCCATCGGTTGCGATGCCCCAGCAGATGAGTCCACCTATGCAGAAGCCCTTGAAATCTCCGAAGAAGCAGCTCGAGGCATGGAAAGCTCGTTTGATGGGAAGCACCAGCCCGAATCATGCACAGCAAAAGCACGAGCCTCTGTCGCGCCGAAACACCTTCTCTGGTTCAAGCCCTGGTATCATTGAGCGCCAATTGCGATCTCCTAGCTGGGCAAGCCTTCCCCCGAACGATCTCCAACACCATGCCCCAATGGGCAAGAACATCTACAACCATCCGCTAGGTTATGACAACAATCCGCCCATGTCCTGCTCAGTGCCAACAGACACTCCGCCAGCTCCACCAACTGGAAATATGACCCCTTCTGACTGGGAGTTTGTTGTGAGCGATATGGATCAAGGTTTCTCAAATATCTTTACTGGAATTTATGGGGGCAAGGAATGCGGGGAAGATCACGGCCCATTCGCATCTTTGACCGCCGAGTATATGCACAAACAGCAAGGTCAAGTCATGCCGCCTTCGTTAACGTCAACGGATGAACTACAAGGACTGTCACCCGAGGCGTGGTCCGCCACTAGCAGTAGCGATATCGCGCACCCCCAAGAACTCGCGGCACAGAGCGTCTATTCTGACGGGAGCCTGGGAAGCAGAGATCATGGCTTGCCTCTTCCGAATACCATGTCGTTCCCTATGGAAGACCGGGCAGACAGCCTCCTGGACCCATTACAAGGCGTTATAATCCCTGCTGGAGATGACGAGATTGACCAGTTTGGGCTAATCAGTGGCTGGGATCGACGGCTGGCCGTCTGATTTCCTCAGCATAGATTCATGCGGTTTACATTGGTGTATTGGAGTTCTTCCGAGTGCCATGTTGGCTTTGTTGATTTGTTAAAGCGAAGGTCTTGATTCTTTTTTATTTTGGTACGGTCTTGGTCTTGGGTCTGGATAATGATGATACCTGGAAGGATAGGAGTCTGTCTGTCTTTGCCAGGTCTTGCACATATTTACATGATTCCCGTTATTGTGTTAATTGATGTATAACGAATATGCGAGCTAGTATATCTAATCGATGACCTGTGTGTCTTATGTCAACAAATACTGTCCATAAAGCAGAGGGACGCCATGCGCTATATAGGGCTGCATGAAACCAGTTCCATTATTCTAGACACTTCCCTGATTAGGACAGCGATGTCGGATTGGATTCAAGATCTCTCATAGGAATCTAGGTCCTCTAATTGAGGGAGGATCGAGTTCGGGTATGACAGGTGTCAGGCTGTCAGCCCGTAGTCGTGTCGGTAGGCGTGATCGGCGTCCGGCTAGAGCTTGACCTTGTGGTGAGAACCAATAATCCGACACATGGATAGCTCTAGTACATGTACTCTATATCCTAAGAAAGCTGGCTTATATATGCAAGTTGGCTCTAAGCAATGATCCTAAAGCGTTGAGCAAGGACGCTGTCTCCGAAGTATATATCTGAGACATATACTCCGTTCGGCCAAACACAAATTGCCTATGCAAGTTACTTCGTGTACCGTGGTGATCCCGGCTAAATACCACCGGCACATGACCCATGATATGGACGATGCTACCAGTCTAGGCATCAATCTACCCGACAATGCCGACAGCGTTCCTGGATCGTTGATGGACTCATCCAGATGGTCGGCTTTGTCACCCTGGGCGAAGCCGGAGGACGCTGCTCCGCCAAGGCCAAGTGCTGGGACCGGTCTCCAGCAGGGCTGTTGCCCCTCGTGACGGTGAAGAGTTTGGCGGATAATAACCGCAGCATCCGGATTAATGCTTTCCACGATGAAGATGGGCGAGACGGAAAAAGGAATCAAGGAGCATGTTCTGGCTGCGGCTATTGATATTGGACGGTCCAACCGTCTAACTTTAAGTATACACTGCTAGGGCCTTGGGACGGGGGCTAGGAGGATTATTTTCCGCGGGACTCACTGTATCAGATGTCGGCGCGGAGATGTATTTCATCAAGTCAAGCTCTTGGTCATTGTCTATGGTAATTGACTCTTGAGCATTGGGTTGTCAATTCAAGAGATAGTGATCACTACTTCCTACTCTGCTGTAGCACAGTACGGTATAGTATACATCTCCGGCGGGGTAGCTATAGCTCGGGTTGAGGCATGAGGGGGCGGCATTGCATCCGCTCAAATAGAATATTGCTAAGCCTTACTCAGGCTGACTCGGCTGACCAGCTGGACAGCAGACTGCTGGACAGGAAGATCGGGATGCCTAGTTGAGTAACCGTGAAGGAGTGACCGGTGAACACTGAACAGCACCGAGTTCCAGAAAGCCCCACCACGACATCACCGTCCCCACCTGCCTCTTTGATGCTCTCGAGTTCAACCCCTCCATTCTTTTTATTGTACACTTTCCCCCCATCTTCCTCTCCTCTTCCCACTCTTCCTCCCCTCTTCCTCCATCCTCCCTGCTCTTGCTTCATTCTCCCTCTATTCCCTTTACCCAGACAAGGCAGGTTTGATTGATTACTAGACAGTATGCATCCTAGTCTCCGAACTTTTAATAGAGCTCTCTGACCACGTTTCGTGCCTTCAACAGATACCGCAATCATGGGTTACACCGAGCTCGACCAGAAGGCCATTAACACCATCCGTCTTCTTGCGGTATGCCTCTCTTTGATCCCCCTTTCCCCTTGGTTCTGTGTCTTTTAGCGTCGTTCATATCTTCTGCGCGTCGTCGGTGTTTGCGGAGCTTGAGACTGCGGAATTGAGAGCCCGACGCTGCCGCCGATAAACTCAATTCTCGAGCTCTCTACGCGTCTTGCGTGTAGCCTCGATTCCATGACTCGGAATTGCCTGGAAAACCACATTTCACAGCTTCATTGACAAAATTGCCTGTATGACGTTATACTAACAGCATTATTCCAGGTTGATGCCACCGCGAAGGCGAACTCCGGTCACCCCGGTGCCCCTATGGGCATGGCCCCCGTGTCCCACGTTCTCTTCAACAAGTTCATGAAGTTCAACCCTAAGAACCCCGACTGGGCTAACCGTGACCGATTTGTCCTCTCGTATGAAACCTACTTCTCGAGGCAACGCAGTCTTTGCTAATCATTCCGATACAGCAACGGCCACGGCTGCATGCTCCAATATGCTCTCCTCCACCTTTTCGGCTACGGCATCTCCATGGATGACCTCAAGGCCTTCCGTGTAAGTATTTACCCCTTGGATTACTCTACCCAGACCGTTAGTTGACCAGTTTATCCTCTCAGCAAATCGACAGCATCACCCCCGGTCACCCCGAGGCTCACGACACACCTGGTATTGAGGTGACCACTGGTCCCCTTGGTCAGGGTTTTGCCAACGCTGTTGGTTTGGCTATCGCCCAGGCCCACAGCGGTGGTGTTTTCAACAAGCCCGGATACACTCTCTTCGACAACTACACATACTGCTTCTTCGGTGACGGATGTGCTATGGAGGGTGTCGCCAGTGAGGCCGCTTCTACTGCTGGTCACTTGAAGCTCGGAAACCTCATTGCCATCTACGATGACAACCACATTTCTATTGGTGAGTTCTCTAGCTATTATATGTATTAAAACGCTGCTAATTTGATGCGTTTCTAGACGGTGACACCAAGTGCGCGTTCACCGAGGACGTTACCAAGCGCTTCGAGGCCTACGGCTGGCACGTCGTTTGGGTCAAGGACGGTGACAACGACCTTGAGGGCATCGAGGCTGCCATCAAGGAGGCCCAGTCCGTCAAGGACAAGCCCACCATGATCCGCCTGACCACCACCATTGGTTTCGGTTCCAAGCTTCAGGGCACTGGTGGTGTCCACGGTAACCCCCTCAAGGCCGACGACATTGAGGGTGTCAAGCAGCGCTTCGGTTTCGACCCCGCCCAGAGCTTCGTCGTTCCCCAGGAGGTCTACGACCTTTACCACAAGCACGCCGACGAGGGTGCTGCCCAGGAGCAGGAGTGGAACCAGCTCCTCCAGAAGTACGCCAGCGAGTTCCCCAACGAGCACGCCGACCTCACCCGTCGTCTCTCTGGCAAGCTTCCCGAGGGCTGGGAGAAGTCGCTCCCTGTCTACAAGCCGTCCGACCCCGCTATTGCCTCTCGTAAGCTTTCCGAGGCTGTTCTTGAGAAGATTCACTCCGTCATTCCTGAGCTTCTCTCCGGTTCCGCCGATCTGACTGGCTCCAACAACACCCGCTGGAAGAACGCTGTTGACTTCCAGCCTCCCGAGTACGGCATTGGTGAGTGGTCTGGCCGCTACCTCCGCTACGGTGTCCGTGAGCACGCCATGGCTGCTATCATGAACGGTCTCGCTGCCTACGGCACCGTCATCCCCGCCTCTGGTACTTTCCTGAACTTCGTCTCCTACGCCGCTGGTGCTGTCCGTCTGTCTGCCCTCTCTCGCGTCCGTGCCATCCACGTCGCTACCCACGACTCCATCGGTCTGGGTGAGGACGGCCCTACCCACCAGCCTATCGAGACTCTGGCTCACTTCCGTGCTCTCCCCAACTGCATGGTCTGGCGCCCTGCTGATGGTAACGAGACCAGCGCTGCTTACTACTCTGCCCTGACTGCTAAGCACACCCCCTCCATCCTGGCTCTTACTCGTCAGAACCTGCCCCAGCTCGAGCACTCTAGCATCGAGGCTGCCCTCAAGGGTGCCTACCCCGTCCTCGAGGCCGCCGATGCCAAGGTCACCATCATCTCCACTGGTTCCGAGGTCAGCATCTGTCTCGACGCTGCCAAGTACCTCCAGGAGAAGCACGGCGTCGTTGCCCGTGTCGTCTCCGTTCCTTGCTTCGAGGTCTTCGACGCTCAGGACAAGGAGTACCGCCTCAAGGTCCTCCCCGACGGCATCCCCATTCTGTCCGTCGAGGTCTGCTCCACCATGGGTTGGGAGCGCTACTCTCACGAGCAGTTCGGTCTCAACCGCTTCGGTGCCTCTGGCCCCTACAAGGAGGTCTACGCCAAGTTCGAGTTCACTCCTGAGGGTATTAGCAAGCGCGCTCTTGCCACCATCGACTTCTACAAGGGTGTCCCCGTTCGGTCTCCCATCAACCGTGCTTTCCAGCAGATTCTGTAGACGTCTCGTTCTAGCGTCATGACCTCTCGCATTTTCTTTGTCGATATACTTTCTGGCTAACGAGTTATTACATGGGTTATGGGGTGCGGAAACAGCCATACGGAGAGAAACTCCGAGTGGGTGACACCCTTGGTTTAATGTCCTACGAATTTCCTTTTTGAGAAGAAAAGGCGCCAATGACTTCGTTCATGGTAGGCCATCTCTGGTATATTTAGACATCTGCATAAAAACAATACCATTTCTGTTCATCTTGTTCTATTTGTTGTTTCAGTGGAACCATTTTGGTAAGTCCAAAAGCGTCAAGATTACCCAGGATATTCAGGATTGAAGTAGTTTGAATTTCTATTTACCATCGTCATCAACTCACCCCAGCATCCAAAAGGCTCGAAAGGCGACACCAAATATAAACGTAGAACAAAGTAGAAAAAAAATTAGAGAAGATAAATGGTATGGTATTCTTTTAAACAAAAACAGAAGGAATTCTCATCTCATCTGAAATCTAGTTGCCGAGAGCCTTGCGAGCGAAGTTAGGAAGGACAAAGCTAGCGCGGTGGATGTCCTGGTTGTAGTAGCGGCATAGGCGCTCCTCCTCCTCGCGGGTCCAGGAGCGGACGGGCTCCTTAACGTTGCGCTCGGCGTCCTTGCAGCAGACCATGAAGCCGATCTGGCCGGAGGGGTAGGTGGGGATGGTGGTGTAGGCGTATTCGGCGACGGGGAAGACCTCCTTGCAGGCCTTCTTGAGGTCAGCGATCAGAGGGAGGTGAAGCCACTGGTTCTCGGCTGTGATGGACAAAACGCAAACCCAAACCGATCCCGGATGCGGGTGGTTTGGGGCGAAAGTTGGTTAGCCTAGGTCCATATCATAGAAGATAGCAGGATAGAGGATGAATAAGAGACGACGGAGAATAGAAGGGATTGATGGGATGGGGGGTTGGGCTGTGGGGGGTGAATATAGCACAAGAGGCGAGAAATCAAGGAGATGTCGAAAGGGTACAGAGAGGCAGTAGACGAAAAAGAAAGGCGACGAACAACCTTGGGTGGTGATGACACCTCCATCACGCAGAGCGTCTCTGAGGAGCTCAAAGTAGGGCTTCTGGAAGAGGCTCTCGGCGGGACCCTCAGGGTCGGAGCTGTCAGTGATGATGACATCGAACTCGTTTTGGCGCTGCTTGAGGAACTCGAAGCCGTCGCCGACGTGGACCTTGACGTTGGGGTGCTGGAAGCCGATGCTCATGCCGGGGAGGTACTTCTTGGAGACACGGATGACGGCCTAAATACACAAAAACCCGTGAGTCTGGTGACCAATTGCATTGCATACGGTGGCGTTCGCGGTTGCAGTCGCATATGCAAGGAGAACAGAATTTGTTACCTCATCGATGTCGCACAGGATGGCCTCCTCGACGGTCTCGTGCTTGACGACCTCACGGAGGACACCGCCGTCACCACCGCCGATGACGAGGACCTTCTTGGGGTTGGGGTGAGAGTTCATGGCAAGGTGGGTGATCATCTCCTGGTAGCTGAACGTATGGACATGTTAGTCTCGTCGTCGCAATAGGGCTTGTTTGTTTGTTTGGTGGGGTGGAGGGGTATGGCATGGCGTACGAGAACTCATCGCGCTCAGTGCACTGGATGACGTTGTCAAGGACGAGAACGGTGCCGTAGTCGCTGCTCTCGAAGACGAGGACGTCCTGGTACTTGGACTTCTCGTGGTGGAGGATCTGGTTGACCTTGAGGTTCATGGCCTGACCGGGCCACATCTCGGACTGCTCGGAGAACCAGCCATCTGGAACGAGCCAAAGTTAGCTTGGAATGCGACATAATCGAAGCTCGATCCGTGATCTGAGTTGAGAACTTCATTTTGTTCGGATCGAACGATTGAAGTGGTGTTTGAGTTTATCTGATGGCGGGGTATAGTTGGGCAGATTTGGGATGGAAATGTACATACCCTTGATAGTGGGGTGAGTGATCTCGGACATTATGATAGAGTTGAAAGACCGGAAGGGACGAAGGAAGGAAGAGGGAATGACAGGACGCAGTGAAGCACTGGAACGGAGGGACAGAAAGGAAGAAGTAGATGAGGGGGAAAAGCGAGAGAAGAACGAGACAGCTGAGCGCATGGGGTGGGGGAGAATTTGGAAAAAAAGTATGTATTTTATCGACGGTCACAGCTGGGTATTTTGGTTACAGACTTTTCCCTGTTTGCGTTCCTACCCAATGAGACCAGGTCAATTCACGCTTACACTTTGCAGTAGGGCATCAATCGACTATACACAGCTCAAAACATGCGGTTTAAGCAGATTTTTGACCTGCGAGAGGTTTATATAGATCCTCTATGCTTGTATGAGTGAGACCATGGTATTTTCCCGAAGCGGAAGGACTTCCGCCGTTCGAGCTCTCGGACTCGGTGAACCAAACCAATCTGTGGGGGTGATTTATCGAGTAGGTATATTGTACAAGGCTGACCAGAGAATCAGGACCAATCATCTGAGGAGGTAGGTTCAATTGGAAACTGGTCATTTTGAAGCTTCCAGGTATTGCCTGGAGAACAGACCCGGACAAATGAAAGTGCAATTCGTTCGATTGCTTCTAGTTACTGTACAGTGCAATCACAATTCCAGCTGCTTGCTCTGCATACACCATAAAAAACCAATGGTATACATCATCCATTCTTTAGCAGAAAAAGCGCTTATTCCTCACCACCCTCAGCGAGACGGCCGGGCTTGGAGTTGAGGTACTCGTTGCTATATCACAGAAACAACAAGTTAGCCAAATAGCCCTTAAAGATATCTATAATCCGTAGGAAGCCGATATGCATACCGCTCAATAGCCCAGTTCATGGCAGCGTAGGCGGCGACGAAGGGAGGAACAACGTAGAGGACCTGGTGCCTGAAGCGGCGGAAGGTGTTGAAGATGGCGGCGTTAGCGGCGCCGGCGAGGGGGCGCTGACGGTTGGGGGAGATGGCGTAGGATGTGACGCGCTGGGGAGTAGGGCAACCTAGACCGAAACCAAGTAAGCATACGCTTTACCACAGCCAAAATCAGCTCGAAAGGCCTGAATCGACGAGACGCGGCTTCAAGACTATTGCCAGCCCGAATGAGGTCGTCGCATTGGTCTCATAGGGATCGAAGATCGAGAGACATACCCAGGTCACCCCAAGTGCCCATAAAACTATATCACATCACAATTAGTATCTCCGCAACGTAGAATGAGCAAAGTATTAGCAATCAGCCATTGGAGTAGTAATTGCTGTATCTCGGCAAGACGAAGCACCATGAAGTAACCGTCGGAACACCCACGGATCGCACAGGCACCGGAACTGGGGAAGACTCACACTCCGTTCTTAGGATCCAAGTGGCCACCCATTGTGATTGTATGAAGCGAAACGAACGAGTTCCAAGTACGCGACGTAGAGGAGAGATATGACGACGAGGGAGAAGAATCGACGTTCATCCCGGCCAGGTCGGGCGAAGTTGGAAGACAAGCCACTAGTCCGATTCGGGAAAGGCTCGAAAAGCCCGCCGCAACATCATCCAAGAAAGCTCTCATCAGCTCTCCAAGCCAAGCAACTCAACGCCAGCCCATCACAATACATAAACCATGGCGGCTAACGGTCTCTACAATCTCCAGCGCCTGGCTATTCCCCTAGGCCTGGGGTTCATGTTTGCCAACGCCTCTTTGTACGATGTCAAGGGCGGAACTCGGGCAGTCATCTTCGACAGGTTGTCTGGTGTGCAGGAGAAGGTCGTCAACGAAGGCACGCATTTCCTGATCCCATGGCTGCAGAGGGCCGTTATCTACGATGTTCGCACCAAGCCTCGAAACATCTCCACCACTACTGGAAGTAAGGATTTGCAGATGGTCAGCTTGACTCTGCGAGTCCTCCACCGTCCTGAAGTCCAGAAGCTGCCGGTCATCTACCAGGTTCGTACACAGGCGTCTCATATCGGCCGCTATTACTCGAACTAATCATTGTTGCTTCTAGTCCTACGGTACCGACTATGACGAGCGTGTCCTTCCCTCCATCGGAAACGAAGTCCTCAAAGCCATCGTCGCCCAGTTCGATGCCGCCGAACTCATCACCCAACGTGAAGCCGTCTCAAACCGCATCCGCACAGACCTGATGAAGCGCGCTTCGCAATTCAACATTGCCCTCGAGGATGTCTCAATCACCCACATGACCTTCGGAAAGGAGTTCACGCGCGCCGTCGAGCAAAAGCAAATCGCCCAGCAGGACGCCGAGCGAGCCCGCTTCATCGTTGAGAAGGCCGAGCAGGAGCGCCAGGCTAACGTCATTCGCGCCGAGGGTGAAGCCGAGAGTGCCGACATCATTAGCAAGTCCGTCGCCAAGGCCGGAAACGGCCTCATCGAGATTCGTCGTATCGAAGCCAGCAAGGAGATCGCGAGCACCCTCGCCAGCAACCCCAACGTCACATATCTGCCGGGTGGCGAGGGCAAGGATGGCGGAAAGAGCACAAGCCTTCTACTGGGGCTGAGGAGTTAATGGGTGACTAAAATCTGAGCTCTATGTATTTTCATGCGTTTAATTGTGTTTTTACCCTATTTGGTTGGACCCGGGCGTGCATGACACCATGGCGATTGAAGCTGGTTGGTGTTCTTCCTCTCTATGACTGTAGCAATAACATACCTTTCCTCTCCATAAAATTTCCAAATTTCCAGTGGACCGCTCTCGATGCGCATTTATATAAGCTGACCAGTTCATTCTAGACGGTATATACCATTTAACCCCATTTAACCCCATTGTGGCCCAGGCCCAAGATATCAACCCGAATAATCATACAATCATGGACAACACTAGATATCCTACTCTAGTCTTCGATAAACATGGATCTGATACCTCATATCCTCCAACCCGGCCCCCTCCCCAACCTCATACCACAACCGAGCCGCATCTCTCCGCCACCACCTCGAGTCCTGACTATAGACTTTCTCCCACTTGCCCTTCGCAACAGATAAAAGCGTATGGTCGAGTAGGAACTTCATCGGGTATTGCCTCTCCTGCTGCTCGCCCGTGCTCTTGTTAAGTTTCAGCGTTGAGTAGCTCCCTGGACTGTCGACGACTAGTAGGATTGTACCAGCTGCTAGGAGGTCGGTCGTGCGGAGGAGAAATGAGGTGGCTTTGGACATGGAGGTTGAGAAGAGCTCGTTTAAGGTGAACATGAGGGTGACTATATTTGTGGTTGATGAGGAAGGAGAGGTGTGGAATAAGGAGGCCAAGTCTGGATCTGGGAGGGAGAGGACGTCGAGGCGTTTGAAGTCGATGTTGAGGTTGCTCGAGAGATCTGTGTCCGAATCATCGGCAGCTGGAGGAATTGGGAGGAGAGGCGCAGGATGTGATTTTGAGCCTGTAACTAATGGTGATAAGATTGCTAAGGAAAGACGCTTCACGACGGTAGACCAGTCGGCGATGTCGACGGCTGTGATCGAGAGGCCAAGTGAGGAATCTGGCTGTTGAACGTATTGTTTCTGGCTCGGTGTGTTGCTCGTAGTTCCATCCTTTTGGACCTCCGTCTTATCCTCCACAAACACACCTTCAAGAGCATCGGACAGCTCCTTTTGACGCGCAGATATAACACTCTCATCCATCAGGTTCCTCCAAGCTGCTGCAAGAGCAACAATTTCCGCCCCAGCACCTCCACCGATACAGACAACATGAGCCGGACGCAACATAGAGCCCTCCCTGGAGTCAGGATCATCTTCGACCAAAACCTTTAGCAGAGATTTGAACAGTCCCGCATACCCCAACGCTCTCGCCGCGCTCCACCTCAAAGCGTAAGCCCTAAGTAACCTCTCGTCGGCGTCCGCAAACGCAGAATCAAAGTCCCGATTGTAGAGGTGCGACTTGATGGTCTGGATAAGGGACCTGATGTCTAATGGTTCTTCTTTCTCTTTCTGTTCTTCTGCATCCGCATCCTCGTCTGGACCTTGAGAATCCAAAGAAGTCGATGGTGAAAGCAATGCAAATCTGAAAACATTCAGAAGCAACTGCTGCAGCGTAATTGGGATTGTGGCAGAGATGTCAATCCGAGCCTGGTCCTTGTCCTCGGCACTGGTGGAATCAGGTTGTTCCCCGCGTCTCTGCTGGTCTTGGACTCTGCGGCGAGGAACAGGTGCAGGGGCATTCTTCTTGTCTGGTTTTCTGCTCTCACGACTCTGAGTGTCCTTGGACTGTTTGCGAGACGTGTTTGATTTGGGGGCCATTTCTTTCAAGAATCTCAGTGCCGTCTGGTCATGTATCCTGAAGGCCCGAGGAAATTGATACTGCTGGCAGACGGCGCGAAGTGTTGGTTTTCACTCCTTCTATGAGTCTGATTAGATGGCTTCCATATAACTTCTAGTTTTTCAGTGTAACAAGGCGAATAGTATTGGATGGTCAAGTGATATTTAGGTCCAAACTCGTTGCTGCTGATTTATTTACGATAGTAGTGGGTGGAGGTTGAGGAGAAAAAGACATGCGCTGGGACGGACTCGAACCAAGGGCTGTTTTGGTGGTACATAAACCATTACTTTGATAAGTCTCGGTGACGGGTGTGTGGGCCTAGCTCAGAATCCATTTCTTGCCTTTTACCAGAGATGGCCGTGGGCCACGCAAAATACCCTACTCTTCAATCTTTGGAATCCTCCATCGACATAGTCGTCGATTGTTTTTGTTGTTTTTTTTGTTGCCGTGACATAGCAGTATGTTCACCTTATGGTACTCGCGTTTTCTCCCAATAATTTATGAAATTGGGAGATTGGGATTGAGGGGTGAGGGGCGTGCGTGTACGGATAAGTGAGTGGGAATATCCTACCAGGGATAGCAGAGCTCTACATATTGTGCACAAAGTTATCCAGTCTACTGTCGGTCGGGGTGACCATAAGAGGACCAGTATTTGTCTGAGGCACGGAGTGTAAATTCAATTGTTTAACGGCTCATTTGACTTCAGAGCCAACTAATTCACCTCCAAACGGTCCGAGAAGAACGACTCGGGATCGGATGCGATAGCGAGATACTCAGCAGAAGGTTGCTAATGAGAGTAGAGAAGGACGATTAAACAAGAGGATTGTGAAAAGAGAATTGGCTCAAACGACAGATCGACACAATAATTGTAACAAATGGCTTATCACATGTACAACCGGCCATAATGAGAGACAGGAACAGTGAGAAGTATCATACCCTTACGCTTGTAATAACATGCCAAGAAAAAGAGATTCGTCAGGTATCCCAACAACTGAAGGCAGACCGGTTGAAAGAAGAAGAAAGAATAAGTGTAGAAAGAAGAAACAGCGAAACAGAGAGTCAAGTTCGAGATGTGTCACCATCAAGACCATGTCGAACAAATCATAATCGGAAATTTGGGATACTATATACAATTGTCGATTCTTTTCCGGAACAGCATTTCGTCATAACCGCAGCTAATCCTGGACAGTCGGCTCATTCAGCTTCTCTTTGTCTTTCGCCCGCCAGAAATGCATTAATCGACTGATCCGCCGGCCCTTCTTCCTGGCCTTTTCTGGTTCATCGCCCGGTGGCTTCTCCTCATGGCTCAGCTTGCTTCGTTCGGCGTGTGGCCCAACAACAAGCTTAGAGAGACTTGCAAGGCTCGACCTCTTGGAGCTAGGTTGGCTGGAGCGACGATTGACAGCAGCAGAAAAGGATGCTGAGCGATCCGTCGATAGACGAGGGCGCGTGAAGAAAGTCGCAGAAACGCGATTCAAGGTGTTTGTCATGGTCGAGGCGCTACTAGTAAGTGAAGGCACGTCCTCCATAGACGCATGAGGGAACGGGTCGGTAGTCGACGATGTAGTTATCGAACGAGGGGCGTCCGAGGAGTTGTTGAAATCCGGTGATGGAAATGCTGAGTTCGGGAGGGAGTAGCCGCCCGGAAGAGACAACGGGGACATTGCGGAAAGTTCGGTGGGCGAGGTCATAGGCCGACTGTCAGCAGGTAAGAAGCGAGGTGAAACTTCGGGGCTGGCGGGGACCGGCGTTCTGTTTTGCCATTCATCGTATTTTGCATGTTCCAATGCTGTTTTAGGCCGGCTAGAGAACGGCGTTGAGCTCTTTTGGGCCTGACTGGAGTAGAACCGCTGATCCGGCTTGAAAAGATCTTGAAAGGATGATGTTGCAGGAGCCGACATGGCGGCGCCTGCCTGGGGTTTCTGGATTCCAAGTCCTGCATTCCCTGCGCTAGCAAATTCGTCGACAGCTTTTCCGGTCATCGTGTCAGAGCTGTCCGTACTATCTTCTGACTTCTTTGATTCCGTCATGGTAGCTTCACCTTGCGGATGTTCCTCGCTATCCTTGCCGGTATCACTGGTCGCCGCTAGGAAAGCGTCTTCGTCCTCTTCATAAAAGACGTCAGGATTGTCCAGCGAAGAGCTAGTTGGAAATCGGTGACTTCCCAGGAACGCGCGATCGAACGGAGGCATTTCTGGAGCACTTTCAGCCCTTCGATGGTACCGCATTTCCGGACCAACAAACTCGCCCCGCCGTCCGCCACTATACATTCGCTTGGTTGCTGCAGAAAAGCCGCTCTCTGGAGCATTACCGGAGCGCATCTCAGGCGTATTGAAGGGTCCTAGTGCCGCATCCAAATCGATTACAGGACTCATGGCGTCTGGCACGGTAGTCTGTTCGTAAAAGCTCCGTGGCTTCCACGCCTCCTCCAGGGATGCCCATGATTCACCATCGCTAGGGATCTGCTGGGTCTCTGGATGCGTGGGGTTGGTGGGTGTTCGAATAACAACAATGTTATCGTCATCGAATTCCACATCCAAGCCAGAGCCAAAATCCGAGTTTGTTCTAGTCAGTGCTGGAGGGCGTGCTTGACTAGATTTGCTTTCTGTGTCGGCCTTCTTTGAATCGTGACCTTTCGTCTTCCTGATTAGGAGAGAACCAGCCCAAGATCGAACCTTTTTCTGTCTTTTCTTGGCCTTCGTCTTTCTGGTAGAGGAAGGCGATCCCAATGCCTCGTGAGTGACATCTGCGTTGATATCGGAGTCGTCATCAGATGAGGACAGCCTCGACGACGGCGGGAAGAGACCGTCACCCTCGACATGGCTCTTTCGGAAAGCCGCAGTAAGGAGACCAGAAGACATGCTTTTGTGTGAGCGAGAATGGCCTGCCGCAGAGCTGGGTCGCTTGGTTGGTGGAGAATTGTCCGTCATGCTATTTTCACTGAACTCAAACATCAAGGAAGCATCCGCTGTTCGCGGCCTGGGCCTTGATTTTGGCGCGCTACCCGGGAACTCCGCCTTGAATGACGAGATGGCAGTATCGCTCTTTCGGGCATAAACTGGGTCAGGGATGATTGGTGAAGTTGGGGTAGATGGAGAAGGGTTTGAACATTGTTGGTCCGTAGTGGCCTGGGTATCCGGACATACAGGATCGAGCTGTATCTTGGGCGATGCTGGAGGCGTGGGCCGAGACAGGACTGTCGCCGAATGGGGAAGTAATTGGGATGGTTCATGGGAAGGCCTACGCTCCCGTGTTATGTCCTCACATGGGGCACTCTCAACGAAAGGCTTCAAGTCAAGAGCATTCGAGATAGCAGTTAGATCCACGCTTGAAATAGCCGCCGATCGTCTATGGGCGTGTCGGCGCCGGTTGCCTGCACTGAAACCAGGTCCAGGGGGAGGCAGCTTCATCGGTCCCACGGGACTCTCCTCGTTTGATTGTCCCGTAAACGTATTTCCAGGAGTGACCAGTTGCTCTCCACCAACAAACTCACTGTACTGCCGACGGTGGCCGTTCATACGATTCATGGACGGGGTTGGGGCTGGTGCCTGGTTCGAGTCCATGGACCCTGGATTGAACGAGAATGCCGGGAGAGGTGGTCGGCCATTTATCGTCCTTTCGGACTCTTGGTTGTCTGTTTCACTGGCATCGCGGGCAGGAAAGACGAATGGTGGATTAGGAAGGGGCGTGGACATTGTTAGATTGCGGCGATGTCCGCTAGGTGCCCGATCCGCCGAGTCGAGATAATGGGGAAGCGATGGAGCCGTCTGCGGCTGCAAGGGCAAAGAAATGGACGCCATTATTTAGTTCGAGTCTGGACGTATCAACAGACTCAGAGAGCTCCAATCTCAATCTCAAGGGCACAACTTCGAGATCAATCGCAACCCGCAGTTGGGTATCGATATTAGGTGGTTGGTAGTGATCTAAACGTCGGAGGACCTCCAGACCAACGTGACTCCCCTCCAGTGATTGGAAAGCCCAAGTTCGTCTGGAGGTCTTTAAGTCCGCAGATATGACATTGGATTTCCTCAAACAGGTCGATGCACTCCAGAGTAAACACCGACCGCAACCCGGGGAAATTCTCCAGATCCGAAAAGGAGAAGTGACGGAGGCGGCAGACGATATTTCTGATTATTATACGCTAAGCCGAGAGGACCGATCGAGTCATACGGCGAGCAAGGCGAAGAGGAAGCGTAACGGGAATTTGACGAGCAAGTGCGAGCGTCGAGAGCGAGGATATTAAGGAGTGGACGGCCACGGAAACCGGGCCAGGAAACGAAGAATATGGATTGACGGAACAGTCAAACCAACAAAGAGTAATAAAGGAAGTGAAAACAGAAGTGCGGCCGGAAGTGAACGAAGGGAGGGAAGGGAGGAGAGACGGAGGGGAGGATGGAGGGTGAGTTGAGGTTGAGGTTGAAGAAGCGTTCGGAAGGGGAGGAAGGCTGCAATCAAGTTGGTTGAATTGTGGTGCCTCAGGCTGCCTAGCGCAGCTTAGTGCCCTCACTGATTTGGTACTTACGGTTTAGTACAAGCCGTCTCCATTTCGATTGTGGCTCCGCCAGTCAGCGATGGTAAGCAGCCGCGAGCGATAAACTATCTTGGCTAGCATGGTACCGGCTTGTACCGCTGGCTTGGCCTTGTTAATTGTTATCGACAACTATTTGCTTACAGGGAAGTCTACAGTGGACAGCTGAACTCCCGCATCTGGAGGGTATACCACAAAGCATTATTGAAACCACAGTTTCCGTCAGGGTCAGACCAGCCCACTGTGTCTGAGTAAAGTGGACTTCACGACTCACGACTGCATCTACTCGCCACCACATCGAGGTGGAAGACAATGTGATATCGAGCCCTGGCGGGCCTCCGAAGTCAATGCCGAATCCAGTAAAGCCGAACCTAATTGGATCTTCTGCAACGGGGGGATTCGAGACATGGATCCTACCTGTCCAGTTGGAACCCTGTTTTTGGGAACAAGAGTACCCCGTAGCAGGGATATATGGCCATAGATACCATCAGCCTGACCTCATGGATATCCCGTCTATGACCCGGGCCATGAACATTGGTGCCTGATTGTATTCAACTGCATCAAATCTTGACTCGTCAAATCTGGAGAACAGCGCCAGTCAAGCCAACCATGGAACTCTTCAACAGTACCTGAGACATGGTCCAATCAGGCGCTCCTCTAAAAACAGAGTCAATTTCGCTTGAGAACTCGAGAAGAACCGACCCACTGCTGCTAACCGTTCTAGGCGATGGTCTAATTACGCCCCGCCTGGCACGGCTGAGCAGTGAGGCCTTGAATTGTTAGATCGGCAGGAGTCCACGCCATCCTGAGCACTCAAGACCAGACTGACACTATCATCACTCGAAGGGATGATCTCGTTTGAAACGAGTATCAGATGCTCCAAGACACTACTCTGTCTCCAAAGTACTGTATCATGACTGGGGAATTAGACGGAGGATGGATCCTTCCTAGGGCCCTTGTTCTGCATCTCATACTGGCTCCTCTTTGTCTTTGAGTCGCTGCATCCCCACGTGGCTTTGACTTACAGCCGGAACCAGCCACCTCACCAACTTCAGGCGTCGCACTCTCATGACCTTGGTTTGCACGCATATGGCACTTTTTGCGGATCACAGACTGTCATTGCAACCGAAGTGTCTCTGGGTACTTTGTACCCGAGCCCGGCCGCAACTGACAGTTGGCAGTGCACCAGCCTTGCAGTATCGCAAGTAGCCATCTTTTTGCCTCCATTGGCCACGCTCTCCTGCAGGACATATCAATGCGTTTCAACGTTATCATGCGGTGGCAACGCCTGTGCTGCATCTGCGACCCTCCGGATAAAAGTCCATCCAATGCCACGATTACCCATCGTGAAAGGAACACCGCAGGATCCGACCCTGGCTAGACTCACGAACGACAGCACCTCTTCCCATAACCCAAAGCTTGGACTCCAGGGTCGAGCCAATAAGATGCTACTGAGATTATGGGAGGCTCAATGATTCCCTCCTCGCAAAAGATAGCGGAGTCCCTTGCGGCCTGGCCTGTGATTATCGAGATAGGCGCCGTATCCAATCCCTGTCAAGGCTCAACCTTACTCCGGAGTAGTCATTCCTGCACGCGTCCGGATGCCGAGCTGACCCAGTGTAATTCCCTCGGAGCCGATGCAAACACCTGCAGTTAACCTTAGCAGCTCTCACTCGATCTTGCACAAGCGCAAAACGAAATCCTCGATGCAATTGGCTGGATATGTCGTGACACTGACACCCATCCGTGACCTGGCGGCGCAGTGGCCGCCGCGAACGTTTTTGGTGGTGCAACAGGTATACCCAAGGGAGATGTATGACAAACTGTACAATGCATTTCGAGACTTGACTAGAAGCACGGAATAAAACCGCGATCATCAAGGCATGATTTGCTACAAGGTCCCTGCCTTCTTAAATCGAAGACTTCGAGACTTAGACCGACCGAATGTACGCCATCCGAACCCGATGCCCCCGTAAGGGGCTTGTCCAAATCGCAATCATCAAGATTTCATCCCTCAGTCCTTTCCTCCTCGGCGACAAAAAGTCCGCAGTCACCAGTGCGTACTCATCCCCTGCGCAGGAACAACAGTCTCCCTGTCGTGTAATAATCGCAGATTCAGACCCTGCCCAACGCCCTTACATTGTCCGTCTGCCCGTCGTTTGCGGAGTATCCGTACTTGCTGATCATTGTACGACTCCGCAGGCTCCCGGAAGTCGGAGTCCGCGACCTTGGTTCGGTTCGCAACGGGTATCAGTTCCAGAAGACGCAGCGAATCGGCTCAGATCATGCCCATCCGTGGTACCGAGTTCGAATCTCGACTCTCGAGTCTCGAGTCGATCATTCATTGAAAACTCGCCTGCAGTTACTGCGATAGGTACGAAGTACGGTCGACGGGTCGGTACCTTGGTTGAGATCGCGAATCGTGAAGTCACGAACAGTGCATTGCTCGCTCGGCGTTGCCGATTCTATACCATGGAAGGCGAGCGTTTGTCTGCAGGGCTGGAACTGTAGAACTTTGCAGAGTGCTTGGGCCCCGAACTCTGTAATATTGCGGGACTGGGCGAGTCGGCTTTCTGATAGGATGGCCATCTTCGTGCACAACGCGCTGCGCTACAAGCCTTTGCGGCCGAGACTCCGTCTCTCGAGGCTCGAGCTTTTCAGCCTTAGGTGAAGCCCTTGTCTCACCTCCAGGCTCCTGCTGTCATTGAGCCAACGCTTTCAGCCCTGCCGGGCGCCTTGCAGGCGACCCAGACTCTACTGCTCTGTAAGACGACTATGATTGCACGCTTAACTCCGTAGAAAAGTCCATTTTGTGTACATTGTACGACACGCGCTCTGGTTTTTATACTGCAGTTATTAAACCTGGCCTAGCTCAAGAGTATGGATCGGTCTAGCCGCACGTATATATCAACCACTGGACGGAATAAAGCGCATGACAACTCGCTCTCAAATATGAAATCCCGACCTCGCTATATCCATGCACACACAGATGAAATAAACCCCATCCCAGCAGATCGCAAGAACAAAGATATAATATAATAGTACAGCAGTCGAAAGAAAGAAAGCGCGCAAAGATGACAAAGAAACGTGGGAATGGCGCACCTCTTCCTCGCCTAATATCAAATACTTCATAGATAATTCACCCGAAAAACCAACGTCTCGAGCTCGCAGCCTCACATTAGGCTTTTCCAGCCCGATAAAGACGCATGGCAGATTGCCAGATATGTATGTATGTACTCCGGATCGACTACATTAAGCGGACGCCACCATTTAAGTTTCAATAGCGCCAGGGGATATAGCGATAATGACAGCTAGCGCCGCGATAATCAGGGCACCAGCCACAAAAGCAATGAGCGCGATACTGCCCCGGCTAGCAGGGAATTTGCCTCTGATGATCCAGTACTGGCTTTCGAAATAGCGATGAAACCCGACGAGGAGGATGAGGATCGCGACGCCGATGAATGTCGTGCCGAGTGGCTTGCCTAGGCTGCGCAGGCGCTGGGATGTATCTGTTATCCTTATGACCGATGCGCTGCCATCGTACCCAGGCGATATAATTGAGGAAACGCTTTGCGGTGTAAGCTCGAACCCGTTCGCGCTTTGAGTTGTCGTGTTACTTAGACGGAAGAGCTGTGTTACGGCGATGCCGATTGATGCAAAGGCTAGTGATGTTCGTAGCCAGGCAAGGAATGTGCGCTCTGTAAAGGGTCAGTGCATGTTCATACGCCTGGGTGTTATAGTAGGTAAGAGCAGCAAGTAGCCGTCGCAACGCACCTAGCGCAAGATGATCTCTCGCAACACTTCCCTTGTTCTCCAGTTCTAGACTCCCATACCGGTCTACAAGCCGCGAGTACCAGGACGCATGAGGCTCTTCGGATTCTGGCCCGGGATTCTGTCGTAGTGAACTCTGGTTGCCTGAGCGCTGGCGAGTCGGGAATTTCGCTGACCCCGACCCCCCATCTGAGCTCCTCAGCACATTCTCCGTGGAGTTGTACCGTCGCTGCTGGTGAGAGCTGCTGTGGCTGACTATGGGCGTTATCTCGTTGGCAGGCTGCGGGGGTTCCTGGCCTTGTCCCTGGCTCTGACCCTGAGGCATGGTCGCCTGATGCGAATTGAGATGAGTTGGTCCGTGGGGATCCGAAGATCTTTGCGTGGCAGGGTCAGCACGCACCTCGCCCGTCTGCCGTGGACTGAGATCAGACTGGTCCATGATGGCGTGATTGCGGGATTCCCACCGCTGAGGCGCACAACTAAGATTATGGTTGAGATGGTGGGTAGCGATAGTGGGCTGCGGAAGAGATACCCCAGCTTTCACGGTGGAGTCAAGATGCTATTGTGGACTGCGGTCATCCTTGGTTTCGCTTCGTCTGAGGACCTTGTTTCTGAGGAAGAGGACTTGAGGCGGAGGAGTCCTCTCACACCGCTGGCTTACGATTATTGAGCTTACTCTCCAAGACCCTTAAAGATTGCAGCAGAGGCCATCACGCGCCCCTGCACCATGCTTGTGACCAACTAGATTTGGTTTAGCGCGAGAGAGATCCCGAGGCTGATCGTCGCTTTCTGCCAGATCTCTCGGGAAGGGCGGTCAACAGCTTGTTCCTCGGGAACCGCATAGATGGTTTTTCAACAATCCGTTTGGCTTCTACTGACAATTGGGTCATGAGTCCCGGTTTAGTATCGATATTGGCTCTCAGCCAAGCATATGGCGCGGTCTATCGACTCTCTACGTGGCACCAAGCATTAGGCATTGAATCTGCCAAATTTCGTCCAGCTTGGACCCTGGTCAATCAGCATTTTACTAGCTAATTAACTATTTACAGTGCCAAAACATCGTTCAGCCCCAATGTCAAATACTGGACAGGGCAGAACAAACACTGGCTATTTGAAATCATGGGATATTGTCTACTTATGTAACATGGAGCCTCGAAGACAAAGAGCATCCGCCTCACTTCTCCTCCACCAAAGCCCTGAACCCTCGAAGCAGGTCATTCTTCAAGTCCTCCCAGTTCTCTAACCCAACGCTAATCCTCAGCAGCTTCCGGTCGACACGGGCATCCGATAATGCACGCCACTCGATCAGAGATTCAACACCACCCAGACTGGTCGCATGTTGGAACAGAGCCAGCTTGCTCGGAAGCTTCCGCGCGAATTCTTCACTCTGCAAGATAATCGAGCAAACCGGACCGAAGCCGTTGGGCATTTGCTCGCGTACCCAGGGCTCGTCCTGCAGACTGGCGTGGTACATCTCCTTGAGCACAGTTTGCACGAGGTGCTCCTCGCTGTCTGGCACTGGGTTCGGTGTCTTCAAGGCAATTTGTAGCCATCCAATCAACTTTCCTGAGCTCTCGCTGGCTCGCTGCACTCGGATGTCCAGCGTCCGTAAGCTGCGGAGACCAAGCCAGCTCTCCATGTTGCCCATGACGTTGCCGAAAGCCAGTCGGTCCTCGAAGAGCTTCTTCTGCCAATCCTTTCTCTTCACCGCGAGCACTCCACATAATAGGTCGCTGTGGCCTCCAAAATACTTTGAGCCGGAATGCATCACAATATCAGCACCCCACAAGAAAGGATCTTGCAGTGACGGAGGCGCAAATGTACTATCGACAATGAGATATGCGCCCCTCGCATGAGCTTTCTCGGCAAAATCCTTGATGCTGAACACAGTTCCGAGCGGATTCACGGGAGTCTCGAGTACGATGACATCACCTTCTTGCAGACTTTCCGCCGGACAGTCGAGTGGCAGCTTCTGCAAGCCAGAGAGACGGTTGATAACGGCAATAACCTCGTGACTGCCATGGTAACCCTCCCCTATGGATACACGTCGAGGGTTTAGAAAGACTAGTGCGGCGTGCAACGCAGCCAGACCTGTCGAGTAGCTCACAGCGTAGCCCTTTAGGAGTGATGAGAGCACGGCCTCGAAACGGGTAGCGTTCGGGGCGAATTCTCGAGAGTAGACATAGTTCTTACCGTCGAATTCGTCCTGTATAATTGTTAATGACGTGCAAGTGCTTGTCCGTAGAGTTCGACACGCACCACTGGGTCTTCAGACAGGATCAAGCTCTCTGGCTCCTTGGGATATCGAAAAATCGTGGACAGGTGGATTGGAGGCGCGACATCCGTGACTAAGTTGAGATAGTCGTCGGCGTGCAGGGCCGACGTCGCGGGGTGCAAAGTATCTGACGGTGACATTGTGAGGTGCGAAAATGCCTGGAGATTGTAGTTGTGAGCACGTCGAGGTACTTCAGAGATGAGCTGCTGAGGGTTTGAGTAGACATTCTGCTGGATTTATAGACCTTATCACGAAGCTTGGGCCGATCCACCCATGGAACCCTCATGGAATTTCGCACCGGCCCCACTCCTCTCAACTTCCAGATCTGGAAGTCTATACTAATCACAGGGCGCAATGGTCAAAATTCGTAAGTAATTCATCAAAGTGGTGGTTTGTTTCTTGGACTGGCCTTCAACGACTTTGCCGTGTGGCAAATAGCACCGCTTGAAAAGAATCTTGTTTACTGGACTGACGGGCAGTTGCAAAATCTTGATTGAAGTGAGGCTTCGAAGACCAATATGCGAAATGTCCACATATTGGCTAATTATACGTGTAGTAGTATATAGAGGGATTATACGGCATCGCGCTAGAGGTCGCCATCATGTTGTTGAAGCCGAGCATCTGCATCAATTCCAGTTGCGACGGCGCAACCATCTCCGGTTCATTCCAGAGTGGCGTTTCCACGTAGGGAAGAGCGCCGTGTTGCTCTTCTGGCACAGGCGCGGGCTCCAGCTTCGGGCCTATAAAAGCGCGCAGCATCCTCGCGACACGGTAAAGAGTCCCAAACAAATCTTCTGGTGAAGTCTCGCCCATCTCAGTTGCAGCGCCTTTCAGTCTGTCTGACACCACATCCACGACGTTCAGCACGTCGACTGTATTGCGGACCTCGTCTCGATAAGCTGGCGAGAGTGATAGCCTTATTAGTACGGAAGTACACCGGATCTCCTGCGCCCAGAGATGGAAAGGAAACCCCGCCCAATTCAAGGGGGTAAATCTTAGGAAAATGTCGAAAAAAGCCCGTATGGCCTGAAGCGTGTGATAGTGGCAGTCTCGCTCGTCAAGAGCAGAAGATACGCTCAGTGAAGGCGAGCTGTGTTCGGCGTCCGAATTGACGGGGTGGATTGTTTCGTATATACTGAGCGAGGTGTAGTGCAATTGTGATAGAAGCGTTTCTGGGCTTCTGTCAGTAGGTTTGTTGTAACATCAATAAATAGATCTCACCGTTGTCCTTTAAATACGGTGGTATAGAGTCTGTTATCCCATGCAACTTCTTCTGGAGAGCCTCAAGATACCATCTATTAAGCAGTGGCTCTGTCGGGCCGGAGGATGCTGAGTGGACAGCCGCTTGGTAACGGTCTAATTCCCGCTGTTCACGTTGCTCGCAAACTTGCTGAGCAAGCACCTGTAGGCGTACCTGAAACGAGAACCCCTCATCAGTCGGGCATCCCTTGGTCCTACTAATAGTGTCGAGATACTCTTCCAGCTGAGGTGTCCAGCGCATTGGTTCCATCCGCTTATAATGGGATGCCGTCCTGGTGCGGTGCCAACCCAGGTTAGCTTTGTCTGGAACAAGATCGGAAGGGCAAGAACGCACATGGAGCTCAAGAAGAAACATCCCAGGATGGCCCTCTCGTTCTCCAGGATTTGCTGGACCGAGTCGTCAGGGAGACCTGTATCATGTCTATGCTGGTCCGGGTCTAGTACTTCATTCGGGAGAAGGTCTAGCCGCTTGATTCCCGACGTGTCTGCGCGAAGATCATGGGCTACTGCCATTGCTGTTTGCGTGAGGCGCGACGGACTGGAAGTGGAGGCCTTGTTGACGAATGTGTCATAGCCCCAGCCGAGATATGTCAGGATACAGAGTAGCAAGTCTAGGCTTGAATCGATACTCTGCCAGGTTTTTTGAGTCATCAATCTCTTGAGCTCGCTTCCACGTACTCGCCTCTCCTGGATCGACGGCGAGGTAACAGCCATGATGGCTTGGAAGAAGAGTGGTTTCACTGCAAACAGCTTTTGTGCAGTAAGATCTGGAGGGAGATATGCAAACGCGAGAAATGGAAGCATGCGGTTGCGAAAGATGGCAAGGCGCGTCTCTTCTTGCTCTGGAAATAACCTCCAGTCACTCGAAGTGGTTGACGCATGGTCTGAAGGGGCGGGTTCTCTCTCTTCGTGAGCCTTTTGGTTTTCTTCGCCTGCTCGCTGTTGCGCTTCAATGAATTCGCGCAGGGCAACAGGGGATCCTGAGTTCTCGACAACCTTACGCAGTAGCGCATTGAGGTCATTGTTTTGCGCCTGGAGATTTGCAATAATGGCAGCTGACCCAGCGTCGGGAGGCTTTTGGGCTGCTCGCTTGCGAAGGGAGTCCGCCGAGGAGCATTCCTTCTTGAGCCGAATGCATCTTTCGCAGCTCTCAGAATTGCCCTGCCTGACGCACTTGGACTTGGTCTTGAAGCAGTGCAGGCACGCCTGACCATATGGTGCGGCTCTCCTCTTCCCCACCCTTTGAGTGGAGCCGGACTGGAAGGAGTCTTGACTGGACATTTATCCCCTAATTTCGGTGGAAGAATTGTATAACGAGGAGGTAAACATCGAAAAGGTGGACATCTCAAAGATAATGGCTTTGAATGGCCTGGTTCAAATAGGAGAGGAGTTCAGCCCATTCCAAATTGGCAAACTCTAGGCACAGGAAACAAAGGAATCACGTGACCTGCATTCCTGGACTTTCCCATTCAACCGAGGCTCTTTGGTATCTCAAATCCTCACTATGACTATGCCTTGTGGTCTTGTCGATAGTGATGGTCAACTGGCAGGCCCTTCCACGCGCGTTCTCGCTAGAACGAGGTCTAATGTTTCCAGCCTCCGGAGCTTGACCAGAGTGCTTGTGCTGGCGGTTTCGCCTCCAAGCGGGGTTTACCCGACTGGTTGACGGTGCCTTTCCATTTGATGATTTGGAGCAGTTCGGCGACGAGAATTCGGCCTTTTCTACCAATTAAAGGCGTGCGATTGAAAGCATCCAAATGGCTAAGAAGCATTAGGCCATCAAAATGACTCTTAATGCTTATAAGAGGACCAAATACGCTATATCCGACTCCAATTCACTCTCTTCCAAGTCCTCCAGAGTCCATCTTACATTCCTGCCAACATGTATCTACGAGCTGTTCACGCAGAGGCTCAGATAGCCGTACTCCAACAACTCATCCGCGATAACCCACTGGGGATCCTCACAACTGCGATCAAGTCACCTCTCTATCCGCTCATTCAATCCAGCCATATCCCGTTTGTGCTAGATGTCCCAGAGACAACCGACGGCAGTCTATCAAATGGAGTATTACGCGGCCATATGGCAAAGCAAAACCCACAGGCAAAGGCACTTATGGAGGCTTTGGCGGCGCAACAAGAACAAGGCAACGCGAGCCTTGAGCTGTCAGACGAGGTCCTTGTGCTCTTTAACGGGCCGCATCACCACTATGTGACGCCAAAGTTCTACACCGAGACTAAGCCCGCTACCGGCAAGGTCGTTCCCACCTGGAACTATGCCGCTGCACAGGCGTACGGCAAGATTCGTGTTTATTGCGACTCCAAGTCCGAGGAGACAACAACGTTTTTGCAAAAGCAGATTGAGGAACTGTCAAACCAGTCCGAGACATCAATCATGAAGTATTCTTCGCCATGGCAGGTGTCTGATGCACCCGTATCTTACGTTGACCTTCTGAAAAAGAACATCATCGGCATAGAGATTACCATTGATCGCCTACAGGGGAAATTCAAGATGAGTCAGGAAATGGGCCAAGGTGATCGGGAGGGCGTCATCAAGGGGTTTGAGGATCTGGGAACGGACGTTGGCAAGGGCATAGCAGACATGGTCAAGGAGAGGGGAGACCTGAAAGATAACAAGTGACCAACGACGCCAGAAAAACAACGCAAATTTACGATGTTTACGCTATACACAACTTTTTAGGAACATAGAGAAGCTGCTAGTACCCTGATAAAATGATCTAACCCGTATTCTCAGTTGAGCGCAGGAAATTGTTACTCTCACTAGTCACTACCTACCTAGGTATCTATGTACGCTAACCGCATTCGGAATCTACCGTGGTCGGCCGGGGGGCCCCAGCATCGATAACATTTCGCCATGCAAACTAACAACCCCATACGTCAAAACACAACACTCAACATGGCTTCAAATACGAACACCTCCCCGAAACCCAAGATCGATCTCTCCCAAAAGCTGTCAGAACTGCGAGTAGCCAGATCGAAAACACAATCCCCTAGAGACCCAGCTCCCGTCACCCCTCCGCTCTTAAACCCGCCAGACCTATCCTCCCACACCTACTCACCTCCTGTCCGCCGAATTCTCTCAAAAACCGACCATGAAACATTTCTCTCCTCGCCGACATATACCCTCGTTCTCGCCTTCATTTTTGGCCTCTCCGACTCGGTGCGGGGCCGCGCAGCGCCAGATGCCGACGCAGAAGGCAACATTCCACCCCACATCAACAAAATACTCTCAGTAGTAGACAGCATCCGCACGCTCGTCGAGAGACATCCGTCCATCGATCAAGGCGGCTCCCGATTCGGTAACCCCGCCTTCCGTGACCTGTTCGACGACGTCGCCGCCCAGAGCTCGGTTTGGCACCGAGATATTCTAGGAATCCAAAACGAAGCGGCTGTCAAGGAGATATCCACATACCTGATCCACTCGCTGGGGTCAAGAGATAGACTGGACTATGGATCTGGGCACGAGCTGAACTTCATGATGTGGCTGCTGTGTCTGCGCCAACTAGGTCTGTTTTCAAAGCCGGACTTTGAGACGATCGTGTTTCGCGTCTATGTTCGGTATATGCGGCTCATGCGGGATGTGCAGTCGACATATTACCTTGAGCCTGCTGGATCACACGGTGTCTGGGGTCTGGACGATTACCACTTTCTACCGTTTTTGTTTGGCGCGGCGCAACTTGTTGCACATCCGTACATCACGCCGTTAGCAATTCATAATACCGCTATTCTCGATGAAGAGGGGGATCGATATCTGTACCTCGACCAGGTGCGGTGGGTTGATAGTGTCAAGACAGTCAAGGGGTTGCGGTGGCATAGTCCCATGCTGGATGATATTTCCGGCGCGAAGAACTGGTCTAAGATTGAAAGCGGTATGAAGAAAATGTTTGTCAAAGAAGTCCTAGGGAAGTTGCCTATCATGCAGCACTTTCTGTTTGGAAGCTTGCTACCCGCTGAACCGGGCATGGGTGAGGGTGCTGAAGAGGGCGACGAACATTCACATGGGCATGGCGATGGCCATGTACACGACCACAGTCAGCATACTGACTGGTTCGGCGATTGTTGCGGGATCAAAGTGCCGAGTACTGTGGCTGCTGGGCAAGAGATGCGGAAGCGGATGGGTGGGAGCTCAGGCCTGCGTCCAATTCCTTTTGATTAGTACAATTGCTACTGCTTGGAATTTACGTTGGGGGCTACTTAAATCAGATTAGGGAAAACAAACTACGGTGACAAATCATGATAATGCTAAATGACACATACAGATCAATGCCATCTTGCTATATTTGGGAACAATTGTGATATGCCAGCAAACACTGTGACTGAACATTCTTGAAAAGACCCAAATCCAGGACAGGTCTTGAAGAACTCTAACCCGGACCAGGACAAGGACAAACTCAATAACAATTCTGTGAGAGGTTCATTGCGTGCCCGGGGCGTCCTCAACTTCCCAGGTAACATCAGATGGCAGTCCCCTACGCCCGGACCGTCGCATATATGGATCGTACTGCGAAAAGCTCAAATGGTCTTTCTGGCGCTCTCTCACTTAGCATGGCCGTTTAACTCTATGCAGACCCCCATGTGGAGTAACATTGAAGAAAAGCCATACATGTGCATATCATGAAAAGACAGCAAAGCGAAAACTGAACATCTGAGGACTTTGTGGATAGCCAGAAGGCCTTCGGAGGTATAAGAGCCCCGCCGTTTGTTGAATCCGCCATCGGCGAGAATCAACATTACTAGTAGATTCTATGGCCGTTTGATAGCCTAGTATTAAGATTAAATCCTTGTCAGGGATAATCCTAGTTCTTTAATGAGTCCATCGAATGTCACGGCCTTTTCATCCAACCAGTAATTCGATGGACTTCAAATATATACAAAATACAGCGGCGGAACCAATTATCATCTTTGTACCTCACAACTTTGACTTAACACTCAACAGAGCAGAGATTATAACTAGTATAATTATCTACTGTAAGCCATTCTTCTCGTTTTGTGTATTCATAGTCTGTGCAATATCCAGATATCCAGAAGCCATCCTCATACCCCGATATAGATCAGAGTCACATGACCCATTGACTAAAGCAGCACTGGCGCCACACCTAATCCGTCACGTCACTCATAGTCATTGCATTCGCAGTGGAACCTTACATGCGCCAACTTCAGTATCCATTCCTATACCTAAACCGATCGAGGTCCTAAGACCCGACATCACGTCATCATGGACGAATACTCCTCCGGCACAGGCGGGAAGCTCAAGCTCAAGGGCTCCAAGGTCGCCGACGGCCGGGTAAAGAAGAAGAAGAGCAAGAAGAGCTCGTCTTCGACTAATGCTGGCGCCGGTGCCGCTGGCAGCACTACGGAGTCTGGCGCTACCGGCGAAAGGGAGAAGGAGAAGGATGTGGCTGCCGAGGAGACATCCGGTGGTGCTACTGCTACTGCTGCAGCAGTCCCAGAGGAGCAGGAGGATGGATCGAACCCGTCAACCGGGACATCGACGCCGACGCACGCGCACACGCATGCGAAGACGGAGGCTGAGAGGAGACATGAAGAGACGAGGAGGAAACGGGTATGTTACGTCCACGGTTGCAATGCATTCGCGCCTATCTTGCGCACTCTCTGCATTTCTTGTTTTTCTTTTTTCTCACTCGCATATGCATCCTCGGAAAATGAGATGTACTTTGGTTCACACCCATTCTCTGCTTTCCTGCATTCTTCCTTCCGGCGTGTTTGCTTTTTTGGCTTAACTGCGCTGGAAATTCGTTGCCTTATCCCTGGACTGTTTCACAATCTTCGAATTCCTGGAACGGGTGCATGCTGATGGGCGCGGATAGGTTCAAGAGCGCTTGAAGCGGGAGGGTGTCAAGACGCATAAGGAGCGCGTTGAAGAATTGAATAAGTACCTCAGCAGGCTGAGTGAGCATCATGATATGTACGTCCTCAATCTTCGCTCGTCCTTTGGTTCTCGAGCGGAACGTTGGGTGTTAACCATCGCGCAGGCCGAAGATTGGTCCTGGTTAAGTAAATGGCTTGGGCCAGAAGATTCTCGGTCAGCGGACCGAGTTTGCTATCATTTCAGAACGCCACTAGATTGAATCTAAGTTCAGCTTCTCTGTACGTATCCATTAGCGACGTGAAGATGGTCCAAGAACCTTATGCTGAAGCACCTTATTGATCTTTGGTGTGCTGGGATAGTGCCTGCTACGTTCTGCACGCTTACTGGTCGAGGTAGAGCACCTGCTGGCTACGTCCATTGGTCGCGCTTTCATTGCTACTGGACTACGAGGAACTCCTACAGAAGGATTGAGAGATGATAGGTTGAAAATATGCAGTGTATGTACCTATTACCCGCTGGCTATGTGATATGTGACACGCCAATGGACACGATGATAGTCCAAAAATGGGCCCAAGATTCCACCCCAAATTGATAAGGAGGTCTTGCCATCAGGTAGCCATAAGACTATCCAGATGTCAATCAACTACCAGATCCGAAACCATGCAGAAAGTAACCAGAAACCAACTCAACTCCACTGGTCGAACGCCGCGCATAAAATGCGAAAAATAATAAGTAGTGTAGTAGAGAATAAATGCCCCAACCCAGAAATGAAGATGCTCGACGAGGAGAAGTAAAGCCAAGAAAGATAAGAGATCCGCACGGAGCATTGTGTAGCGATGGCGGTGGTCGCAGCTCCACGGGTTGTATGGTGTACTCAAGTCCTATACACCCTTGATGACCTGAGTCCGCTCGCTGTTCAACTTGTCCGCATTTCGGGCATGAGATTCCTTCTTGCAGTCCTCGAGGCCGGTGCAAGAGTGTGCTTCTAACATTCGGTGTTTAGAGCAAAAGTGGCCGTTGCAGAAGCTGCAGTCACCGACGATGCGCTGGGCGGCTTCCTTGCACTCCTTGAAATTGCAACGGGGCTTGCGTGGAGCCATATTGGGTGGTGGTGGCGAGAGGAAGGAGAAGAGCGGTCCGGATAAGGAGACGGTGAGGAGATGAGGAGACGGCGCCGAAATCGGATAGCGGTGCGGAGATGATGTGTTGCTTCGGTGGTTGAAGTTGGAGAAAGGTTGAAGGTAGAGTTTTGGAGGCTACCGCTCCGGTGGAAGAGGCGGAGTGGTCCTTATTTAGGATTGGGAGATTGAAGGAGCTGAGGATGACGTGGTAAGAGTAGAGTGGTGAGGTGAGGTGACTAGGAGAGGATCGGTCACAAGGGCGAGGGTGATTTGGGGAGGCGAAGCCGCGAGGCAGATAAGGAGTCGGTCAGATAAGAACGGAGGTAGGTGGTCGAGTAGAGGAAGATGTATGGAGGATGGCGGTATATATAAGGGAGAGAAGAGGCGGAACTCAGGGATCTAGAACCGGCAGAAGGTCGGCGAGAGAGAAGAAAGACAAAGAATGGCAAAGAGGGCGAGAAGGCAGCGGCGAGAGCAGCACAGAGTCAATTTATACGGAATCGCCTCATGGAGGCCCGGCTGAGTCAAAGGGATCGCCGCGGACAGTAACAGAGTATTATTAGATTATTACTAGATTTCAAAGGTGGACGGACCGCTGGAACTTTCCACGCCTCGCCCCAGGCGCTTCACCCTGAATATTCGCTCCTTTAGCCTTTATTAATCAGTCGACCCAGACTCTGCTGCCGGAGGTTGTAACAATGGCATCAAAGGCCGATTCTGACTTTTTCCCCCAACGCCCCATCTCGTTTACTACTTACAGAGTTGCGACGTAGCAATGGCAGAAGTGGTCGACGTCCAACTGTCCATACTTACGTGTCCGTCCCCAGTGCTCGCCCATTCTTATTACTATGGCGTCATGCTGCCACCGATTTCTGACTGAATAATGTCGCAAGTGCCACTATCACAAGAACCCAAAGACGAGCTCAGGTCTACACGATTTGCAACCCAACCGCGCAATGCACCAGGCTCCAGCCCTGTCCATGCTCACTGGTCAATTCGATGCATGCAATAATCCAGGTACTCAGCTATTGCCAAGCCAATTGTCCGTGCAATATGCAATTGCGTCCCCCCGCAATAATCAGCCCATTACCCGGTTCTCTTGATAACTGGGTTTATCACTTATTGATAGGAACAGGTGACCTGGTCGCTGGATATCGAATTCTATCTGTTCGTGGTTGGGGGGAGGAATCACATGGATCGGTTCACCGTTGATCGCAGCCTGCGGAATACCTTCCGTCAGCTGAGTGCCCAGCCGTATGTAGGATTCGAGGTTCGAGGATGCCGAGACGTAGACACCGTCGGGAGTCTAGTCACATTGGCCTGATTGAGAGCCGTGGTGGCCTCAGCTGTCCGGTACCTTTTGCCCAACGATGCGGAGTACAAAGGAGTAGGACACCGCACCGGATGTGAGTTGCAGTCGCACACCACAACGCACAGGCGCAATGCAGATCTGTCCATGGACATGTTGTCTGTGCTGTGCTGGCTGCATGCTACTAGTCTAACCGGATCCAATTTCCAGCAATGGCGTTATTGAAGCCGTTCCATTGGAATCTCATGTACAAAGCTGTCCGGAATACATCTTTTCCTTCCGCAGGGTGGCTTACGGCGGCTGGCTTCATGTACATTATGTACTTTGTACTTCGGGGTAGTTGGAATTAGAATCTCGATCCAGAGATTGGACAGTCATTGTGTAAAATCAGCTAATCGGATTGTCCCCAACCCGAGCACCAAAAGGGAACATGCAGTAGTTGGAGCTGGATTCTTCAGCCGGGACGTCCAGAGGTTATCGGCTCGGAGGTGGCGCTAAGACCATCTTGGAGTCGCCGATTTTTTGGCGTCTGCATCTCGGTCACCTCTTCAATGCTGTGGGCATCCTATCTCGAGTCCACGACTCCCCGAGGCGCTCTAGTCTAGTCAAATCAACCTCTTCATCTCCACACACCCTCAGGCTACGTATGCACAAATGTCCAAGGTTCTGCGTGTCGACGGAAATGAAAGTGTCCACTTTGTAACGGGCGAATAACCGGCCCACCTGAAGTACTTCAAACGGGGTGACAAGCACCAGGGCAACATTGTATCCGTACTGTCTCACGCGCACCCTAACGGCACGGCCAAGCATTGGACGGGTTGAGGTTGAGATGATCGTCTTCGTTCCGGGATAGTCGCGGAAGCGGGTCTTGGAAGATGCATAATATCATGCATCGAGTCTTTGAAGATGCATTGAGCCCAGGGCAACTCATGGGCGTCAGCGTTGTGGGGAAACATCACTGATGCAGTAGTTTGCAGCTCCTTGAATGACTCCTTGTAAGTCGCTGCAGACGATTTCCTACCAGCTTGGGCTTCTCTGGGCTTGGCTGAAGACCTGACACGGCCAGCTAATAAGTCCATGGGGCATTCCGACTTCAGACCTTCAATTCGAGATGTCTTCCATTTCCTCATTAGAGTACTTGAGTACTTCCGCGCCAAATATTAAGAATCAAAACTAAAGAAAGTATTGACATTAGAATAGAAATAAAACGCCTTTCCTTCTCATCAGAACACACCGGGTCATTCTCAGGGTCATAAGTTTAAATCGAAACAAAAGGAATGGACTGTGAGGACTGTGAGGACTCTTATACCCCGAGTTCCTCCTTCCCCGCATCTGGGTCGAGGTAATTTTCTCGCTCTGCCGCCTCGTACTCTCCGACGAGGTCCATTACCACTGCTCGTGCTTCGTCAAACTCGTCGAAACCGTCCTGAAATGGTGCTTCTTTCCTATATTGCTCTAAGAAGGCGTTACGCTTTCGCAGACGGTCGTATTGCTGGACGATTCGCTTGAATAATGTGGCAACGGAAGTGTGATTCGCTAGCATCAAGCCGCTGACTCGGTGTGTGTTTTGGATGTATGGGGATTTCTTCGTAAGAGCCACTTGTATGCTAGCCGGGCCCCAGGGGATAAATGACGCTAGACGTCGCTCACGGATACGGAGAAGTGATTTGTGCACGTCCGTCGGGTCCGCTTCACCCTGGATGATGTTGAGGATACTGATGTAGCAGCTGGATTTGCTGGGGTTGATCGAGACCATTCGGTTTTTGGGTTGCAGTAGACGGCGCATGACATCTAGAACGGTTGTCTTTCGGACAGTCTTGGCTTGATCGATATTGTCTCCTGTGAAGGGTGTGTACGAGGTAAGTAGGAAATGGCTACGTGGTGTAGGAATCAGGGAGGCGATGATTCCGACGAGGTCGTTGTGCATATAGCCAGGGTATCGGAGGGTGGTGGTGGAGGCGGACATGACCGTAGACACCTGTACATAATTAGCGAAGCTCTTCAGCGATGTTCTGGAGTGTAACATACAAGGCGGTTCGTCTGCTGGAAGGAAGGTTCTTGCACATGGAGTCTGTCTGCAACGATTCTTGATAGCGCAGCGTTATCGAGAACAACCTGAGAAGTGCTTTAGCGCATGCGACAATCTCCTAGACACAGGTGGCTTACAACAGAGTCGGCATTCTGCGTTAAACGCCGCATGGCAAGGAGACTGTTGTACGGGTTGACAACGACATCTGCGGCTTGGGTGTCAGGGAAGACAGAATATGTCTGGATCAACTTCTTCGGAAATCGGTCGTTCATGCGCTCCAGAAGGAAACTTCCCAGTCCGGAGCCAGTTCCTCCTGCAATCGAATGTAAAAACATGAAGCCCTGCCGCAATATCAGCAATATCCACCTGTTCCGTTCCTATGCGTGGCTTTACCTCTAGAGAGTCACTGCCGTCCGCCTCCCGATCAATCATATCGAAGACTTCCTCCTGAACCACCTCACCGGCGGCATATCCAGCACCCCAATTGTTTCCGGCACCGATACCTTGCTGCCCTATGAAGAAGTTCTCCGGATTGTAGATGTTTTTGTAGGGACCGGATTGAATGCCGTTCAAAACCTGATCAAAATAGTTTCAGCTCGTTGTCCGCAAGCTTCTCCGCACGCGAGTATCATACCCTCGGTTCTAGGTCTAGTAAGATCGCTCGAGGTATATATCGTGTATCGTCACTCTAGAAGCGACCCATCAGTAATGTTCCAAGCATCTACCACCTCGAGACATGGTAGTCTACCCACCTGGTAGAAAAAGACATCCTTGCGATCACCGCCCTCTGTCGCAAACTCCTCCAGATTGCCATCTTGACTTATCCCGTGCTCGAGACATAGTTGTTGCCAGAATTGACTACCGACTGTGAGAGGACCCGTCAGTATAATGTCGCGCGGTGTAGATTGGGCAGATTTGTAGCTGGGGAAGAGGGGTCGGGTTGGTTGCTCCAAGTCGCGGATTTCGCACCATTGTTGCCGCATTGGCCGGCTTGAATTGTGATGATTTCCCTAGGCGAAAGGTTAGGGCCGATTGGGATGATGTGATAGATAAGGGCAGTTCATAGGGGAAGCTGAAGGCATACCTGGGCATCTTTCTTTCTTGACCCCGGAGAAGTCGTAGGTGATAGTTCGACGCGTAGCGCGTTCCTTTACCTACGCCAGAGACACTTACAGAAGTGGGGCCTTAGGCCGCAAGAACTAAAGTTGATTTGGGTGCACTCTACAGTACTTTCTCGATGAACAAGGTGAATACAGTGGTCTGAATATTTTTGATTATAAAGCGCTATGTCTAGAAATACTAGTGGCGATTCCACTGAAGCGCCCTCCCAACACAGAACTCGATTCTGCATGAGGAAACCAAGAATCGGTCCTTTGTGAGCATCTCGGTTTCATCCAAGATTGCGTCTTGTCTCGATGCCAGATGCGTTAAACGTGTATGAAAGGACCTATAACCTTGTAGGCGTGTCCGAAAACCCAGGGGGTTTGCACCAGCCCTCGGGTTGGCAGCCACAAATTCATGGCGAACAGGGAGGCTGGAGCCAGGAGCAGATAACTTATCTCAGAAACTAGCTTTGCATGCTGTGACTAGCATCCCGGCACCTGAGACGACACCATCGACTATCTTGACCCGACTGCCTTGCTTCCGGCCGTATGCTCTGATGCATCCCTCTCGTACCGCTTCTTCCATCCCAGCCATACCAGCACATCCCAAGCAGATCGCGCTGACAGGACGCGAATTCGCTTTGATCAGCTTTTCGGTGGCCTCAATGATTTTCCTCCGTACTTCTTCAGGTGGGGTCGTATGCAATTCAACGGCCGTGAGCCCAGTGGTCTCTACACCAGCAAACCGGCTTGGGGAGCCTTTATGATCACCCGAGTTGACAAGCATGTCCGAAACAGCATTGCTGAGCTCGGTCTTCCAACTGCTCCCAGTAGTGACGATACCGAAAGTGTCCTTCGCTTGCGACTTGCCGAACCCTCCATCCCAGGTGAGTTGGAAAGAGCTGATCAATGACAAGGAAGTTACAATGCTTCCTTCAAATATCCCGGTCACATACTTCCTCTTGATATTTGCCGTTGGCCCAAGCTCCAATAGCGCCGCATCCTCCAGCTTGTCAATAGCTTCTCTGAGCATCCCGACAAGGGGATGTGCTGAGTAGCATGCGACTAGGAAACCATCGTACTTCTCGACTAGAGGCTCCACAAATGGTCGACAATGGAGGGCTGATAGAACTGAGTCTTCTCCAGAGTTTATGCTGGGAATGCCATGAATAACTCGTCCATCAGGAAGCGTAACGGTCTCGGACTGCGGAGCTGTGAAGTAGTCGAAGTTCACGTCTGCGTATCCTAGGTTGTTCAAAATTGGGACCAGCGCACTGGTCATCTGAGTTGAGGTATTTGGATTGATAACCAAGACTGAGATACGTGAGCCGCTCATTGTCGCCATGGTGTTTGTTGGTTATCAGAAACCCGTGTCACCTGCGCAGAACTGTGGCGGGGTTGAGATGAGGAGCTGCGAAGTGTTGTCCAGCTGGAGGTGGGATTAGTCCTTTTCTTCAGCCACTGGGTCCGCATGCCTGCAACCACCTGTTCGCCAAAAGCAAACAACTTCCAAGCTTCATTTTATTCGATCGAGCACCAGTATGGATAACCCTACCATGTCTGAATCTGTGCACATTTTAAAAGCATACCGACTTCTCAGGCCGGAGTTAACGGATATGGATGACGCGAGGTGTGGGGTAGATGTTTCCAGAGTCCGACGATGGAGTCCTTTATCTAGAGCTCTCGCCCACGGGATTTTAGGATGATCTCTTAATCTTTCCATCAGTGGTTTGTCTTTCCAGTTTCTCTACTTTATCACGAAGGTGAGATTTCCTCTGCCTTTACCTCGCCCATTACTGACGGATTTATCTTAGTGTACCCCGCACACAGCTATACAATATGCCCCTCATCGCCCAAAACCCCGTCCCAAGGGTTATCCTGGGGTTGATGACCTTCGGAAAAGACGAGTCGAAAGGCGCTAGAATCACGTCACTGGATGAATTCAACAAGCACTTGGATTATTTCCAGCAACAAGGTTTCAACGAAGTGGATACTGCGCGGCTTTACATCGGAGGAGCCCAGGAGGCTTTCACTGCAGCAGCGAAATGGAAGGAACGAGGCTTGACTCTTGCGACAAAGGTCTACCCTTACACTCCTGGTATCCACAAGCCCGACGCTCTTCGCGAGCATTTCGAGACCTCCCTTAAAGAACTCGGGACAAACCAGGTCGATATCTTTTACCTGCATGCAGCCGATCGGTCTGTCCCATTCGATGAAACATTGGAGGCAGTCAACGAGCTTCATAAAGAGGGCAAATTTGTGCAGCTAGGATTGAGCAACTTCACTGCTTTTGAAGTTGCTGAAGTCGTCACACTCTGTAACGAGAGAGGCTGGGTACGACCGACCATTTACCAGGGAATGTACAATGCTATTAGTGAGTCTGCCACGATCTTCTACTACACCGAGTGATTTTCTGGATCAATCACATATTAATCTTTGGCACTATAGCACGTTCAATTGAGACCGAGTTGATCCCAGCATGTAAGCGTTATGGCATTGATATTGTCGTCTACAACCCTCTGGCTGGTGGTATTCTTTCCGGCAAGTACAAGACGAAGGACGTCCCCGCAGAGGGCAGATATAGCGACACCGCCGCAAGTGGCAGTCTGTACCGGAAACGATACTTCCGCGACGCCACCTTCGAGGCATTGTCTATCATTGAGCCTGTAGCACAAAAGCATGGGCTCACGCTTCCTGAAACCGCTTTGCGCTGGATTCACCACCACTCTAAGCTCAACATCAAGGACGGCCGGGATGGAATTATCGTTGGCGTGAGCAGCTTTGCTCAACTAGAAAGTAACCTAAAAGACGTCCAAAAGGGGCCTCTCCCTGAGGAAGTTATCGAGGCACTGGATAAGGCCTGGCTGGCCGCCAAAGCGACTACTCCGGATTATTGGCATCTGGATCTCAAATATACATACAACACCCAAGAGGCGTTGTTCAAGCGGAAGTCAAAAGCTTAGACGTGGAGATCTACCGATACTCGTGCCAAGCCATAGACATATAGACATATACTGACAGAAGGATATACATCGGTTCTTAAGACTGTAAAGGTACTCCGTAGTCCGTACCGATTGACCTGGGTTGCACTCTTTTGGAGACAGTTAAAGACTGATCACGTGAAAGGGGTGCCGAATGTCGATCCGCTAAGCCGAAACCGACTGACTAAACCTGAGTTAGTAAGTCATCGTCACAGCCCAGGCACCGTGGCCGTGGCAGCTTGAGTAGTGGGCTGCAAGTGTCTCCATCACACTCCATATTTAGCCCATTCCCCAGAACCTCTTACCTGCTGCGTTGTCCACTTGCGCTAACATTGCACAAGCTCTCTAACGCGGGGATCTGCTGCAGTGTGACTATATCTGCTGACTCAATGGAGGCCTATGCTACTTAATCCGTCTTTCTTTTTTGGTTCTCCGTTGATCTGAGGGCCTTGGGACTCTCAATGCGACATTCTTGACACAAGTCAAAGAGTTCATACATATCTCTCATTCGTTTAACTCAAAAATTTTCCGACAAATACATCGAAAATTTCTAATACAACGTGGCTTCAGGCAGCGAGAAATCGTTTGATGGTGACGAGAGGAGAGGCTCTGCTTCGGCTCCCGACTCGCGCCACTCAAATGACATCGAGATGTCCATGACACGCACAAACATGCATGGACCTTTTGATGGCCGGTCCCATCAACCGCTGCTCGACGAGGAGCAGCAAGGGCGGATGTCGACTGGTGGATTTGGGTATGGTGACGCAGAAGGCAGGCCTATGCTTCACCACTCGCGACGGTCTACGATGCGAAGTAAAAGTCCGGACGCTCTTGCGAAACATCAGACTCGCCAAAAGTACTTCATAGCTTCGGGGTTTTTGCTGTTAAGCTTGGCGAGTTTTGTGGTTCAGACGGAGACGGCTGTATACATCCAACATGATCTTGGGTGGGACAAACCGTACTGCATGCTGTAAGTTTCAGGAGAATCTTTCATTCTCAGTTACACATATATGCTGATACCTTTTTCTGTGGATGATTAGATATTTTACCCACGGTTCCTGGTTCCTTCTTTGGCCGATACAACTCTTGTTATTGCGTATACAGAAGCGGAAGCTATCTTGGGAAGCGTTCTGGCGTCGACATGTCTATATGCTTCGGACAACTGGTCAAATGGTGGAATCCCAGAATCTACATCTCACTCCGGACAACGGCCGGTCACCGATACCTTACCTTCTCAAGACGACGGCATTCGTGACCAGTGCACTCACTGTAGCCGGTGGGTCTTGGTATGTTGCTGTCAATCAGACAACGCCCAGTGATTTGACGGCGATCTACAACTGCTCTGCCTTCTTCGCATACGCGTTCTCAATCCCACTCCTCAAAGAGAAACTCCGGTTTGATAAGGTCTTTTCAGTGGGTGTGGCCATCGTGGGGGTTCTAGTTGTTGCATATGGAGATAGAGACGATGGAAATAAAGGGGAGAAACACGAGGGAGGATCTAGGCTACTGGGAAACTTGATTATCGGTATCGGCAGTGTCCTATATGGCCTATACGAAGTGCTGTATAAAAGGTTCGCCTGCCCTCCGGAAGGAACCAGCGCGGGCCGAAGCATGATCTTCGCCAACACCTTTGGGAGCCTCATCGGATCCTTTACCCTACTTGTCCTTTGGATTCCATTGCCCGTCTTTCACTTTCTAGGCCTGGAGACATTCCGGTGGCCGACCGGTGAGGCCGCATGGATGCTCATGATATCCGTTGCTGCCAATGCTAGTAAGTTCTCCCGCCCACAAGAGCCCTGGTGCCAACAGCCCTGAAGAGAGCCCTCATAAGGCTCTGCCCATCTCGCACGCATATGTCGAAACCCTTGACGCAACTCACCAAGTGCTGACCGTGCGCCTTCTCTGCAACAGCATTCTCCGGGTCCTTCTTAGTCCTCATCTCCCTTACCTCACCTGTCCTTTCATCCGTGGCCTCTCTCCTGACCATTTTTCTCGTCGCCATCGTCGACTGGTTTCGAACTGGCCAACCTCTCTCCATGGCATCCATTATCGGTGGTGTTTTGATTATGATCGCATTCTTCCTCTTGAGTTGGAGTACCTACCGGGAGATGAACGAAGAGCGCAAAAAGAAAATTCAACAGGATGACGTTGAATCCGAAAGCGATGAATAGACCAACCTTTGTGGTTGCATTAGATTGGGCCTGTTGGATATCACATTCTTTGCATACATATAGTTTCATTCCTTTTTTTTTCAGCGCAGCCCCTACATACATCTGGCTTGGATACATAGGTATACAGGGCATACATCAAGGCGTCTTGGATAATCTGCTTCGTTGGGTTGGGTTCCTTCATGTCACGACCATACACCTTGTGCCTGGTTGACGTGTGTACCATAATTATTCTTCTTTTTCAGTACAAATTGGATAGCGACTTATACCACAAGATACGGAGAATCAAGTCCCCATTCACACTATGACGTATTTACACAATACGGGTCAACTCCTTCTATAGTAAGTAGCTACACGGCCAGACCTGATATCCGCGTGAGATATGCTATATGTAAACCAAACACGAGAAAGGAGGAACGAGTTTTGGAGACGCTGGGACAACAAACAACCCAACGGGGAAATGAAGTGAGTTCGAAGTTCCATTCCAGATACAAGAACAGGCTGCGCGAGATATGATGTGAATAGAAAGAAGAGCGCTTGCGGTAATCGAAGTAAAGAATAGCCCTTGAACACTATTTCTACCTTGGGCCGAGCTTGGCGAGAGCGCGAGCCCCTTGCTCTTCCCACTCTTGCTTGGTAACCCACATGTCTTCCTTGTCTGCGATCTGTTGTGGAGCGGTAAGCAAAGGCGATGAGATGAGTAAGAGTGAACAACGTACCAAGTTGGCGAGGACTGCTCCTCCCAAGAAGACCATGTGTCTCCGTCGGGGTGGGTCCTCAATGCGGACCTTGAATTTCTATTGTGACAAGTCAGTATGAGCTATTTAGAAGCAGTTGGTGCCACATATGACGTACGCTCAGTCGTTCCGGGTCGCCCTTGAGCACCCGTGTCAACCACAACTGTTTCAATTCCTTCTCCAGTCGCGTAGGCAGACCGGGGTACATGCTGCTTCCTCCACTGAGCACGATGGCCTTGTATAAGCTGGAGCGGACATCGACATCGGTGCCTTGGATGGTGTTGAACAGCAACTCAGCCATACCAGGCTGATCGACGTCCACCAGGTGCGGTTGGAAAAGACATTCGGGGGCTTCGAACCGCTCGCTACCGACTCGAATGACACGGCCGTCGGGGAGGGTGTAGGATTCGACTAGTACGGTGGTCTCCTCGGAGAGCTTTCTGTCGAGTTCGAGGTCGCAGGATACATAGGCGAGCTTCTCCTTGACCTGGCGAACGGTCTCGAAGTCCGCTGTACGGTTCAGCGCATATCCGCGGCGGAGAAGGAGGGCGATGAGGTTCCGGGTAACATCGCGACCAGCGACGTCGAGTCGGCGAATGTGGTGGTTTAGAACTGTAGATTCATAGACGGGGATGATGTGGGTGACACCGTCACCGGAGTCCACGACAACTCCGCTACTGAGACCTAACGTCGGTGAATAAGCAACCGACAATACGTTGAGTCGTCTCGAGACTCACCTTGAGCATATAGTGCGAGAACTGCCTGAATGGCGACATAGACTCCTCCGAAGTTATACTGTTCCAGCATGACCTCAGCCATCTGCTCGCGGTTCTTGAGCGGGTTCATGGGCGGTTCAGTGAGGAGGATCTTGCGGCCGGTAGGGTCGATCTTCATCTTATCGTAGAAAGTGTAGTTCCATAGATGTTGCATGTCATCCCACTTCTTGACGATACCATTTTCCATCTATTTGTGGTAAAAACAGTCAGCCCCGGACCGTAAACGCACGCTACCGCTAGAAATCCGGGGAGCGGGGACTCGCGAGCATGTGCGGCGCGGCGCGTAGGCGAGCGGGATATAACATACAGGGTAGCTGATTTGGAGCATCGACCTGGCGGCGGCGGCTTCATCTCCGCACATAATATCCTTGACGACAATATCGCCAGCCTGTTCCTCAGTTCGCAGGATGGGCCGCCCCACTATCGAGGGGAACTGGTGCTCGGGGAAGTTCTGGAGGACGGAGATAGAGTCAATAAGAAGCTCTGACTGAGGCGAGGAGAGATCTGGAGATTGGGAAGGATACCTGCGCAGCATATCCGACCTTGAGGAAACCCGTTCCTCCGTCGAGTACTGCAGTTGTTAGTGACGCTACCTTGGGACAAGCATACATAGCAGCAGGAACAGGGGTCGGAGCTTACCAATGGGCATGTCCGCCATGATGGATATAGGGGAACGCTAGTTTTCCAATGCTTAATCAATTCTCGAACGAGAAACAAAAGAGATCGCCAATATGAGGTCCAGCCGTGGCAAAGCTGGTGATTATGAGGGGGTGCGAGCAAGTTGGCGGTGCCGCAGGTCGACTCGCTGCTGACTGACGACGTTTTCTGCCTTGTCGCCTGAGGCATCAATAGTCAGGCAGCCCCAAACGCGTGCATCTATGTCTCTACTCTCTCCAGATTCTCAGATGCTCTGTTACCACTATTTCGATTATGATGAGTTGAGTTCAAACAATGTATTGAAGACCCGGGCTTTGTTCTGTTTCTCGACCGAGACCGGGGCGGCCTTATCGATACCATGCAAGCCCTCGGAGACTACTTATACTTAACCTAGGTACATCTCCAACAACATCTCCCGGCCTAATTGGTACAGGAACAATTGTAGGCCAACCTGGAACTGTAGATAGAGCGCAATGACTCGAATTGGCTGGGTAAGTCTCAAACAAAGAACCAGTAATCCATGCTAACCTCCCTCCCAGTATGGCCTCGGCTCAATGGGCCTCGCGATGGCCACCAACCTCCAAAAACACCTGGCAACCAAGAGCCCTGCAAAGAGCCTCCTCTATTCCAATCGGACCATGCCCCGCGGCGATATTCTCAAAGCACTCGGCGCCACGGCCGAGACGAACTTCTCCAAGCTCGTCGCGCAATGCGGCATCATCTTTACCATGGTATCTATCTACTTACCTACCTCATCTTCCTAAGTATACTGATAAAATCCCAGGTCTCCAACGACGCCGTGCTGCAAAGCCTAGTCTCAAGCGTCACAGAGGACCCAAGCCAGTCCCTCAAGGACAAGATCTTCGTCGATTGCTCGACCGTCCACCCGCAGACGGTGGGCCTCACAGTCGCAAGGCTAAAAGAGAAGCAGGCCGATTTCCTAGCGGCCCCTGTCTTCGGTGGGAACCCGATTGCCGTGGACGGAAAGCTTGTCTTTGCCATCGCAGGGCCGAAACGGGCCTCTGACGTTGTCAAGCCGCTGATTCAGGACGTCATGGGTCGCAAGGTGATTGACTGTGGTGAGGACGCGACCAAGTCTTCTATGCTGAAGATTGCGGGGTAAATATATACATTTCTATCCACTTCGCAGTGCAGAGTCAGTTCACTAATCGCGCCACCTTGACAGAAATATCATAACCGTCAACCTCATGGAAGCCGTCGGTGAAGCCCAGGTCTTTGCGGAACGTACTGGTCTCGGGACGGCTGCTATGGAGGAACTCATTGGGGAAGCTTTTGGACCTGTTGCGGGGGGTTATTCGAAGCGGTACAATCCCTACTTAACTGAACACGTAGAGCCATTTCATTGTTACTGACAGCTCACGCAGTCTGACCACCGGGGCCTACGCACCGCCTTTCGACACCCGTCCTGGGTTTGGCGTCTCATTGGCCATCAAGGATGCAAAGCATGCATTTGACATTGCCAAGGAGAACGATGTTCATCTGCCTGGCTTGCAGGTTGCTACAGAGAACATGGTTGCTGCTCGAGAGTACGCTGGCGAATGTCTCGACAGTAGTTCTATGTATGGCGTCTTGCGGCAAAAGGCAGGTATGGAGTTTTGGAATGAAAAGAGTCGTAAGGAATGAAACCGGTGTAAGGGGAGATATCTGAGCATTGTATAAATGCTTAAGTGACATTATCCATGATCATGTTCCTTGTCAATAATATATATTGTGACTCTGCGTCTCCAAGATTTAGTTCAACACAAAAACATTGCAAAGGTATTATGTTTCTTCAGAATTAATTTCAATTAACTTTCCTCGCTGTAGTATCCAGTACCATTTATAAGCACCTGTAAGAACAAACAAAATTCCAACGCCACAAAGAGGTATCCGTCCCACCGGGTTTGCACATATATACCAAGTCCATCCAATCCAGCTGTCGTCTTGACCAGAATCCGAAAGCGAAAACTATTGTAGGTACAGATGAAAGAAATCCCTGCTCATGAGGCGGGCTTGATCTTAGTGGTTTCAACCAACAGCGGAAATTCCTCCGCGAAAGCTGGTCCGAGTGTCCAATTATTGATATCCGCAAAGTGCCTCTCGAATACGGGGTTGATAATCAGCTCGTCAGTTTCGCCAGTCGAAAGAAGACAGTCCGTCGGTTCATAAGGCCAATTGATGGAAAGTGTGCCGGTGAAAGGGATGAACCAATTATCGAAAGGATACTCATGATACGACATGACAAGCCGGTCTCGCATTCGTGGCCAAGGAAGATAATCAATCCAAGCGGGATGCGGTGTCAGCAGCTGTGATGGACGAGGCGTTAGCCAGTCCGGCAACCGGTGGTAATTCTCGGCCGTCGGATATATTTGCCAGCGCATGAGGAGAAACATGGAATACAGTACACCAAGCTGTTCGGGAAGTGAGGAGATATCAGGGAATGTGCGCAGAATGTCTGTAAAGACTTTAGAGAGTGGATGGGAGTAGACGCTCTTGTCTGGGTTGAGCAAGGAGGAGACACTTGGATATGCCGGCCCAACAAGCTTCTGCTTCGGCACTCCTTTCGCAGCCTCCCGTTGTCGGTTGTGAAGAAAGTCGAGCAGTATTGCATCCAAAGTACAGGTGGGTGCAATATTCCTGATCGGAGTCATGTAGGCCGGCAGTGGTTGGTCCGGCATGGTGCCAACCGGTGGAAGAGCGGGGATACTCGACTGTGACCTAACAGTTTCTGATGAACGACGAAAGCCTTCCATCTTGGGCACCTGCTGTGAGGGATCAAGTAAAAAGTTGAAGCCCATCCTTTCATCACCCCCAAAATCCAGACCGTGAAGCAAATTGTGACGTTGGTAATCGAATGCAAGCCGCAAAGACGTACTATTGCCGGTTGCACTGTCGCGCCGGGAACCTAATGTCGGCGCTGAGTGAGTCGACGACGGTGTCCCCACGCTTGCGATGGACTCGGTATAAGAGCGATCGACCGTCGCGGACCTGTGTGGATCGGGTGGCATAGCATGGTTATCCAGAGAAGGCGATGCGGAGGGTATAAGAGGAGCTGCCGACCTAGCTGTGGCAGGAGCTATTACCGGAGGCACTGGTGTATGACGTTAGTAAACCTGGAACTTACCTGGCGAGGTTTAACTCACTGTATGAATCCTGCTTCCCTAGCAGTGGCTGAATGGTATCCACTATTGCTCTCAATCCCTGGCGAAGCTCCCTATTCTCAGCCAGAATAGCTTCATTCTGCTTTAGTGCAGCCTGAAGATCCAGGAAAGGCTTTTGCGAAGAGAGCTCGCGGACCCGTTGCTCCAGAGTGTCAATATGCGTTTTTGTTCTCTCCCTGATTGCCCGTTGAGCTTGGCGATCGTTGGCCCGTTTCTTCGCAAGCTGATCGGGCGTGAGATTGGCGACACCGCGTGCAGAAGTACTGTTCAGTTTGCGTTTTCGGCCCGCGGCAGCATTTGCCGCCGGGCTGGGCGTGTTATTGGAATTATTGACAGCAGGATCCGAGCAGAGCGCATCGACTGACGTGGATGCTACCGTAACGGGCGTGGGAGAGTCTTCGAGCTTCACGGGCCCTGAGTCATTCGGGGTTGTCGCATTGGTGATCGAGGGGCGTTGAATCGCAGGCAGTGAAGACGGGAGTTCGAGAGCCGACGAGGGCGCCACATCGGAGAGGGGAGGTAAGCGAGTGGCCATTGCCTACTCGCGGCAGGATATTGAATCGTAATTGCCATCCAAGTTCGCAGCACGAGGTTGAGGAAAAGGCTCAAGGTGAACGCGGACGATCCACGGGCAAGATCTCCTTGATCAGCGGAAGAAGTTTAGCGGCATCGGGGAACTTGGTTGGGTATTGTGGAGCGAGAGGGACGACAAAGAGCAAGACTGGGCGAGAGTCGAGTCTTAAGGCTAGGAGATCATCGGGGTAAAAAGTATGGGATGATTGATGGCTTGCAAAGAAATGGATGACGAGACTACGGACCTGGAGGGGTGGGCGAGGTGGTCCTTTTCCGGCTTGGGCGGCTCAGCTCCAGCTTAATCGACGCAATATGCAGCCAACCGACCTGGATTTAAATTCGATCGGACCTCCAACCTGGTTGCGTACGTTTTCGAATGCGCGTGTCCTTAACAAGTTAACAAGAGAAGCCAACATTGCGGAGTACTACAGGTCGTGATCTTTGACCTCCTAAAGTGGTGGTTGCTATTACTATGTGCTTTGGTATCCACAATCTAACATCCAGACACCGAAACTCCAATGGACATAGAAAAACCGAGGTATAAAGCATAAGTAGATGTATCTTGGCTTGGGAATCTTGAAAGATCAAGGCCATTCTCGATCATGGGCGTGCGGACTGGTATACCAATTCAACTCACCAACTCAAAAGGTCAAAGTCGCCAAAACAAGTAAAAGTTGTGTGTCGCTATCATGTACAAGGGGGATCATCTCCATCGTGTCTTTTATGCTGTGTCGTTCCATACTTCCTTACCCATAGCCGAAAAGAGAAGGCAGACAATCTAGTTCTAATCATTGAATCATATGGCCCATCTTGGAAATCTGATTTTAGGCATAACAGTCAGCTCGGTTTCCAATGTTTTAGCACCTAGATTAATGAGGTAGTAAGACCTGCCTTCGTTCTTAGGTAGCCCTCAACTTCAGAGCTCTTTATACCCATCTTGCCACCAGTCTGCCACGCTAATGGCACCATTGGTACGCGGTCCTTCACGATAACCTCACGGCCAGGCCCTTCAATTGCTCTGACCTTGTCGGGATTGTTTGTGAGTAGACGGATTCCATGCGGGTTTGCGTCGTCACCCAAGCCTAGATCAACAAGCATCGCTGTGGCCAGTCCATAACTCCGAGCGTCGGCGGGATGTCGCAGCAGAAGATTGGCTTCGACTGTGTCAGAGCCCAGGTCCTGCAGGTTGTAAGCTTTCAACTTCTCTCCCAGCCCAATTCCTCGGCCTTCTTGACGAAGGTAAATTATAACACCGCCTGATACATTCGACGGCACAGATCGAGACTGCTGGGATGCAATTTCGTTCAATGTCTCCATGGGTAGCGACATTAGTCGAGCTGCTTCATCAAGTTGCTCTCCACAGTCACAGCGAGCGGACCAAGCTGTCTCTCCGGTATAGCATTCGGAATGAATCCGCACTAGTGGGGCTTCATTCAGTCGCTCCTGCATTGATTCTGCATCGTGAATAGCGCCTTCATCAAATCCCCCACTTGACCCATTCCCGCCATTGGCATCGTGCCAGCTGCTCACGCGGCCAGGATGCAATTTGCCGATATAAGCTCCACGGATCATCCGATCCATCTCCGTCTCCCCAGGTCTCACTTTGTCCAAGCTGCGACTCCGAATGGTATTCCCAAACACGATTGCAAGATGTTCTTTGCTGTCTAAGTCGTTGTGATACAGATGCAAAAACATCTCGGCGCCGGTCGTCGTTGGAATGCGGGCGCGAACGATGCACTCCACATTGGGGAGGCGAGGGAGGAGTTTCGGGGGTTTGGCATGAGAGACAGTCTGAGGTGAGATTTGCTGAAGTAGTCGTTCTGTGTTCAAAGTGCCACCCGGTGTCGCTGGAGGTGTGAAGGAAGGAGAGAGGAGGGAAGCAGGTACGCCAGGTGTCATATCGCCAGGCGTGCTGCCGATGGCACCGACTTCAGCCAAGGGATTTCCCAGCGCAATTCCATTCGGTCGACCACTCTGAGTCGATGTTTGCTGCCCTGATGTGAGTGATATGTCGTCAACAGGTGGTGCTGTCGAAGCCGATTGTGCGCAGAAGGTTGGCGAGGCGTGAGATGGTAGATTGGCCATCGCGATGTGAGGGGTCGCGATATGCAGTAAAATCAGTCACAGTTAGGTCAATGCGAATGTCAAATCTAGGACCGTGGGTATAGTATAAAATAAGCCGAGCTATGAGCGGCAGCTATAATTTGCCGTCTCAATTTTCATTGACTCGTGAGGAGGGTTTGATCGAAAGGAAGCTGTCGTCGGATCAAATGGAATTGGAGCCGCGGGATGCGCGGCGGGATCGGGCGGGGAGCGCTGAGTCAGCTGAGCGCTGGATGACAACGGCTTAGGTAAATCCACATCAGCCAAGAAGACTCTCTAGCACATTCTATTGCGGAGTTCAGAATAGATAAGCTGATATGAGATAGAATTGATACACTGTAAACGCCGTCCAGCCCAAACCAACCGACCGAGCCAAGTAATATGCAAAATAGAATAACCCTTGAAAAAAGATATCGACGTAAAATTTCCACGACAATTCGAATTGCAACTCACTTGCCTCCTATGTCCAGGACGAAGCGACGGTGTACTTCCATCTCCTTGTCGTCCTCCTCGCCTTCGAACTTGAGGCGATAATGGTCTTTCTTCGAACCCATGACCTCCGCACGATAAAATGTGGTCGTATCAGGGTATCGTGCAAGGACTTGCTTTCCAACTGGAAACGAGGGCAGCGTAGACCCTTCAGGCGGGATTGGAATCAAGGACACCGCCGTGGTCTTGTAGACAGCTCCCTGTTCGCCGTTCTCGTTGGGTTCCGGGTCCTGGACGTCGTATCTTCACGAGATATGCATCGGTCAATCTTGCGTGGAAACGAAGGGCTTAAAGGCTTGACCCACCTTTTCTTGGTTCCCTCACCTGTTATCCCCTTAATGATACACTGGATACCCTCGCCTTCAACGCCTTGTTTATTCTTGTTGTGCTTGAAAACGACTTCGGCGCCCACAGTTAGCTGTCCATTACGCTCAGCAGGTGTAGCTTTGGAACTCTCGGCCCCTTCTTCTATCTTGACCTGCACATTGTCACGAATCTGAGTGCTAGACACGCTTGTGCTGCGCTGGGTACTCCCCTTGGAGCGGCCGCCTTTGTCCGAAGGACCGCCTGAAGGCCCTGGTGAGTCGGTAGCAGATCCATCAATGTCGTTTCGCTTTTTTCGGTTCTTGGACAAAGAAGCTGCACGACTCATGGGGGCCTCTGCCTCTGATGCCTGGCGTAGGGCAGTGAGTAGACCAAGGTTCTTGATGACATCGCTTGGTTCATCTTGCAGGATAGCTCTCTCTTCTTCGCATAGCTTGAGCATTTGACGGTAGAGGCTATCTAGTTGATTGTGCTCACTGAGAGTGGGTTCTGCCATAAGAATTAGTCACTGTACGGAGATGATCTTGCAGGATACTTACTTCCGCCCTCTTTGCCAATCTTCTCATTCAAAGCCGCTATTTGCTCCGATAATGCTTTCTGCTTGTCATTCTTTTCCTTGGCCTTGCGCAGGTCCTGGAGGATCTTATTCCACATATCAGTCTCCTCGTTCGCGGCAAGGCCATTGTCCCTAACTGTAGGGGGGGCCCTAGGGCGATTCCGAGACATTTTCTTGGGAGGAGGCTTGGGCACTTGAACGACCACCTTCGGCCAGGAGCCTGGATTACTGTTTCCGGCGGCCGTCGAGGCCCCCTCTGGAGACCGCTGCTTCTCAATCTCGAGGGCGTCCCACGCAAACTTGGACACAATTTCCTGACGATTAGCACTCCGTGTGCCGCGAGCTGCACCCTGCCTTAACGAGTGTGGAAGGCCTGCGGGATCGCTCTGGGAATGTTCAGAATGCAGAGAATCTTGGACTGCCGATTGATTGTGACCAGGACGAAGCGATGCACGCTGCGCTGGGCGGCGGCCGCTCTTCTTGGCATTGTTCGGGCCAGCCTCCGGGACGCGCTTGACGGCCCACGTTACCGGTATTTGATTGGCCGATTCCATCGAAGCTGGGGAGCCCGGTCACGGGGTCAGCTATGACGGATGCGGTAGCCGCTTTCTTGTAAGGTTACTTAGATCGAGGGGTAGAAGAGAAAGTCCAGACAAGAAGCAGGCAAGATCTCTGTGCGTGAGAGAAACACAGCAGAGAGGCAGGGGTTTGAGGAAGCCTATCGAGAAACTGCGACGCAGTCACCAGAAACTCGCTCATTCACACCACTTGCTAGTGGATCCCCCGCCTTGAGCTCTTTCTTCACACAGAACACTCGGTGTTTGCAGTCGCTTGCTATCTCCGTCAAGATGCAGGTACCGCTTCTACGCCTTCAGTGTGGTATGTAAAGGCTCTTCGATCTATCCTTGATCTAGACGCTAATGGTTGTGTTTTCTAGGTGTGAATAGCTACGACTGGGGTAGGACACTCCCATCCGATTCGCCGTATATAGAAGAACACGTCTAAGATTTCACAGGCAAGGTCGGCTCCGAGTCGGCCGCTGCAAAATATGCAGCGACCACAGCGCCCTCCAGTTTCTCGGTCGAATCAGACAAACCTTACGCTGAAGTGGGTGTTCTGGGGATACCCTGAGGTTAGCACAATGCGGTGGACGAGAAGCTGATCCAAGATAGCTGTGGATGGGGACCCATCCCTCTCTTCCGTCGAAAGACCTCGAAACTCAGCGTACATTGCTCGATATGGTCCAGGACAACCAGGCTTTGATGTCTCCAGAAGTTAGCGAGCGATATGGCGGCAAACTTCCATTCCTCTTCAAGGTGCTGTCGATCCGCAAAGCTCTTAGCATCCAGGCCCATCCAAACAAGAAGCTCGCGGAGACTCTTCATGCGCGGGACTCTAAGAATTATCCAGGTAGGCGACATATCGGCCATTCAGTCCTACTTTGTTGACTGTCTCAAAGATGACAACCACAAGCCAGAGATGACCATCGCGATCACACCTTTTGAAGGCCTGTGTGGCTTCCGGCCTCTGGCGGAAATAGTTCACTTCCTAAAGGCCGTTGCACCTCTTCGTGGTCTCATCGGCGCACAGACTGCAACCGACTTTGAGAATACGGTTCGAGGGTCTGAGGACACCGAGGATCCAGAACAGACGAAAAAGAATAAAGCGGCCTTGCGAACACTGTTTACCTCGCTGATGAAATCCTCTCCGGAGGATATTGAGGCCGCCGCGCAGGAACTGGTTGCAGCGGCGCAGAGCTCTCCAGAAACATTCGCATCGCTGGTCAACGCTCCCGACACCAACCCTACTGACGCCGCCGAATTAGCATCAATAATTGTCCGACTCAACGAGCAGTTTCCCAACGATATTGGTCTGTTTGTTTTCTTCTTCCTCAATTTCGTCTGTCTGGAGCCTGGAGAAGCCATGTTCCTCAAGGCCGACGATATCCACGCCTATATCTCCGGCGACATTATCGAGTGCATGGCCTCATCCGACAATGTCGTTCGTGCGGGGTTTACGCCCAAGTTCAAGGATGTGGACACACTCACCGAAATGCTGACCTACTCGTATGCGCCGATTGATGAACAGAAGCTGGAGCCCACGGACTATCCATACGTGGTGCTAAATGCGCCAGCGTACTCGAGCGCTTCAGACTCTCTTCTTTATGATCCCCCAATCGAGGAGTTCAGCGTGGTGAAGACAGCTCTCCGCCGCACAGGGGCCAAAGCGACGTTTGATCCGCTGACCGGACCGAGTATCTTGATTTGTACTGGGGGTACCGGTAAGATATCGGTGGGCCACAAGACCGAGGAAGTCAAAGAGGGATATGTGTTCTTTGTAGGCGCAAATGCTGAGTGCATTATCGAGAACACAGGAACCGGGCCAGACCAGGAGAATGTCTTTACCACATTCAAGGCTTTCTGCGACCTGACCGGGAAAGAGGATTCGGTCAATGGCAACTAGGAGCAGCTACAATACAGGCTATGAATATAATCCATTGATGCTATGTTTGCTTGTGTGCAACACTTGCAACATTCGAGACAAGACTGCTGTAGTCTGTACCTTTGTAGTTTCTCCGCCGGCTCCACCGACGACGCCAACCCCGCAGCCGAGGTATACGAACAGCTGAACCGGCGATAGCTGCATCAACCCCTCCTCGCGTCGAGTTTGACTTTGACGCCTAGCTATTCCCGCCACTGCTCGCGAGTGCGGGGAGGGATGGACGATCTTACAAGATGGAGTGAGTTCCGACGCCCCTCCGTCTCAGCCAGGTTCAAACCCATGATTCCTGCTTACCAGTATCCAGGCCACCGGTATCCCAGAACATAGAAAACTTCCCTACCTCAGACCCAGTCCTACAGCCAAAGCTCACCCATGGCCTCCTCGCTCTCAGGCCCGCCTCTCTCCTTCTGGGAGAAGGCCGATCTCTTCGCTGGTAACCTGTCCTTGCTCGGGACCGTCCTGTACAATGTCATCACGGGCGTCTTCCGCGGCAAGAACGGAGCGAAGACATTCAACATGCATCTTTCCCATGCCATTACCCGCAAGGCTGTTACGCGACTATCAGTACGGCAGCTTCAGTGCGTTCCACCACCTTCTTTTACCATTTCTGCTTGGTCGCATAGTCTTTAGCTTATTTCAATGTTAACCGGACGGGACATCTGCCTTAGATCCCAGAATGCACCTACCGTCCAGGCGTATGAAGCCTACGCTAAGCAGAAGAACCTCGTCCCGGAGATTGTACCGCTCAAGCACGGCGCCCAGGGTCTTTGGATCGGGAGCAAGAATGCCAAAAACGTCGTTGTGTACTACCACGGTATATAGATCTCAAGACAACAACGACAGGAACTAATAGCAAGTAGGTGGCGGCTTTGCCCTCCCCGCCGTCCCTGGCCACTTCTCCTTCCTCCACGATCTCCTTGAAGAGCTGAACAGGAGTGGCCACGACGTCGCCATCTTCTTTCTAGCATACACCCTTTCCCCACCAGCCGCGTACCCAACGCAGCTGCGCCAATCCGTCGAGGCCCTCCGGTACATCCTCGTCGTGGACCAGGGCGGGCGGGATCCATCCAATGTCCTTGTTGGCGGCGACTCCGCGGGCGGAAACTTAGCCCTCTCTGTGCTCCTGCATCTCACGCACCCGCACCCGGAGATTGATCCGTTGCCGTTGCAGGATGGCGCTGAGCTTGCTGGTGTCTTTGGCTTTGCGCCGTGGGTGTCGTTTGACCTGCATGGGGAATCGATGGCCAAAAACCAGTACAAGGATCTTGTGCCGTCGCAGGGGTTGAAGGTCTGGTCGGAGGAGTATTTGGGAAGTAGGAAGGAGGGAGATGCATGGAGTGAGCCGGCCAAGGCACCGACTGAGTGGTGGGCTGGGGTGAAGGCGAAGAGGGTGTTGCTTCTTGCTGGGGGTGATGAGATTCTGTTGTCAGCCGTCGAGGAGTTTGCGAATAGGTTCAAGGTATGTTGTTGACGCCATTTTCTTCTATCTGCCAGGCTAATGCTGTCCTCAGACCGTCGTTCCGCAGACTACGTATGTAGTTGGGTATGAGGATACCCATGTATCGCCAGTTTACAGTGGAACAGGGTTGGAGAGCCAACAGGCTCGGGGGTTGAGGAACTGGCTTGGTGCTCATCTTTAATTTAAGCCATGTGCCCTTGAGCTGTATGAACCTCATTGGGAGATATCTAATACTACCTGCGTTTGCGGAATGCTATGATTTTATACACAATTGAACCCCTGTACTGCCCACCAGAAGTGATATGAGATGAGAAACAATGCGTAGCCTCCGAAGAGAATAAAGGACCAGATAGTTCGCCGTCATATGGATTCATAAAATAAAGACAGAACTAGACAGATTATCTATGATGAAACCTTCGCGGAGTATTTAGCAGCAGCGGTATCGAAAAAGTCACTCTTTTCATGAATATCAGCCAGCAGAGCATGCGATGGTTCGGTCTCCTGGAGGCGCCTATAGAAAGCCGTTAGTAAAGCCCTCCCCCTTGCAGGATCTGAATTGGGGGCGAAAACATACTTCTCCAAGTCCTCCGTCGGCTTTCCAGCCAGCACATTCAGCACAATCGAGTTTGCAATCAGCCCCACGTCATTAGGGTATCTTTCGAGAGCAGTAGAGATCGCAGCCTCAGCCTCCGGTAACCGACCGAGATGAATCTCTGCAACGGCTTGCCCAACAACCGAAAGCGGCGCCGAAGTGCTGTCGGCTGACGCGAGTTCTTCGTAGACGTAGAATGCGGATTGGTATTTCTCGCCGCCCTAGGTAAAATGCATCAGTAAGCCTTCTGAACTCCTAGGAGCATTGAGCGGCGACATACAACTCTCAGCCCAACCCAGGACTCCGCAAGGTTAACCAGCAGGGAATCCTGCGCCCAGCGCTTCGCAGCCTGAACCTCCTTCAGCGCCAGATCGGACCGGTTCTGCTGAAGGTGGATCTGGACGATCAACGCGACTCTGCTAACCATCAGCCTTTCGTCCCCTACCCCTCGAAATCCGTCGGGAACTCACGCCTCCAAGCTCCCCTGGTGCTTCCCCAGCAAAGCCAACGCCTCCTCGCTCCTCCCCGCACCCTGCAACACCGTAGCCCCTAACACCTGAACTGTAGCATTATCTGGGTAATTCTCCGCCAGATCCTGGGCTAATTGCGTGGCAGCCTCGACGTTGCCTCCAACATACTGCGCGAGGGCGTTGACGGCGGCCAGATCGGGCGACTCCTCGGTATCGCCTTCGACGTCGGCTAGGACGTCATCAGTGTGTCCGAGGGCGAGCTGGGCGCGGAGCTGGAAGATGCGCGCGGGGAGGGCGTTCTCCGGCGAGAAGGAGGATGTGTTGAAGTCTAGGACGGCTTGGTATTGGCCTTGGTGGAAGGCGTTGTGGATGTTGATGAGCTCTGTGTAGGGGGCAATGTTAGTGGGTTGCGGATGGGAAACCGGGGGGGTTGGAGGGGTTCAAGGAGTGTCTCCGTACCTCCTTCTGCTGAGAATGGATCCATTGTGGTGTTTGAATGTGTTGATTTTGCTGTCCTGCTGAGAATGTATCGGAGCTCTCTTGTTGCGGAGTGGAAAGTAGTCGACCTGGCTTCCGCGGATTATGTGGCAGGTGGGCCGAGCTGACTGGGCAGGTCTGCCGAGGGCATCTTCCGAGTATTAACTACAGGTCCTACACTATACTATGTCCATGTCTGAGCGACTTCATTTTTGGACAACTACCAGTTACGATCAGACAATTGCAGAGCTGAGGGTTGGTTAAAGAAGCGCCCCGGACGCTTCCTATAGATTAGATTGAGTATGTGCCGTCCAGGACACGAGTAACTAGTCAATAGTTTGTAGAACGAAGATGATATCTTTCTCTCCAGGAGATCATGGTTTCCTCAATAATCAAACAGACACCTGAACATGGCACATCGCCCGCAATTTATATCCGACAATGCAAATGCTTCCATGTGAGCACCACCTAATGCGAACCATGCCCCAGAGGGATGACAACTTCACCTCGTACAGTAATGAGTCCGGCTCGTATGCCAATGCTAAATAACAAAAGAAAAGGAACCCAGACAGCTCTCACATCGATGCAGCGCAAAAAAAAAAAAAATAATACAGGTAAGTGTGGAAGATGGGTATCGCTCAACAAGACATATAAGGCAATGAAAATGACATCAGAAATGCGCCTCTGGCCCGCGTTTCCAGTGCGCGAAGCCACAATGTACCCCCGTTCAAAGCAGAATGCCGGGCATCCCAAGAGAAAAGTTAAGTTTTAACTCATACAGCCAAGCTAGGCTGTGTCTTGGAAGCTCGGATGACATGGTTCCCCAAACGCCGAACAAATAAACACCGGAAAAAGGGAGTGGGTGGATAAGACATGGGAACGAAAGAAAGAGTAAATGGAAATGTGGTGGGTCGTCACATTGAGGAAGATTGTGGAACTTCGCAATACGCTGGTAAAGGCGGAAGGTGATCGAGGAAGTAATTGGCTATGACGCGGTTGAGGTGGTAGAGATGGTTGGCGTCAAGGCCGGAGAGATCTCTTTGCCCTCCAGACTTATTGGGGTTTCAGTACCCCGGTCTGACTGATCAAGCTTCTCTCGCTCGGTCGACGAAGTACGCTTGAAGACTGTCTGACCAATCTGGCGAAGAATACCCAAGCGCTCGGCTCGGAGGTCGTCGGCGTTCAGTCTGCGAACAGAAATGGGCTCTTCTTTTGAGATCTTGCAGAACAAAGTTGAGAAGATGTACTGATCACCACTGCCATCGTACAAAGGTAGGTAACGATACCCTTGAGAGAGGCTAGTAAGTTTAGCGGTGAACGTAGCTAGCTGAACACTACTGTTGCTCCCCACGCTTCGGCCATCCGTTGAGCTCCAGACAGTCCATCGAACAAAGACTAGATCGGGGTACTTGGTCTCTAGGGACAGGCGGAAGCTTTCGTCGAAGTTCGGGCTATAGCCGTTCCTCTGCTCGACCTTGGTGCGTCGACGGTGCGGAAAGCCAAGGCCAGACATGCCGTTGCGGGCAGAAGCGTTCATGCCACCTTCACCAAAAACGAAGCTCTGGCCACGGTCATCCGCACTGAACATCTCAATCTCAACGTAGGGATTGATATTTCCGTCCAGCGACATGTTTTGAGGACGGGGGAGCTGCTGGGCAGAAATAACGTCGACTGAGAACCGAACAAGTTTCCGTTCAGTAACGCGTGTATCTTGCTCTGATGATAGAACACGAAGAGATTCTGGCTTGAGCACGTAACCAGTACGATCGCTCCCTGCGGCAAACATGGCCTGGTTCATCTGCATACCAACGTCATAGGTTTGCCAGTTGAGCGCAGCCATCTGGACGCCGCGTCGCCAGAATTTCAGGGGATCGAAATTGGACGATCGTAGACGAAAGCCAGAGGGATATACGCGCGTGAGGTATTTTGTGTTGTGCTTCTCAAAGAGCGCTTTATTGTTGGGTTCACGACAAATACCCTCGAAAGACCGCTCGGCGAAGGAATAGATATGGTTGTATGTTTGGCTCTCGGGAGAGACGAAGCTATGCCATTTGTAGCCGCGGGTGTACACGCCCAAGTCTGATAGGGGTTTAGTGATTTTGCTCTTTTGGCGCTTTCTCTTTTCTTTCCTGACAGAGACAAGAGCCCCATCACTGTCTTCTGTGGCGCTGCTGATGCTGGTAGTAGTGAAAGACCTCCGCTCAGGTACCAAGAACGGACCGTGACCATCTGCGCCTATCGTGGGCGGACTTGAAAGAGAGGGAAGGGGCGGAATTGCAGGGCCGTCAATCATCGAAGGGCGAATAAAAGGCGAACTGGAGCTTCGCTTGCGACCATGAAGCGAAGTCTTCGGGTCTTGGCGTGTATTTTCCGGAGTCTCGTCACAAGTCTTGACCTTGATGAGGATACGACGCTTGAGCTCTTCGGGTGATGGAAGAACGATCGAGTTGGAAAGGAGAGGCTCTAAGATTAGCTGATCGCCAAAAGTCTCCTTCATGATTTTGACCATAGCCAGCTGCTGCTCAGGGTTGCAGTGCACTTCAAGAGATATAATGAGAGGGAACTCGCTGGAAAAAAAGGCGTAGCGGTTTATGACTGTGATGCAGTCAGCAAACAAAACGCTAGTAGTCATTGTTCTCCCATGAGACACAATGGGTCGACCATCTGCACCGTCCCAGCAATCAATCTCGATACAACGACATCCTTGCGTCAACGCGCTAATGTATGCTTCTGTGCTGGAAGACCCTGCGACTTGTCGGCCTAGAAGGTAGGTGTTGTGTGAGCTTGAGACGAAGTATTCATTAAGTGGCCGATCGAATCTGGACTGAGGGGAGCGAGAAGCGTATACCCCGTTACGGGCAGAGGCAAGGAATGACGAGAAAGCATCAAGATTCATGCGAGGAAGCTGATCATCGGAGTTGATTTCGTTGGGACTTTGAGTGCGTGGCTTCGACTTTCGGACAAGTTTATCAAAAATCGAGATCCAGTATGCGCGGTCGGAATCAACATCCTCCTTTTGCACGTCACGGAGGAAGGCCAGGAACTCCTCTGATGTCAAGCCTTCACGATAATCATCTGCGTTGCTCCTAAGAATCTCCCGAACATCCTTGCGCTCTCGTAGACGTGTGACGAAGTCTTTGAACTCAGCAAAGTTGAGTTTCCCGTTTTTCCCAATGTCTGCCTTCAGAAAATGAGCGCGCAACATATTCTGGGAACAATTGATGTGTAGACTTTGACAGACGCTTTCGACAGCTGCAAAATCCAAAGTTTCCATCCCCGCATTTGGGTAAAGCCTAGCCATTTCGCGCTGCCAGTGTGCCTTCAGAACCGGTTCGTTTTGATTCGAGGCAGCCAGACCAGCCATAAGTCCCACCCGATATCGCGAAGTATACTCCAACGTCGTGGTCCAGAGTTGAAGAATACGTTCGTTAGGGGCAATGAGGTGGATCGTTTTGACGGGGCGGCCTTTGGATCGCTCGGCATCCGCGATGACAATCGTAAACCATCGACTCTCAGCGTCTTGAGAAACTTGATGCTCTTCTCGATAATTGCGCGCATCCGCACCAACGCGAATCTCCTTCACGTCGTCGATGTAAAATCTCTTAGCTGGGTTTGAGGGGTCCCAGTAAACCTTGCCTGCATCAAGATTAAGGAGAAAGCGCACCTGCTTTCTTCTCTTCTTGGTGACCTTGGTCATAATCGTTCCGCGCTGAATGGCCGAATCAACCGTAGGTGCGACAACGCGAGTGTTGCGAGGAACAGCTGGAACACTATCATTTGGCACACTGGATGCTTCCGAGCCGCCCCAGCCGCCTAGGGAATCGAGGGCGTCGTTGCTATCTTCTTCGTAACTAGATTCGAGGGCGCTGTCTCGACCATTTTGTGTTCCCGTCTTACTGTCACTGCGGCGACGCATAATGACGGGCCCCGAGCTGCGGTCACGCTTGTCATTATGGGAGTTCGATGCTCTTCGTCTCGTGAGTTTGTTTGCAGCGCCTCTAGAGATCCGACGCATCAAGCCTGGGCCTTTGTTATTGGGGTTCGGGATAATCGTATCCCCTGGGTAAGAAGAAGAATTGAGGGTTGCAGGAATAGCCATGATACTGTCCCCAAGGTCTAGAGAAGGCGCAGAAGTTGGAGGAAGCGGCGTGATTCGACCCCGGAAAGAGTCAACTGCGGCAAGAAAAGGGGTGCCCGAAGGGCTGGAATCATTTGATGGGCTGCAAAAGGGGGGGAGAGAAATAGGAGTAGATGTGTATGAGGAAGCGTAGGTAGGTGCTGAAGCAGGAGGTAGTGATGGTGAGGTTAAAACATGGTGTAGCTTTGGCCTGGGGCGTGAGGCAGCAAGTTTTAAACTTGCTTGGGTGTCGCCATGTACGGCGGAGGATGATGAGGTAGCTGCATAAGTCATTGCGGCTACTCACTAGGAGTAATCCTTAGCAGCTGCAACCGTAAGATTGGAGCCCTGTCGTGGGTCGGGCTAAAGTCTTGAGTCACCTGGACTCGTGCAAAAACGAAATAAACAGTGAGGCGGTACCCGAGGGCCGTGTTGGGGCAGGGCTATAGCTGATATGCAATACGGGCCGAAGGATCGAACGTGTTTGGCTGGATTGATGCAAAAGCCACGTCCTTAGCGGTAATGCTCTGTTTTTGATATCTGCATTTTGGCCTGCTTTGAATGCAATGCGGAGAGCCCTGCCTGAGAGCACTCGCAGATGAATGGGATCCAAGTTCCTGATAACAACCAACACGGGCGCTTGGAATCGTGTAACAATGGCTTGAGCTGAAGGATCTGTCGTTCGTTTCTCGCTCTCCGGTATACTCTGACACAATCTCCGCCCCTTTCGTATCTTGCGCAACCGGATGCGGGGCGCAAAGATTCACACAAATGTCTCACAGCCCTTCTTTAGTCTCCCTTTCGCTTCGTTTCGTTTGAGCTTGGCCGTCGTTCAGCTTCCTTGATGAACTCCTTAGCTAGTCTTCCTGGGGCGCGGGGAAAGCTGTTATCCTGCAGGTATGGAAGACGTGCGGAGACCGACCAATTGCTGGTTGCGTCGTCGAAGGAGTGAAGTAACCCACCGGGGGGGAATGGCTCGAAAACGAAAAGCAAGGAAAATAATGGTGATTCAAAATAATATGCAGGTCAAGTGGTGTCCGCCTTGCGCATGTGCTTCAATGGTGGCAGAGCCCCTCCGTGAGTGTCCTCGCGATGCAAGCGATTGGAGTACGAAATCGAGGCCGCCTCTGGTTGGGTGAGCTGCAGTGGTATGCGCAATGACACGAGAATAGAGGCGGGCCGTCCAAGGATGAGCTCAGGCAATGGGGTTAAGCGTTGACGGGGGATGGGCAGTGCCAATGCAGGATTGCCTGCCAGCGCAGTGATGCAGGTGGTCCAAAGCGGAAGGAAGCGGACAAGCTAGATATCGGAGATTGGACCGAGGAAGATTGTGGTGAGCGTTGTAAGCGTTTAGTGCGGGCTAGGTGATCTGTGGGTGTTCCAACTTCCTGCAGTTACGTGAACAAGGACCTGCAGCAGAATGCGCAGGGATGTATGTAAGCAAGGGAAGATCATGCGACGAAAGACAGGACCAGCGTTGTCCTTCGCTCAGGCTGCGGCGAGTCGAAGAGGATGATTTGATCTGGTTCGGGGTTTGGAATGGAGGAGTTGGGAGCGTTATAAGTAAGGTCCCCAGTGGCCCTTGTCACAATCTCTCAGAGCGTCCTTGCTTGACCGATGTCGCGTCAGATTGGGGAGGGAAAGGAAGAGTCAGAGAAAGATTTTGGAAGGCTTAATTATTTCGAGAAACGGATGGATGTTTCAGTCGATTGAAAGAAAGCTGAAGTGGAGCCTCGGAGTGACGTTGAATTTCTGTATTCAAAACAGGCTGAGACGGTACCGTACGCGTAACAGTTCACGGCACTGGTAATCAATCCTCTTCTCGATCTCAAAGGGAAAAAAAGCAAAGAGAATCGGCAGTGTGAAGATTTAGGATAATAATATATATTGTTCCCAGATATACTCGACCAGGCGAGATCTTAGTCGACGGTGATATAGTCTATCTCAACCTAGGGATGGTGGTTCGGTAGTAGCAGTGGCAGTGGCAGGGTGAAGAGGAGGGCAATGATGGAGATGACTGCCGTGAGCTGAGCCTTTCTCTGGGCCCTTGTGTACAGTAGTAGCGAGGTTGGATGTGGAAGGGATGGGAATGATAGAAATATGGCGAGGAAGGGCGAAGGGAGGAAGGCGCCTATATAGATATACCCCGTACTTGGCGACGGTTAGGCTGAGAAAGGGATGCTAGGTGGGCATGTATGCCAGTATGGAGTCTGCCTCCATTGAACTGCGGTCTGGTTGGATACTAAGCCCGGTCATCATCACAGGGTGCTCTTGTAGCAAGTCTTACAAGGTTGATAGCTGGAATAGCATAGTTAATGTGCCAGAAATGGCGGCCCAAGCAGGACGGACTAATCATACTCCTCGACGCAGTCGTTCTTTCCTCCTGCTCACCGTTTCCATCACACCGTTTATCGTGACTGGCCACGGTCGACTCGAGTCTGCCTAAAGATTATAGATATTGCCACTCTCTTTAAAAGAGCAAACATTTGCTTGAATCGTCTAGGCCAATCGCAACGAGTTTGGCAGTGGTCGTTCATGGAGCATGTATATTCGCACAGGGCTGCCTCTCCTACTGCCTGCGATTGTTCTAGATCAGCACACTGGAATGTGTTTCATGTTGCTAGCAAGCACGATATACTGCCTTTTTTACCTCTTGTTGACGGAATTTACATTTCATACCCCGAGTCCCTGAGCTGCTTTCCCCACATGGTTGAGTCAAAGGGACAAAAGGAAGATGGGAAGATTCCCCACAGAAAATCTCTTGTCCATCGCAATCAGAATCTCGAAAGCCACATGTGTCTCCTTCCAATGACAATGCCTCCAGTGGACTATCGTGTGCGAATCTTGGTCAGTTGAAGGATAGAATGCATTATTACATCTATAAGAATGCAGGACGCGCATCGCGACCAATAACAACGGGTGTTTCAATGACAAGAAATTAATCATGTTACAGAAATTTCTACGCACCAGCGTGGCTGCGTGACGGTTCTCCCGGGGTTAGTTTGACTATGTGGATTCTTTTATGGGGCATGTCTTACCGGATTACAGCAGGCTGTAAGGCTGTAATTGTCTGCTAATGACAATATGACTGACACTTCCATCGGCCATGGCAAGTTGGCAACCCAAGTGCTTTCGATCTTATTTCCTCGGCGCTGCGTGTCACTGGCAGTGCTGTCAGTGCAAAACATCTTGTCAATCAAATCCAATTGCCGGAGGTGACATGGATCTAGGGTGATGTCCAACAGATCCTTGGAAATACGTCACCTGACAGGTGCTGTCTTGTCGACGGTTGGCTCCAGATACAGACCATTCAGGGCAGAGCAAGAGATAGCCCCTCACGCACTCCTTCAACTAGTGGCTCTTCGTTTTCCGAAAGCGCCAGGAGAACAAAGCTGTCGGGCCAAAGGGGAGGTCGGCGATCAAAAACGGCGGTTACCAGTTCTCCATATCCGCAGTCTCTAGCGGTCGATTGGCCCAGTTAGGAGATATTACTGGGCTCGTCAAAAGTCGCTCGCAAGAGATTCTTGGTAGAGCACAAAGCTAGAACGAAACAAAGGCTACGGTCCGTACAGTAACCGGCACTTCCGGGAAATCCTTTCCATGGGGCCATGGGCCATGCTTGAGGTTGTGAGTCCAAATTCCTTACAGCAGCCTTACGACTCCGACTGACGACAACGCAGAGTGGAGAAGGTTTCCAGCAAGACGGACAGCGTGTTGTAACCTGTTTCAGAACTGTGGCAGTACCCTGCTGTGGCAGTGGATTCGCAGGAGCTGAGGCGGTGCGTGCGGACTCGCGGAGCGGCCGACCAGACGGACAGCGAGAAACGGAGCCACGATCTTCATGACAAATTGGACAACGGGGCGGTAAGGAACCTGAAACTCTGATCTGATCACTAGTTGGCGGATCGTGGGTTGATTTGCATAATAATTTCTTATCACCTCACACATGACATTATTCACGTCGGCCTCAAGTCCAATAATCCAATGCCTTCATGAATGATGTGATCTACCCTTGAGTGTCATGGGAACTTCAGCCAGAGGAGCGGTCAAGGTTGATGCTCCCGCCGTCAGGATGACGACTTCTGAGCCCGATTCCCTGTCAGATCTTGGAGACAAATAGTAGGCGAGGGTGCAATCTTACAGACCGGTTTCCCTCTGCCCTACCGTCTAGGCTGGCCCATGGCTCAAGCTTGGCGCTAGAGGCTTCAGCCCTGGCACGTATCTGAGCTCTCAGCTTTTGATTGAGACAGCTGCGCTAGAAAACGCACGGGGTTTGAATCAAGGCAGAGCGTCCACTTTTGGGTCTGTGAGGACTGAGGACTGGACAGTCTCATGAAATATCCCGAGGTGTCATTCGAGCAGACAGTAGGCAGTAGCCTGCAAACGCTCAAATTCACTGATACATTGCGCCATTCTAAGCTGTCGATGGCAGTAGAAAGCAAGGAGCATGCGGTTGATAGTGTACAAAGCCAAGCAGACCTTCTTGTGAACAAACACGGGGCAAGATATGTACGCCACATCCCTGTTGTTACTTGCATTGCCGTGCCAGAACCGCTCCACTACTCTGCGTAATGACTGCGCTGGACAACATACCCCGGCACCTTGACGTTGTCGAACGTTCTACCGCGTTTCCATCGGCCTCTTGCCCGTTGCTCAGGACCAAAGCCAGTCCCAAAGGGAAACAAATTATTTATCACTAATCGTTTGGCAGCCACGGCATGTCTGATGTTTAGGGCCAGGCTAGTGTTTTGGTGTCGTTGGCCGCCGCTATCTAGTCTCTCCATTGACGACCGTGCGTTTATCCCGTTTATCGACGACACCAAGATTCCTCATGGGTTTCGTAATCACATGGCGCGCTGATAGCGCGGGTTGTCCTGTTGTAGTGATCCTGCCTCAGATGTAGGTATCCGGACACGAGGTGTTGAGGTTGATATCGCGGCTGTGGCGGGACCATGTAATCCCCAGTGGACGCTGATCGAAAC